GTTCTAGAAGAAGCAATGTTGGTGAATATTACAGTCATTAAGGAGGGGTGAACAACTTGAATGATGCAATTTTGTAGGTTGTGTCATATGTGCTTAACATTCTAGTCGTTGGGGCATGGGCTTTTCAGTTCAGTCTGTGTAATTTTTGAATGGGTAAAACGGGTATTTGCGGGTAACCCGCGAATATCCATTGTGGGAATGTACAATCCCAAGTCTTGTCCGTTAATAATTTTACCAGTAATATGGGTACCCGTAACCCTAAAAGAACGGGACGAGTACGAGTATACCCAAATACCCGTTTCCCGTTACCCACCCCTAGATATCACCAGTTTCATCTCATAATTGATCTTTTAAAGAAGTGAAAGTGAGGAATTTCAACCCTAACTCCTTGCCCTCTCTTACACCCTCATTTTCCCCTCTTAAGAAGATATAATTTATGGGCAGAAGTGCCGATATGCATGAACATTGCTTGTTAATACGATTCAAACCCATTACAAAAGTCATAGTTGAGATGGTATTTTATATTTTGAAGTAAAAAATAAAAAATAAAAATGATGGCTTGATGTCTTAACTATAAGTAATTTGTGCAACGAGCTGGGTTTGATTGGTGGTGTTATAATTTGTGTCCTTTCTTAGTCAAAACTCCGAGAATCTAACAATTAGAAGCATACCTATTTTGTGATCTAGAAATGACACATTCTACATCTAATATGAGGTTATACCGTGTGTATTATATGGTTTTTTTTTTGTCCAAGATATGTCAAGACGGCGGTAACCAAACATACACAATTACAAGACCGACTCTAATCACACGCGGTAGTCCATAAGCAACCGAACTCCCGATAAAAGAGCATATTTTGTCAATAAAAGGACAGCTCTGTTAAACCTTCGAGAAGCAAAATGACATGACACAGACCATCATACATGCACTTCACTGACCAACATTACACATTGAATTATTTGCTCGATCGTTGAATTACCCTTAATATACAATTGACTTGTTCTCCATTTTCTTCTGCTGTTTGTGTGGAGAAACTAAGTGAATGGCCAGCCAAAAAGAGACAGGTGGTGTGTGCTAGATTCTGTAGATGGAGGGGAGCAAAAAAGGGTGTGGTGTATATATTCTCTTAAGACCAACCAAAGTGGGGAACACAGTCATATGGAAGTTTGAATGAAAATTGAATTCTATAGTATAGTCTATCCATTTGCATAAACTAATTAATTAATTAATTGAACTAATAAATAAATAAATAGGATGTGTTTTGAGCAAAATCCATTAAATATTAATGCAAATAATAATATGGATAGGTAGCTAGGTATGAGTTGCATTATATAAGTGTGTTCCTCACTTAAAAATGGGGATAGGGGGAGAAGAGTCAAAGAGATAGCACAGCACAAATATATAAGTTTTTCCATTAGACACAGTCATTCCCTTATTCAGAGAGAGAGAGAGAGGGAATTTATGGATGATGGAGATCAAATAAATACGATGATCGATTCGTCTCGTGAAAAGAATTCATCACCTCACAAGTCGTCGTCTTTTCTAGAGAAATACAAGAACTGCTATGAACTCCACAACTATGTCCATTGACGACCAAAATCAAACAAATTGTGAAACCAAAGTTAGATTTTTGTCAAAAAACCAGGAGGATCCAACTAGTTAGTTATTAATGTATTATGCTAAAACTAGAAACCTAAATTTAAGCACTACAAGGGGGATATGATATACTTCTGGACAATGGAACTAGTAGTGGTTGGATGTGATACCAATACCTATATGCTTTTTGGATGTGGTCTACGGCAAAAACCTAATTCACGGTGCACAAATTCCTTTCTAATCCCATCCATACATAGGTCAAAATGCTCGGTCTAAAAGACTCATAATCATTTAAATTGCTTTTACGATAATGTGTCCAGTGCGTGAAGAACTTATATATCTCAATAATCCAAATTATGAGAGAACCTATAAACACACCTCATATTATCTTCCTATATAAGTTGTTTTTTTTATAGTTAGGTGCTATTGATGCGATTCAAACATGCGATCTTCAGTGGTATTACCATGAGGTCAAAACCACAAACTTGAATGCGAGAACTTCGGATTAAAATTGAGTTCTTCTTATCTAGTGAGTAAACCATAGTTAGAACTGAATATTGTCAGAACTCGAATGCGAGAACTTCGGATTAAAACTCCAATGCCTTGTAGAGAATCAATACAAGACATAAATGATTCCACGGTGAATATTCTTTATTAATGATGTGTCAGTGTTCTAAACATTCCATCATTGATAATGGATTATTATATAGTAATATATATATTTTTTATGGGAATATTATATAGTAATATTGACTTTGGAGGGGGAGTGTGTTGTTGGCGTGTTGATGACCAGAGGAGGTGGCAATTTGGAAAAGAGGAGACTTTTTTTCTAGGAACAAAATGCATGGCAAATTGGCAGGGTTCCAAATCCAATTATGTAGACCACCAAAATCCCCATCTTAAAAGGGAAAGAGTGGTTTGTGGCCTTTGTCCCCCCTTCTTCTCTTCCACCTTGACCTCCATAGCCAAACTACACTAAAGTCTAAAATATATTGAAAATATTGGATATTTTTTTATATGTAAGGGGAAAACTACATATACAGATATACTATTCCCTCAATAATTATGTCGTTGCCCTAATTTTTAGTCTACTATTTCCCCCTCCTCTTTTCCTATTTCGATAGATCACGACTACCTCATAATATTGATGTCGTTGTTCTAATTTATGATAAAACTTCTTCCACTATTCCTTCATCCATACTTTGGATCACGACTACCTCATAATATTAATGCCGTTGTTCTAATGTATGATAAAGCTTCTTCCACTATTCCTTCCTCCCTCAAAGTATGATAAAGCTTAACAAACCTGTCTTGATGTGGGAGGCTGCAAAACTGAAAGGGTAAGGCTAACACTATGGGTTGACTTCTTATCAGATGATGTCGAGATCATTTCTATTTCTGCAGTGGAATCTAATTGAAGGGCAACCCTCTAACGTTCAAGTGACCATATTAGTTTTCTAGGAGGCTGCAATTTTTTTTTTAAAAAAGGATAAGACTAATAGACTGGTAATGGATGACTTTATTATCGGATGATGTCAAGATTAGTTGTAAATATCTCTGTCGTGGGAATTTAGTAGAAGGGTCACCCTCTAACGTTCAAGTGGTCGAATTAGTTTTGTAGGAAGTTGCAAAACTGAAAGGACAAGACTAACATATTGGTACAAGATGAATTCTGATCGAATGATGTCAAAGATCGGTTGTATCTCTGTCGTGAAATCTAGTTGAAGGCCATCCTCCAACATTTCAAGTGGTCAAATTAGTTGAAAACCCTAAATGCCCTAGCTACCCACCATCCCCCCCCCCCCCCCCCCCCCCCCCCCCCCCCCCCCCCCCGGCTTATTCTCTTGCTTTCATTATGCTTTCTAGTCTCAACCTCTCCACCCTTTTATCGTGTAGGTGAGCAAATATAGGGTTTTAGTTGATGAGGAAATATGTCGACGTATAATTGTGGCTAGCTAGCTAGGGCTCTCCCCCATAAAGAATGGGTTGCCGTTTTGTCAAATATGGTGTGTGCTTTTGACAGATTCGACGTTTTCTTTTCTGTGTCTATCTTGGATTGGCATTTGCATACCGCATTTTGCACAAGCATTTCGTACACCAAGTTGAACCCCTCAACCCACCCGTAAACCTCCTCATTGGATCACATATGAAAGCAAACTTTGATTTGATCCCATTATCTATGCCATTTTCATGATGATTTAAACCATGTACCTAAGGTGCACTGATCATGTATATGCTAGCTAGCTAGGTACTAGGGCTCTCGACGTATTTCATGAACATTGTCGACGGACAAGTACACGAATGACAGTAAGGTCACTAATATTACTATGATTGATGGTTGAAACTAGAAACTAGAAGCTTTCTTCTTCCTCCTCCTGCAAAGAGTTTTCAAGTTTGGCACCATCTTATTCATCTGTACTGGCGAAGGACACACTCTGCCTGTTCCCCCCCAAACTTCCCACGTACAATTATCGACTAAAAACGCAGGCTTTCACCCCTCTATTATTGCTGTCAAATTTCATACAGGCAACCAACCAGGCCCAGGCTAAAGCCTGGTTCAAAGGGATTTTTACATCTGAAACAATGCTTCTGGACAATTCTAAATGATCACTGGTGAGTGAGTAGTAAAAAGACAACGCCTGATGGTTCCAAAACAAAGACACAAAAGCAAAAGCTCATGAAGCCATCAACTTCAATCAGCTATCATGTAAAGAAAGTCATCAACAATATTCAATCAAAATGCAGTTCCATGGCTAGAGCTAGGGCTATAGGGCTTATCCATACGGGCAAAAAGGAAAAGAGAGACAGATATTTCAGGTTTATATGTTTTCTTCACAGAAATGAGACAGTGACCATTCAGAGTGGAAACCCAGCCAGCCAGCCAGCCAGCCAGCAAGTTGATGATGTGGACTTTCAATTTCAATGCCCATCCCCTTTTCTGAAAGTACTATCAAACTCAACGCCAAATCACTTTCTCAGGTTCCACAGCTGACATAACACGAAAAGGAGAGAGTAAAACTAACAAACCACACAGTCACACATACACAGAGAGAAAGCCATTTGTTCAAAGTAGTGAGCCCCTACTGCACGCATGCGAATAATGGGAGCTGTAACTGTCTCACCCCACCATCGATTCAACCTTTTGTCTCCCAACCCTGCACCAAAGTGATAGTCACTCAGACCACACTCCAAAATTATTCAGCATACCCACATCTTACTGTCTGGGGCTACAACCCACATGAAACTTTCCAGGTCCCTGGCATGAATGAAAGCCACAACACGCAGAGAATAGGAAAACGAGAGGTTTCGTAATATGAAGAATGCATCACCTGGGCCATATTGCACCACCACCCTTTCCAGCTGCTGTGACAATAATGAAAGAAGTAGTTGCGACGAAACTACATCACTCAACGATTGAAATGTTTCCATCCCAACTGCACGAGGCAATCACATTCGGCATCACTGGATGGAAAGCGACGTCTGTACAGGGTTGATCGTATGCTTTTATTTTCCTGATAACCTCTGATGACCTGTAGTTGTAGAAGTATATCGAGCCATCTGAGGAGCCTGAGGCTATCTTCTCACCGTCCAAACTGAAATCGCACTTGATGGGAAATCCAGACACCCCATGTCTTTCGTACCTTCTGTACTTGTCTAGCTTGAATGGCGGTTTTAAAGAGAAGATTGCAATGTAATCGCCATTCGATTGGGCGATGAATGATGGGTCATATGGATGGATCCTAATGCAGGGACAGGTAAAGGCTTCCACATAAACCTGGCAAACAAGGAAAAGTACAAAGTAAAACAGAAGGTTCAGAAACCAACTAAGAATGTTTATTGTACAAAGCCCTGTAATTCTATCAAACAAAGCTTATAGATTAGCAAACTGTGAAATGGACAATTGCAGCTAGAAGTCCCTAAAACATCTCTCTGGAACCAAGGGACATCACGATTTGGAATGACAAAGTTTTGATCTAGTAAATAACTTTAGTAAATTTGCAAGACGCAAAGCAGGGAATTCATAAGGGTGGCCATGACATGAGTACATAGGATCGTCCAGCAATCTCAGTGAAAAGCAAATATTTTACTGCTTCTTCCTGACCTTTGCACCTCAAGATGGTCAGAAACCCAGCTTCTAGCAACTATCCTCATAGAGAAGGATGAAATCACAAGGGCCATGCATTACTTAAATAACCATCATGCTTTTAAGATAACTCAACAAACCATACCATTTCACATACAGTATCCAAGTTAGACAAGTGGGCACAGAAATCTAATCCCTGATCATCATATTATCTTCATTCAAAGCTCCGTGAACAATGCTATTTATTAAACTCTTTTTTTCTGCTATACTGGTACCATAGTTATCCTGGTTATTTCAACAAGCTGTCCAAACATCAAATGCAATAGGCAGCTGTGCAATATACCCATGCTACTGCAAGTTTACAGCTTAGCCTGTAAGAAAGCTAGGACATACTACCTGGAATTCTCTTCCAATCAGAATCTAAGTTAAGTAACAATAACTACCTTTCTTCTATCAACTAACCTTTTAGTCATGCCCCCTTTGCACTAATTTATTCTGGAGAAATTGTTAAATCTAGTGTAATTTCAATTTCTGCTTCTCGTTACATGCTCCTGCATAAAGTGGTTTCTCATTTTGTTCCGCTCATCTATAGGTTTTCACTGTGGTCACAGAGAAATTCCACTTAATTTGCTACTAACATCACATGATGTCTACACTTAAGAAAAGAAGCTGTATCCTTGCCACTTGTCAACAAACAAAGATACTGCATATTTACCTGGTTTGACAATGGCACTTCTCGTGAAACGTCCCAAACAATAATTGCATTTTCAGTGACATTGCCTCCAGAGACATCACTAGACGAGATAAACTGCTTTCCGTTTCTTGTAAATTCAACATCAAGAATCGGGCCGAGACCTCGCTTGTATTCATGGACGACATTCCCTGTCCTAATATCCCATAATCTTATTTTTCCAGTCGAACCACCAGAAAGGAAGAGGCTTGAATTCTGCGGATGGAACTTCACCACCAAAACTGCCTGATCTTCCTTAAAAATCTGAGTCTGTATCCCCTTCTCCACGTCAATCAACCTGGATGAAGAGTCATACCCGCAGGAAAGTACAGTGAATCCATGAGGTGACCATCGCACATCTTTTACTGCTCCACCGTGGAATCTGAATATATGAGCTGTTTTCTGGCTTCTGCTCCAGACATTCCATATGCAGAGGGTGTGATCCATCCCAGCCGATGCAAGAAGATGGGCTGTAGATTGACTATAGTAAAGACGTCAACAAGGTCAACAACACACCCCGTAAATTAGGGTAATGGATTAACAGTGATTTCATTGCATAACCTTCAAACTCAACCCTACATCCTGCTCAATATACAATCAAAATAAAGTTGTAGAAATCGTAAAATCACAGATAGGACATTATGATCTATGAGTTGAAGTTAAAATATTGGGCTACATAAAACTTAAGCATAAATGGGAAGAAGATAAGCGAACAAAATAAGCATACCATGGTTGGACGACCAATTGAGAGCATTGACTGCCTTTTTATGGCTGTTAAGAGATATTGACACCCTTTCAGGTATTTGGCTTAGCTTTGCACGTTCACTCGGGTTTCTCAAGGTTGAGACGATATTGTTGGGTAGATCTGAATCCTTTATACTCAATCTAACTGATAAGACGGGAAAGAAAAACACATGAGCTAGAAAAAGAAACAAACCATAAGTGAAGTATTACGAAGATAAAGGTATGAAAACAGAATCAAGAATGTAGGCAAATGAGAAGACAAAATCTTACAGCACCAAAGGAATGTAAAGCTACAGGTTCATTCAATGAGAGATGTGAATCATCTTTGATAGGTGATGCAAAACATACTAGGTTCTGGGGCTCTCAGCTCCTTGAAAGAGGGGAAAAAATAATCTTCAAAGCATCTTTACAACTTCTACCCTTTCTATTTCAAACGATGCATGTACAGAAAAGCTACCTGTTCAATATGGCACACTACTAAGCTGATTTAAGCAGGACTTACAGTTGTTCTAGACCCTTGCATCACTCAACAATGAATTCAGTTCTGCCATGTACAGTTGTACACAACTGTTCTAGTTCATCCCACACCAACAAGAGAATGCAACAATCACCAACCAGCAGACCAAATTCACATCCAAAGTTTGGCAAGATAGAAACTTGATCCCGACTACTCCAATGAACAAACAAGCATGTAAAAGATGATATTGAAACATGATATTGAAAGCATCTTTACAACTTTTACCCATTCTGTTTCAAATGAAGCATGTAATAAAATGTAGTTGTTCAATATGGCACACTACTAAGCCGATTTAAACATAACTTATAGTTGTTTTAGTCCCGTATATCACTCAACACTGGATTCAGTTCTGCCACGTTCACAACTCTTCTAGTTCATCCCCCACCAATTAGAGATAGTGCAACCATAAATCAACAGGGACTGGGTTTTAATCAACTTATTTTTGCCCCCGGGGGATCCAGCTAATCTCAACAATTCAACAACTGAAGCAAAGAAAAACAGCTTCCCAGTAAACATCACTTCGCACAATGAAGATTATACTTCTTCATGAACAAGCAGACCATCAAAACGCATCAGCCCCAAATGTAAAGTCACAGTACCTGGTGAAGTTAGAGCAGCAGGGCTCTGGTTCTGTTCCTGGTCCTGATTATCAATGGAGGACTGTTCAGGAGCCGGGATACTCTGACTCAAAAGAGCTCGCTCTCGCTTGGATATGTATCTTCCCGGCGCCGGAGCATCTGTTTGCACGTTGACAACTGTATCGGTTCTCATACGCTTCACTGGAGGAGGGTGTCCTGAACCAGAGAATTGGGGCTGGAATCGGTATTGAGACGGCGGAGGAAAGACGTTGAGCCGCTTGGGTTCCTGTCGGCTCTGCCGCTCTTCGTCGTCGTCGGAGTTGGAGTATGCACTGCAGAGGAGATCCATTCTTTGTTTTTCGAATGAATGTGAAAAGCCGTTTCTCAGGAGAAGAGACGAGAATCCACCTACCTAGATCTTCTGTAGAACTCGGCCTTGGGCCTGGAGGCCCCTATCCACCAATGTTCTTTTGGGCTTCTACTTGGGCCAGAATGATTAACAGGATTTGCGTTCTATAAGTTCTTAGATAAAGTCAACGGTCAGAGTCATGAAATAGCAGGAACTGGCTGCCTCTCGCTTGATCGGATCTTCCTCTTCCCGCCGGCCTGCTGAAACGCAACCTCCGCCGCCGGTCGTCCTTGTCTCTGCCGCTTTTGGCGGCGGCTGCCTCTCTCCGAGTTGGCGGATAATAATAAAAAAAAATGCAGCGAATTAACAAATAATTAAACCGCCTCGTGTTCTCGCTTCAAGGCAGTGTCGTGCCAAAACACAATCGTTCTCTGTTTCCGACTACAAACAAGTCCTCGAATTGCTCTCCCGGTTGTTTTGTTCGGGCGGCGGCGTCTTCCGGTCAGCAATGGATGGCGTTGCCGGCTGAGGCTTGGCTCTTTCTCTTTCGATCTGCAATTCCGTCTTTGCTCATCCCACCGGCCACCTTTCAGCTTCCGGGTTCGTTTTCTGCCATGGCCAATTTCTAATTATCTTTTCCTTCCGGTTCGATGTGTTGTTGCTTTCTTTCTCCTGTTGCTCGATTTGTTTGTTTTGGACGTAGATCTGAACTAATTGTGCAATGGTACTTGTTTGGAAGGATGGGGTTGCCCGACTAGCTGAATTGCTTTCTTCTCGAGTCTGGTCGTGCGAAGTAGTGCCCAGCTCCTTTGGAACCATAACCAAGCTTGTATTTTTCAATTGACACTGTTGGAATTTCTACTTGGAACTTGCTCAGTATAGTTGGCCACCTTTAGGATTCAAGAGGGGTTGAACTGTTTAGTTTCATCCAATGGTAGGCTGAGTCCTGGAAATAATAGTTCAGATAGGATTTGGTGTGCAATTCTGGATCTTCAGGCGCATATTGAAACTGTGCTTGAGTTTGTGGCTGGGCAGGTCTAACTTCAAGAGCATACATGAAAATGAGATCTTCACCTGCTGGGAAAAAAAGTTGACCTCGCAGTCTCTTCTTTTCGGCTGCAAACTGTTATATTGAAAAGTAGGATGTGATTTTGACCAGTAGGATGTGAGAGAATCATGGATAGATATTGTCATAGTGTGTCCATGATACTACCTTATTGTCTTTCAAAGTGTTTTCGCTCCATGGTTAACTGGGATAGGTTTTTCATGGTGTTGGCTGTTGGTTTTCCTACGCATTTAAAATTCTAATGCATTCATGAAGTTTAAGTTATGCGGAGTAGGTCTTTCTGTTTTACTTGCCAATGTCTGGCACAGGGTCAATGAGTGATTTACTTCAATTCTATACTAAGTTACTAACATCTTCTTTTGAAGAGCTCTTCAATGATGAATGCAGTATGGGAACTTAAAACTCTCCAAGTCTGTTTTAAGAAACGAAAACCATGAACTTCAACTGCTAACAAACTTGTGTTTCGACTTTCAAATGAGGTTCCAGGTTTGTTGAATCAAGTTGGCAGAGAATAATTTGGAGTTGACTGAGTGTTCAACACTGTAGTCATAGACAAATCAGCACTTGTAAGACTGGAAGGATGGGTTCTTTCAAGGGTCATGTTGTACCTGGTTCACTGTTCTTGATCATTGGTGCATGGCACATTTGGTGTTCTCTGGTTCGCTATGTCTCCAATCCTAAGTCTTTTCGGGTCCGGGTTTGGAATCCGGTCCCAGGTTTTGAAGGGAAGCTGAAGCACTTGGAGCTCTATATCATCGTGATTGGATCCTTTATAGACCTATGCATTGAGCTTTTGTACTCCACACACCTTAGGTTTTTCGTCAACGGAGTGCTCAATCCTAGTCACCTGAACAATTTTGAGCATTCAGGGATGTTGCTGATGTTCTTTATCCTTGGTGTTCTCGCGTTGCTATCAGAGAAAACAAGGTCGGTGCCTTTCTTTTACCCCTTCATTTTTTTGCAATTCTGGATGAAACACTGTTGGCTGAGAATGTGGCCAGTGAATGTGCCATTGCTTCATTTCTCTGCAACTAGCACAAGCTTAGAACACTGTGATAAATTGTAGATGCTTGAAATTGTATAATCTTTGATGAAGATGTCTCATTATATTGCAAATGAAGCTCATTGTATGGAAATGCTACCCACTGTATTATCACCAAGTTGGTGATTTTGTTTTGGAATGAAACATTAGTCCTTCGAATAAAAGATAAGAAGATTCTCAGATGATTCGCCTGCAAAACAAAGTAGAAGCATTGTTTTCTTGTAAACCACTACTAGCCAACAGTAGTCCCAAATTTGTATCCAAGTTCAAAAAGTGAATAGAAAAGGAAATATGACAGAGAACAACAATGAAAAGCAGAGTTTTGCAGTCATTTCTTGTATTTGACAGGGAGATTCATTGATACTTCGACTGAATAAAGTATAATTCTTGGTGCCCGAGAAGGGCCAGCTATTTTATTGAGCAGCAAAAAAATGAAATCGCATATAACGATAGAATTGCCATTCAAATGAGACCTTTGCAAGTTGTTTAGTGTGTGTATGGTTTTGAAATCTCAATTTGGTTTGATGGAAGCAATGTAAACTAGGAGCATACTTGTCTTGGTTTACCCTGTACTTTTGCTGTGACTAATTATCAATTTTAGTAATCTCAATATTACTATTGGTTTTCAAACTTCCACATTGGTGATCGAATTGTATGTTCAGGTTTCTACCCTTGCCAGATGGAGCGCTCTCCCTGGTAGCCGCCACTGCATTTTGTGCAGAGTACTTGCTGTTCTACTTCCACTCAACAACACACAAGGGCCTCGAAGGGTACTATCATCTCATCCTCGTACTCCTGATAGGACTATGCGTGGTCTCCTCTATGGCTGGGGCACTCCTCCCGGCAAGCTTTCCAGTCGACTTGACTAATGGTATTGCCATGACTCTCCAAGGCCTATGGTTCTACCAGACAGCCTTCAGTCTCTATGGCCCAATGATGCCAAATGGTTGTCAGCTCGAAGGAGATCGAATCGTTTGTGGATCAACTGTCAGCCGCGTTCGTGGCGAGCTGCTGGCTAACGTTCAGTTATTCTCCTTGGTACTTGGGGTGCTTGTTGCTGTCGTGGTATCATATGGTTATGCAGCTTCCAGATATGGCCGCGGGGAACTTGGCCGGTAAAGAACATGTTCACTGACTGTAAGTGAATGATGCATCTCCCCAGCTCGTAACTACTCGTTTTTTTTTGGTGGTGATGTTTGGATTTCATTTACATGGGAAAATATGATGAACTGAATGATGGTTGTGACGCTAACAGTCGATTAGAATAGAATCTCTGATCTCTAATTCACTTGGGTTGTAGAATTGTAGAATTGGATTTTGGATACTTGTAATATTCTTCATTCAGTAGAATTCTCTTCAGTTTGCCTCCCATGGTAAGATGGAAGGTGACAATGAACATATCAGCATACATAATCTTGTTGTACTTGTCATGCAAATTGCAACCTCCCCCCTTTGGTTCCAGACCAATGATATCCTCCTTTCGGGCTCTTGAAATTATGTTTTTATAGGGATGTTAGTGATTTGTGTTGCATCGTCTGGCCTGGTGATTCGTGGATCGGACGGGCATGTTATGTTGAAATGGCTTCCCAAAGTGACTATAGAAAGTGACTTAGAGATGATGGTTCGTTATCTTAGTCAGGGTGCAGTGACTGATTTGTCGGAAGGGTCCCTTCTCTGCGAGTATTGACAGTCGTTCTCATTTTTGGCTGTTGGTGCAGGTTTAGAGTGGTCCTATGAGCCGCAAACCGAACTATTATAGAGTGGTGCGTAAAGCTATGTTGTTGTCTCCTTTAAATTTAGCTTCCTTTTTTTTTAGGTTTGCTTCACTAGTGTGTTGCTCTATAAGGGTGTTTAGGGGTCGGGCGTTTCCTAGTAGTTTATAATATTTCTCTCTTGATATCTCTTAAAAAAAATACAAAAAATTTGTATGAAGTATAACGGCCAGCTTTTTTAATAACATTAATACTAATAGAAAAAAATGTTCAACTTCTGGGACAAGAAATAAAAAAGAAACTCGAATCCATATAATATACTACTCTTTGACAAATTACATAATAAGACATGCCTGATTAGATTGTTTGTATGTCAAACAATTTTCTAAGTTATCTCCTACATTATGTTATCACATTTCCTTAGATCGTTGATTCCTCCAACAATGGTAATCGGTTTGGTCATTAATCGATGATGATAAGGTCTGCCAGTGGTGGAGCTACATATAGTTTAGGATGTGTTATAACTCTCCTCGATTTTTATATCTAAGGTTCAATTTCGCATTCTAAGTTCTAATTTCACCACGCACCTTCGAGGTGGTTCATGCATATCAGAATGATATACAAGCTTCTGGGTTGGTGAGGATACCTAGAATTTGGACAAGTTTGCAGCCTATAATAATATAAACAATGGTTTAACGTTTTCGCCATTCACTGTCAATCCAAAAGCATGGCCGGCCGGCCGCTAGATAATTCCAGTTTGCTTTTTCTGGGTGCATAGTAAGCCAAGGAGCAAGCGTGCTTAGACTTTGGTTGTATTTCAATGAAATAAAATACTGTTATCTTCGATAATGTCAAAACCCTGAGAGCAACAGATATACATTGTTTAGTTGTTTGTTTCAAATTAACAATTGAAAATCCACCATCCACTTCCCCTCTTGCTCACAAAAGATCCCACTTCCCTTGCCCACTAAATAGGATCTTTTTGTAGTAGAATAAGTAAAGCATGGGGATTAAGCTCTCTAGCTTTTATGGTATAAATAAACTTCTGTTTTTAGGTGTTGGATCGAATTTAGAGTGTGGTGGATGTTATTATTATTAATTTAATTTTTTTTAGATTTGTTGATGGTCGTGCGAATTATAGGGCTAATGATGCTTATAGTTCCTATAATATGTTTGTTTAGTTAACAAATAAAAAAATTTACATGTGTTTTTTTATCCATTTTTTTATTGAAAACTTCATCCAAATTCATTACTCATCGTTTCACGTTAAGTAAGCATTAATTATTTGCATGACTCGTTTCCATGCATGTATTTTACAAATTTATGTGCCTGCCCCCTCAATTCGGCTCATGGACCTCGTAGATCCAAGCTCTCGACCTTGTTTTAGTTACTTTCTTGTAAACAATTCATATATCTTTTGACAAAAAAAAAAGATGATGATGAAAATCTAGCATATCGTACAAGATGTGCTTGGACCAAGAACCTCACTTGTAGATAATTCGGATGAAATTTTCAACCGAAAACGTTTGAACAATCTTTTTTTTTTATCTCGGGTTTGATTAAAGGTGTGCTTGATTACTAACTCTGAGCCAACCCCTATCAGAAACTAATTTGGAAGAAACATTCCGAGTGGTACTACAAACGAGATAGTTATATTACTAAAAGTGTCACTAAACCCTAGATTAAAACTAATTTTTAAGCTTGATTCCTTGGTGTTGGTTTTGGGTGGCCAATTTATATTTTTTATATAGTAAATGCAAATGGTTTTGTTGGCTCTTACACGGAAATTGTTGTTGTTGGACAACGACATGGATGGATTGTAGTTGTAGCAACTCTATCATGCAGCCAATTGCCAAAGTGGCATTTCCCTCTGCTCTTTCAGGATTGGAACGGCTACTTCTATAATATCCGTATCTGGCGGATTCGTATATATACGGTGTATTTGGGATTTTGAGTGTATATATATACGTTGATGAAAATTAGTTTGACAACTTGACATGCATGAATTTCAACAAACACAACCATTAACGTTTTACAGTCATAACTCTATAGACGATCTAGTTTGCGTCTTATGGGACCGATCTGAAAACTATACAATCCGAAACAAATCAACTGACAAGTGACAACATCAGTTGAGCAAAGGTTAAATTGATCTAATGGCTGGGATGATAAACATTGGTCTGTGATTAGTGGTTAATGACTTCACGATAGAACAATTAACCTAACATAAATTCCAGCTCAAGGTTTTTTTTTCTATTTTTTGTCTTTAAAAAAAAAAAATATGTGTGAGTTTTGTCATCTTGTGCGAGCCCAAAACATAGTGGTGGTACATTCGGACCTCCAATAACACTTGAAATTTGACTTATGTCATGAATTCTTGGTTTGTGGCAAGACAAAGGACAAATGCGCGTTGACATACAGACAGACTCGTGTGAATATGAAAAAAAAAACAATATTGACTTATGACAAAGGTCAAAATGATCTTATCATTTTTATTCTTGCTGTGTGTGACGATACGTAAATGATATTAGCATTGACCTTAACACTCCCCACATTTCACCACTTCAATCACTCAATCCTGACATTATGAAGCAATGACTTTCAGAAGAAAAAAAATAAGACTTCATGGAAAAAAAATATATATTAGGACAGTGAAAAAAGAAGCACAAATATTCCAAGAAAATACCAAGAAAATGTCTTTCAGTTTAGTCTCCGAGTAGTAGCTAGGTTAATCATAACTTATCTCACATATCAAGTAGTGTTACATGTATTAATACTTTCATGACTGTATGAGAAGCTAAGGTATTTCGGATCCAACTACCGATAGGGTGAATAAAATGTTATTCTCGTATTTAATTAAGTTAAATAGTCGTCTCATTAAAAATTGGTCATGGCTGATGAATTGCGACGATCGACCAAAAGCCTCCATCAAGAGATAATTAAATTTCAACTACTTACAATGATTAGAAAATTATTTACCAACCGTCAATATATATATATGGACTATATGGTGGCTTCTATGAAAAATTTAGAGTACCCGGTACCGTATTCTTTTAGTAAGAACACACTATATAGATCTTAAATAAATCATGTTTCAGGGTATGGTACTATATGCTCGAATACTTAATGAGTGAACCTCTTAGGTTCTAGTTCACCAAATCTCAATCTAAAAAATATGGTTCATATCTAGTATGTCGGATGTATTTCGATGAATCAAAATATTATTATTATTATAAAACTGATCTTAGGATATATGATTAAGACATTTAGGGGTCTTTATTTAACTCATCAGGGCTTAGTATTATAATACCATACACCAAACTCCAATTCCCTAAAATTCTATAAATCTTTTTTTTTTTACTAAGGGTATCTAGGACTCTAAAATTTACCTAAAACTGTATAGAACTCGCCAGATATAGCCTCTCCCCTAACATCATTTTTTAACTTATTATATTTTATTTTTTTAAAAATGACATTATTTATTACGTCAACACCCCATTCACGCTGACGTAGAATAGACGAACGTTTTCCAGAAAATAACAAAATAATAGACCTTTTAATTTCAATTGATGAACACCAAATTTGAAAGAAAGAAAGAAAAAAAAAATCAAGGTCCACTCGACTTCTGTGGAAAGTACTTCATTCAGACTTGTTGATCATCTCACACTGACGGGGGAGAAAGTGAGTGGAAAACATACAAATTAGACTCTTTTTTCTTGCAGAAGCCATCAAGGAGTTGACCAAAAGAAAGACTACTAACAAAAACATCCTCACAACACAACACAAACAAAAAATCAATATTAAAAAACTAAAAAATTTAATAAAGCTGAAGAGGAAAGGAGAGGGAAGAGAGAAAAAAAATGTCAACTACCGCCAATCGTCAAATTTTATAATAATTGATCGCTACACCACGAGCTTGACGAAAAAAATTCACATTCTTCCTCTCATTCCCTTCCCTTCCTCTCTTTTTTTCTTTTCAATTCGTCGTCGATTTCATTATTGTCAATTCGTTTTATTTTTTTCCAGCACCAACGCTCTCACACAAACACAAACAGTATAGTTAGCTAGCGCCTTACATAATTTACAAGCAGAAAGAACCATTCTCTCGGTTCATTCTCCCTAACCCTATAAATACTCGGCAGATGCCGCGAACCGTCTTCTCCTCTTATTATCATTTCATGTAACCAAACCCACTCAACCAATATTCCTTTCTTCTACCTCCATACCTCCAAACTTACAGCGCCATGGGTGACGAGTTCAGCAGCAGCATAAACTGGTGGGACCCTTCCCGTACTACCAGCAGGTTCGACAGCAGCGGCGGCAGCGGAGGAGGAGCAGCGTCGTCCACCACCTCCTCCAGCCTAACCACCGTCGGCGGCGGTGGATGCTTCAGCTCCGTCTCCGCCGCCGGTTCTGGTGCGGATGACATGATGGGGCTGGGCCTTTCGTCGCAGGCCATGGAATGGAACCACCACGCCTTGCTGTAAAATAAAATAACTTCTTCTTATTCATCACGACGAGATTGTCCATTCGATCTTGCGACGTTGTTATCAACGAAAGCTAAATGTTGTTTTTACTTTTTGGCAGGAGGGGGGAGAATAATAAGGAGCACGACCAGCAGAGCAGCAGCAGCTTCCGGTCAATGCTACAGGAAGACCTCACTTACGGCCACCACCCGCCGACCAGCGGCGGCGGAGGAGGAGGAGGAGGAATGGGGCTGTGGAGGGAGCGGCCGACGACGACGACGACGTCGTCGGTGTACACCTCAGAAGCCGCCGCCTCGTCCATTAGAGGATTCTCCCTGGAGCAGCCGCCGCTGCACGACTTCTGCGGCGGAGGCGGGGGAGCGGGGGTTATGTTTCAAGCGGCGGCGGGTTCGTTCGACAGCAGGTTGATGGGCGGATACCCGACGGCGTCGTACGGTGGAGGTACTGCTGCTAATACGGCGGATTTTGGGATTGTTGGGAACGACTCGAGTTGGTCTAGTGGTGGGAATAAGACGGTGCCTCAATTTCTGAGGAATAACTCGCCGCCCAAGCAGCAGCAGCAGCAGCTGCACTTCTCTAACAACGCTCCGTTTTGGAACGCGTCGTCTGCGGGGATGGGTGGCGAGGTCCGGGCGCCGTCGGGCGGCGGCGGGTTCTTCCCGGCCTTGCACCACCAACAACAACACCACCACCAGCAGCAACATCAGTTTCCTGCTGCGTCAAGTTTTGATGACAAGCCAAAGGTTTGCTTAATCTTAATATATGTGTAGTTATTTATGGATTAATTATTGCATAGAGGTGATTAAGATGTTCCGTTTTTCCGTTGCATCCTGGATTAAAAAAAAAAAATTTGCAGAATAATATGGCTGGTGAGGAAGGGAATTCAAGGTCAGTGGTGGTGAAGAAAAGTGAGGGTGGAGGAACTGCCACTAAAAGGCCCAGGAATGAAACAGCATCCACTTTGCCAGCCTTTAAGGTACACTACTACTACACTAGACTACTTGCACTTGCATAACCTTTCTGCATCAGATTTGAACATATTGCGCATAAGCTACTTCGAAATTTCAATCGCAATTGTAAAAAAAACGAGTATGATGATCCAGAATACCAGCTAACTCTACCTAGTTAATAAATTGGATTGTTGCTTCTTAGCTATATGTACTTGATCAATTGTTGCTTCTTTGTGCCCATCTATAATTTGATGGATTTTACAATTTTCCATAGTTTGCAATCATCATAATCATCAACACTAATTTTAATGTAAGCAAATGTGGTGGTCTTTGTTGTATATATGTAGGTGAGGAAAGAGAAGATGGGGGACAGAATCACTGCACTTCAACAATTGGTTTCACCTTTTGGAAAGGTATTACACATATATATATGAAATAACTAGCAAGCAAGCAAGCTACCCCTTGGAAGATAAAAAAAAATGTATATATAATGTCTCCATGGGTTATGATGAAAAACTGAGAAAATCTCAGAACTGGATACTTTGTCTAATGATGGTTCATTATCAATTAATCATCTTTTTTTGTGCTTTTGCTTGAGACATCTAAATTATAGACCCTAATCATGAATTCTTGTTCTTGTTTTGATTTTCACAAAAAAAAAATGAATATGGAAAGACTGATACAGCCTCAGTGCTCTCAGAAGCGATTGAATACATTAAATTCCTCCATGATCAAATCAGTGTAAGCTCGATCATCTCTCATTTTTTCCCTTTCATTAATTCCCCAATAATAAACCATTAATTGAGCTCTCATCAGATTGATGTTTTAATTAATTTATGGCAGGTGCTGAGCACTCCATACATGAAAAGTAGTGGAGCTCCCATAATTATTCACCCTCACCACCAACAACAGGAGAAGAAGCCAAAGGACAAAGCTGCAGAAGGACAGAATAAGGATCTGAGGAGCCGAGGGCTGTGCCTGGTGCCGGTTTCCAGCACTTTTCCGGTCACCCACGAGACCACCGTCGATTTTTGGACGCCGACATTTGGAGGAACATTCCGATGATTAATTCATCATGTCATCATAGTTCTTTTTCTTTTTTTACTAATTACATATATACACACAGACGATTTCCGGCAAGATTCCGACGACGAACGCGACGAACCCATATAGCTTAGCTGAGAAATAATGAATGGTGGATGGAGGGAGATGGGAAGAAGAATTTAGAGAAAGTGGGGGAATTAGATAATTACAAACAGAAGATGGCAAAAAAAAAAAAAACTCACTCACGTCGACGTACTAGAGAGCCCACACATCAGTACTCAAGTTTCTCACTTTTTTGTTGTTGTTGTTGGGAATGAAATCATCATCAAGATTGGGAAAGACAACGACTGTTCATGTGGCCGACTAGATGCCTTCAGAAGACGAACAAAGGAGGAGTATTCTGTATTCATCATCAAGCTGCTTGCTCCATCGCTAGCAAGAATTGGTTCTTATTGGCCGAGAATTTGTTTTGTTTGGGGCCATTTTTATGACTACTACTTTAGCCTCTGCTGCAGTGTAACAATATTATTCATGACTAGCTAGGAATCAGAATATATGTATAGCTAGTGATGATTGGTTGTATTTGCTTCTGATCTTGTTAATTGCCTAGGTTTTTATGGTTAATCGAGAAAGATATGATAAGTTAAATGGGTAGATATTGTTGGAAATGTATATATGAATAGCTTTGAAAGATATAGAGTCTCAAGTGGAAGAACTACCACATTGGTAGTTCTACTCGGTGAAATGTGTATAAAGATAGGAGCCTCTCTCCTAAGGGCATGCCCCTTCGGGTGATCCACTTTTGTGGGAGAGGGAGGACCTAACGGACCACCACACACGCGCACGCCGTCCGGTTGGCTGGCTTGCTTGCTTGCTTGCAACTATATATATATTTTTTGGCGAAATTCCGAACGTAATTAATTATTAATCTGTTATTCTGAGGAATATTCTAAGGATAATCGATTAATAAGGAATATTCGAAGGATAATCCCGCGGAATTTATCTTAACCGACGGTTTTAATTAAGGAAGTACTTATCTTCCTTAATTAATCCGACTTATTCCCCAATCAAGAGGGTATATTCCTAGGAGTTCGGCTCCTATAAATAACCGCCTCCCCAGCCCCTCTAAACACATCACAACGAGTATAAACACAATAGAGAGGGAGTGTTCAGAGAGCTCCGATTTTTGCACAAAACCGCGAGTATTGAGAGGAGCTGTTTTATCCTGGAGACGAGACGACCGGTTGATAGTCTGCCGTGTGCATCGAAGGCAGTGCCGCGAACGTCTTAAAGAGAGAGACCTAGTCCGCGACTCAGCTCCAGATTCGGTAACCTCGTTCTTGTTGTTGTTCCGTTCCTAACAAAAACAGGTACATGTCTGTAATGCTCATTCAATTTTTGCGTATGCATGTAATGTGTTGTCGTTGTTTTATTAAATCGACAACAATGTGAATTTGTGATTACTAACGAAATAACGATCCGCGTATAAGATACTACGACGTCTGATATATTTGCCGGTTTCTTTGTTGAGTTGGTTGGATAACTACTTTATCTTTCTACCTTGTTTCTTTTCTTCTTTGTATTTGAGGCTTTGGCTATTCATCCATTGTTTCTTTTATTTAGTGTGCTAGCTAGTGTAACGTAATGTTGGTGACCTAATGAATTTGTTGGAGATAGAGGCCATGGCCATGGAGCAGAGAAGCTTTTTGTTGAAGGAGAGGGAAAGGTTAACTAGATGAAGAGGGAAATAAGGAAAAGGAGAGGAATGAAAGGGAATAATTGAATTCCAGAATAAGTGAAGGGGGAAAGGATTGTCTATTTGATTGGAAAAGTCTCACTTTTGATTGTTTATGAGTTTGGAATATTGGTAGTGGAAATCAGAGGGTACCCCACAATTTCATTAATTTTGTTTTTTGTTTTTTTGCATGAGGATTATTATTAAATTGCATAATTCTACAGTACACCTTTAATTTCAAGGCAATATTACGAAATTAAAAATGTTCAACAAAGAATTCTTAAATTACTAAATTTTGAATTGTAACTTGTAAACATTACAAATAAATGTTGACAAATTATAAGATCGACGTGTGCCATAACTTGAGTTATGATGCATAATCACTTTTATCATGGTGGTGGTGCAATGTAGTTTGATGTTATATCATCGTGACACTACGATGATAAAATAATAAATTTAATAGGTTTTGCATCTCCATGAATATGTCCATCATATTCTTGTTGATTGTTGGTACTGATATTCAAATCGAGAGTATGTTGGATGTTCTCATCCCGCATTACCACTAGGTCAATCCTTGAAATTGTTGGTTTTTGTTTTTCTCTATATAGGAAATTTAGGTTTATTTTTTTGGTTATGTTTAACATATAATTTGAGGGAAATTAAATAATGAGATAAAACTCACGATGATCATTTTTTAGTGGTTTATCTTATCGACCTTAGTATAAAATTTAGGTTGTCTGGATGACACGGTATTGACATGATGTGTGATGTGTCTCCAAATGTATGGCGTATATATTTGCAAAAATAATATGACTTTATTTATTTATATACAAAATTGCGATACATTATTTTATATATATATATATATTAATATTATGTTTTGAGTAATTATATTTGTGTGCACGCTTTGTGGGGTAGATCTAATGGTCACTTTGTGAAGCTCCCATTGGTAGGTGAGAGTTGCCAAGTTGGAGTGCTTCTTCCACTAGCAACAGAAAGAAAGAGAGGGCTGACTCTATGTGAGGTCATTTGAGGATCACACATCCTTTTTAGTAATGTTATGACTTGATTAATTTGACTCAATACTCTCCATTATTGGGTGGACTTGCAAGTCATCACATGTCAAACCCTAAACGTTTATATATATATGGGATAGGAATGATTCAATGTGAACTAAGATTGGAGAGACATCTTGAAAGACATAGTATTCCTTTTGTTGTTATCGTTTTCTTTAGGAAATTGAATTCGGAATTTTCATATTAGATGACTTTTATTTTAAGTGATAGGACGACGCTGATAGTAAAATAATGGTATGTCTATGGTGATTTTTATTTAGGGTTAGCTTAAAGTGAAAGTTATATTTGAAGTCTGACATGGATAATTTTGATTTATCGTTATGTCATTGTATTGTATGTATTTTGCGGCTTGTAATGATCGGTCTCGTTTTCCTTCCTAATAAGTCGACCGATTTCAACTGAAATGTTAACACCGATAGAAATTTGTGATTGTAGTCTATGGGGTGAGCCCCTTTCTCATGCGTTGGACACAACTTTTTTTTGGAGCCAAGTGATTGATTCGGAACCTAATATGTTTGTGGATTTGAATTGAGTTGTTGAAGTGTTGAAAGCTCCCAACACAAACATGCCATAAGCTCAGCGCAATGGAAAATATGACTTTTGCGACGGATTCATCGTGTTCGGCTCCAATTCCCAACTTTTTGCAACAATATCTGAGATTCCCGTCGCCAAAGGTCACAATTTTTTTGTTCTTTCCAAAGAATTAAGCTTCTCTTTTTTTTGGGTTTATTGATATTTTGGATTCTAGTTTAGTTGATTGGCTGATGTATTCTCGAAAAATTGATACCTCTAAGTCTAGATCAGTCAACAATATAGATCGAATCACTCTTTTACACTGTCTTTTCCAGAGAAACAATATCGAAAAAGTATGAACGGAAAAAAAAATTATAATGCATAGAAAGGAATCCAAGAGATCTGAATTATCATTGCTAGGCCTACCTAGCTATAGCTCTTGCAGGTAGTTATATAAATATACTCTTTCGACTACATTATTTTACTTTAGCAAAGGAACAACATTCATTTGTTCAGGAGATGTATAGAACTTCATTGTTCACCTGTTCTTAAATACACTTTCGAGCACCACCCACCTGCAAAGTTCAGTCCTATTGTCACGAAATGGAAATCCCCCCTTTTTTTTTTCTTGCCCAAGTTCTTCTAATAACTTCTCTTCGCCTGCAGTGGGAAGAAATGAAAAGGAAAGTCTGGTATGGGAAAGATTCTATCACAATCTCCATGTGCTTCCCTCTTCCTCTCTCTGCAGGGCTCTTTCCTGAAACCAACCCTGATTCCTTTCTCGAATCAGTCACAGGAAACTTTGCAGCAGAGGAAAGGATGGCATTCACTCTAACCCTAATTACCCACAAACAACTAACCCAATGTTTTCGTCTCATCCATAAATATTTTCCTAGAGGGTAACTTTACAAGAGTTTTCCTGAGTCTGGTTTGGGTACTATATGATATCTGTAAGAGAGTGTTCGTATAAGATCCGTAATAACCTTCTGCCAACAATTTGAGTTATTGATGGTTAACGATATGGTATCGGAGCTAGTTTGTCTTCGAAGTACGTGTTCAAGTTCTCACAAGTCACAACCCCCAATATTAATCGTTGTCTTTGAAGCAATACGATTCATAATAACCTTCTTACAACAACTCGATTTATCGGTACCAATTGGTTTATGACATGTTATCGAAACTGGTTTGGCCAGATTGTCATGTGTTTGAATCTCCACAACTCTCAATATTAACCGGGAGGAAGCCCGCGCATTGCTTAATGATTAGCTGATTGATCGATTCATCATTGATGGTTTTGGAGATAATCAAATATAAAAGAGAATGCACAAATTCCATTGCTTTAAATTAGGAAATAATTATTGAATGGGAGAGAAAAGAAAAGCAAGGAATATAGTCATAACAACAACTACCATATCCCTTTTCCAAAAGGCTCCTTTTCCTTTCCTTTCCTTTCCTCTCCTCTCCTCTCCTCTACCTTTCCATTTTCAATGAGAAAAAAAAAAGAATATTTGTACTGTAGTAATTTCTAAAGTGAAATCACTTTTATTAGGAAAAAATCATTTTTAATCTGCTAACCCAGATGCTGGAGGAACATTGTTAAATGTTAATCAATCTGCCTCCAATTAAAGTTAATATTCTATGTGCCCCATTTTGATTAAAGCTATCATATATACTCTATAGTACTATGTATGATCATGAAGGACAGTACTGGAATCTTGATATTATATGGAATGGGAAGCTGAAAATGATTGTTCCCTGACACCCACAAGATTTGGATTATCTGGTTTTTCCCTCCTGGGCAGGCACAGGAGTCAGTGGTCAGTCAGGCTGGTAGTTCTGATCTCTGATGAACAACAACAAAAAAAGCGAAAGAGAAACAAGGACTTGATATAGCGGTACTATCGCGCTGATTTAATACGAACAGACGAAAGTGAAAGAGTAACTACCAAGAGAGACACGGACTGAGCAGACTGCATACCCTTTCAGTAACACATAGCTTTCGATACATAGAAACTTCCATGGAGAAAGTAGGGTTACAGAACCAAGCTAAAAGAAAGCCACCTCTTCCTTATCATTACACAGATCGACCATGGTTGCTTAGTAAAGACGTAGAGAGACCTCGAATAGCCTCCGACTAGCATTGCTTTCTTTTGGCGAGAGCGAAAATTATATACCGAAGAATGAGAGCGAGACTCCTGTACTGTATTAAACCCGATTGGATGATTTAGGCCGCACCCTTGAGCTTCTTTGTGATTGCGGCAATGTACTTCCCCTGGTGGAAGGCCTGCTCCAGCTCGAGCTCCGATGGCTGCCTCGATCCGTCGCCTGCAAAAGTTCCGGCTCCGTAAGGACTGCCGCCTTTCACCTTCTCCATCTCGAACATGCCGGCACCAAATGTGTAGCCGATGGGGACGAATATCATTCCGTGGTGAACAAGCTGAGTGATTGCAGTCAATCTGTGGTGGGGCAGTCCCGTATTTCAGGTCAACTAGAGGAGTTCAGTGTCCAGCTAATGATGAAATCACCAGTTTGTGAATCTGGTTTCGATAAGGAAAGAAACTGGGGACTTACGGCGTGGTTTCTTGGCCACCACCTTGAGAACCAGTGCTGTAGAATATGCCAGCAGGCTTGCCAGCCAGCTGCTGTGTCCTCCAAAGAGATCCAGTTGCGTCCATAAATGCTTTGAATTGGGCAGACATCATTCCGAATCGGGTTGGGAAGCCAAAGACGAATCCATCAGCATCAGGGAGCTCGCTTGGTGTGATGTATGGTACATCACTCTTTGTTGGTGCACTCATCTTTGTGAGGACCTCTTCTGGCAGAGTCTCGGGAACCTTCACAGGAATCAATGGAGAGGTAACATCAGGATCAAACTCTGGATTCAACTTTTATGCTCAAAATAGACCTTTGATATTAATAAAGACTGCTACAAATGTTTTATTCTTGCATTGTAGCATTTAATGGTACATATTTTCGCAACCAAGAGTCGCTTAGTGAAAGCTTATGCAGTAATGAACAAAAATCAGATTATGAAGAAAAGCGAGTGTCTTTTCGGCTGACAAACAAAAGAAGGGAGCATTCCATCATAGTAAATCACTAACCAGGCAACAATCTCCTTCATTTTTATGTTAAAATCAGGATGCTAAAGGAACAGGTTCGAATGACACAATCACGGCGCTTTGACATATCAGAATTAGGCAGCCAATTGGCAGAATTGAATCCAAAGGTAACAATAATGTGATTTGGCAGCAGAGTTTGAGGACAGACTTTGAAACCATTGAAAAGATATCAATAGTTTATTTGGCCAAAACTCAAGGAAAAAACTATCCATAACAAATTGGAGAGCAATTCAAGCGACAAAATTGAATAGAAAGGGCAAGCTGATTAAGGCACTACAGCTGCTGCACATTGTAATGGGGGCAATATAGATGTTTTGCTATCAGCAACTAGCCAATTTTCAAAAGACAAAATACATATCTAACAACATGAAGTTGAATATGAATATTGCAATCCAACTATGATATTCAACCATAAAGACCACTACCTGCCATAATTTGGCTTCAACACCTTCAACAGATGCAGCTCCTTCCTTTATTTTCTCTGCAAGTTTCTCCACATGCCCATACATGGAATAGTATCTGTGACGTGATTAAAGGTTTTGAGAAAGAGTGGTGAAAATTGATTTGGATGACTAATAACGGACGCAAACTGGACATAAGTCATAACAAAAATAGTAACTGCATACACCACACGAACTAACACATTTCATAAAGAAAGATAGATAATATATCAAGGAGATATGGTTATTCTAGACTGTTTCATGATTTGTACTCTTAATAAAACTAGGCCTGATACCACTGTTGAAACTAAGAGGCCCATACATGGGATTTATTTGCAATTCATGGATCATCAGAACATGAATTATATGTAATCCATTTCACAAAAATCCACTAGATGTTCAAATTGCATTATAGAGATAATGCGACATAAACTCAGGTGTAAATAATTAATTATGCCCCCCACTGCTCAAGGACGTGGTCACTTGAATTTGCAGTTCTCTATCTTTTTCCACAAAAAGGAAGCTCCTCGTCTGCTAATCTAAAACATAAGATTTAAGTGGCAGAGGAATGCTGTGCTTTATAACAAAATATCACAAAAAGTTTTTCTATTACCCGTGAAGGATCAATGTAGATCTCTGCACAAAACTATGCTGGAACCTAAGCGAAACTTTGCAACATATTACTATGCATCTTGCCATACAGATACTGAAATCTTAAAGGGGCCTTAACCAGACGACATAGAAGTCATGCTTAGAATTAGAGAAGGTATTAATAGGATGTATATGAGTACATGCAATTAGAAAAAGGTATTACTAGAATGGGAAAGAAAACAGTCTTGAGGGCCATTCCAGCAGAAGCTCAGAAAGTAAAAGACCTTCAGCAGAAGAATATGAATGCATGCAGTTTTGGTGTCTGCTATATCTAGTGCATCTACCAAGAGAACATAGAGATTAGTTTAACTATGTGAATTGAACATCTGGGTGGCTTGTAATCTGTATATCTCAGGCTGACGCACAGCACAAACCTGAATGAAGAAGACACACTTCTAAAGAAATTTTGACCACGAGACTTGAAAAATAAGGTAATAGTTTCCCTGACTCCAACTTGCACAGTCTACATTTTAGAATTTCATCCATCGGGCACTGCCATCAAAATAAGAAACAATACGATGTTCTTCATAAATCTCGACCGCCTGCATGTGCTGTTAGCTGCAATGACTTGATCTATATTGCTCTCTGACTCTTATCGTCATTGTACAGCTCCAATTGACCCCAGCCCTAATTACCCACTAAGGATCTAACCAAATTTCCTAACTATTAGCTTGAACAAACAGCACACCAGCAACCCACAATATACTGAATGATTAAAACTCTTCACACAGTCTCACCAAAAAGCTTCAATTTTGAGTGCTCGGCAGTTGACAAGATCGGCAATCATTTTCCCAGCTCCTTCAAATTTTAGAGACAAACTTCACAGCAGCCAAAGAGACGCCGCAAGTAAACTCACAGAGCAAAAGCATAGATCATGGACAATTCGATTTCAACAAACACGCATCAGAGCATAAATGAGGGAAACGAAATTGACATCCGTCCCATCAATTACTTCACAACTGCATACCGACGACGGAAGCACCACAGAAGCGGATTCCCGAAGAATTCTAAAGTTTCAACCACTACAACCACACTCTGGATTACTAGGCATCGAGAGAGAGAGAGAGAGTAACGTACACGATGTACACTTTGGTCGCCATGGAAGTCGATCGAACTGGAGCGAAGCTGTGAGCTGTGAGTTGCCTTTTCCTATCTTCAGTCGGGAGCTTGAGGTGCTGAGGACGCTGAGCTAGTCTTTCCCGTCAAAATATTAAAAAAATTACTTGTTTGACTCGTTAAAAAAGGTCTCGGCTTGGAAATTACTGATCATGCCAAACCGATTTTTATGGTTAGACCGGTTTAGCAAGTGATATGCTTCTATTATTCTATTGGTGTACAAGTACAACTAATTTATATTGATTTTAATAAAACATATGTAGAAGAAATGTGAACTTAGTAACTTCACGCATATATATTCATCATATCTCAAAAAAATAATCTTCCTACATTCTACATTTATATTTTAATAAAATACAATATAATATAATACAAACAAAATAAAAAATTCTCATATTGAAATCAAGGATCAAGAAGGCGTTGGTTGGCGTTGGGGTCCAGCCTAACACCTAAAATGCCTAGGCGGTGTCAGGCAACGCATAAGGGGTTAATTCCCTAAATATTGTTTTTTTTTAATTTACCACGAATATGGTGTTTTTAAAAGTATTTACAACAATATTGTGTTTTTTGATATGTCTAAAGCGCCAAAGCCTTGGACTCAGGCGCCGCCGCTGGGTTCTTTTTTAACAAAAAAAACATAGCGGCCCCGCCCCAGACTGGGGCTTTGTCGCTTTACAGAAGGTAATAGCGACGACGCCCCAGACTGGGGCTTTATCGCTGCCATTTTGTTCCACTCCAGCACCACCCCTCACCATATATACTGCTGCACCTTTCCTTCGGTTCTTCATCACAAAAAAACTGAAAGAAGTTCTGAAAGAAGCTCTGGTGTTGCTGTCTGGTTGCTGGGAAGATGGCTAATAACAGGTAAGAGTCGTAATTTTTTTTTCCATGTATTCATCATAATGATTTTGTCTAGTTAGTAATGTAATTAGTGAGTTTGTTTTTTATGTAGTGATTTTAGAAGATTTGAACTAGCTGTTCGGTGGCGATCAGAGAAAGTAGAAGACAATTTGGGTGTCCATTTTGTTGGTGGTCTTAGTTTCCAGATGACTATTCCATCCAGGGTGAACTATCAGAAACTTTGTGATCATCTAATTCGGAGAATACGGATTAGAGACGAAACAGTACAAGATAGTGTTGTGATTACAGGTTTCACCTACTGTCTTCCAGAATGGCAGAATGGTGTTTTATTTCATTATGCAATGCCTATTGTCGATGATGATAGCTTAAATGTGCTTTGGAATTTTATGGCACAAAATCCTTATTGTTTGGGTGCTGAGATACATGCTGAGCTCAGTGAGAATCGGGGTGGAGAGGAAGACGATGATGACGATGATGACACATGGAGCATGCCATCCGATCATGATTATGATGACGGTGATGACGGAGATGAGGAAGACGATGAGGAGGAGGAGGACGACGACGACGGGGAGGGAGGGAGGAGAACAACCTAATTTTCCTCCATATTTTTACTTGCAGGGTAATGAAGAGGACGAGGAATTATCATATGCTGATTCATATGGCGTAATTCCAGGGTCTACTGTTGGTGGTTTTGATGGAGAATTCTACAAGGGGCAAATATTTCACTCGAAACAAGCTGCACAGGTGGCGATGAAACACTATGCACTACAACGCAACTTTCAGTATAACGTGGTGGAGTCGTCACCTTCAATCTGGAAGATCAGATGTTTGATGCACAAGGAGGACAAATGTCCTTGGATGGTGCGGTTTGGATGTCGAGAAATGGGAGGCGATTGGAGCGTGAGAAAGGTCGAGTTGGTGCATACTTGTAGCAGTACGACTCAACCGACGGATCATCGCCATCTTGATGTCGACGTGATATCTGAGGCCGTCAAGCACTTGGTACGTGCCCAACCAAATCTGAGTGTTCTAACTGTTCAGGCCGAGTTGAAAGATAAGTTTAATATGCAAGTTACTTACAAGAAGACTTGGTATGGGAAACAAAGAGCATTGGAGAAGTTGCATGGAAATTGGGAAGAGTCCTATGATTTTTTGCAAACATTCTTGCGGGTGGTCAAGAGAAAAATGCCAACATCGGTGATTCATTGGGTAAGAGTTCCTTCAACTCAACCAGGTCATTCAATATTTCAGCGAGTATTTTGGGCTTATGGACCGAGTATAGATGGATTCAAGAATTGTCCAGGCGTTATGGTTGTTGATGGAACATTTCTTACTGGGAAGTATAAAGGAGTGCTACTCATGGCGAGCTCATTTGATGGACGGAAGAAGATTTTTCCAATTGCATTTGCCATAGTGGAGAGTGAGAATACTGATAGTTGGCCATGGTTCATAACTAACGTTCAGGGTTTGACTGATCGAAATGATGTATGCATCATCTCAGATAGACATGCAGGAATCTATGAAGCCATGAATAACATCGGAAGAGGTTGGGAGTGGAGGTGGTGCATGCGACACTATGCAAGCAATTTGCAAAGGAAGACTAAAAGCAGAATTATGTATAATCAACTATTTCGAGTCGGTAACCTTTCTTCATATAATTTTGTTACTTGTTTTGATGTAATTTTGTCATGAATTTATCTAACCCGTGTGGTGGTTTATTTTATTTTGTTAGCCGGAGAAAAACGGTTGGAGAAGTTTGATCGTCAAGTTGAGCAATTTAAGAAGGTGGCCGCTGATAGAAATATTTCATGTGATAACTGGGTGGATCAACATCAGATTCGTTGGAGTTTAGCACACGATAACTACAATGGTGGGCGTCGTTGGTCTATCCTGACATCCAACATGGCAGAAAGCGTCAATGGTATTTTCAAAGGTACAGGTTGGAGACGGGAGCAGAAATTAGGAGTGATCCTTCACAATTCTCCACCAAGTGCGAAGAGCTGATGAAGGCGTGGTCACAAAAGGCAGTTGGACATTCTGTGACAGCTCTTGATCGAGCTCAAGGCATCTATGTAGTTCAGACTCCTCCCAACAATTTCAACATGACGGGGTCAAACACACTCACAGTGCACTTTGACGACCCCAACCGGACGGGATTTTGCTCCTGTGGTAAATTTCAAGGAAATAAAATTCCTTGCTCTCATGCCATTGCAGCTTGCAACCGAATGGGTGTTAATGCGTATAGGTTTGTCAACAATGTCTACAAGCTGGAAACAGTGATGGCTTGTTATGGGACAAGTTTCGCACCTCTTGGTGAACCTAAGGGTTGGAAGAAGCATAATGACCCTACTCTCCATCCTAATCTGGACATGATTAGAAAGCCGGGAAGGCCAAGATCAACACGAATTCACAACGAGATGGATTGGCCAAGGGAGGGTTCATCACAGCAAGTGTGTAGCAACTGTAACCAAACGGGACATAATGCATCAACCTGTGGTCGCCAAGCAAGTGGGAGTGGGAGCAACCGAAGAGGGAGTGGTGGCCAACGAAGTGCGAGAGGTGGTAGAAGAGGAGGAAGTAGAGGGAATAGACGTGGCTGAGAAGTTAGTTCGAATGTAGCAGTTGTTGTTTTTCTTTCAATTTATCTCGCAGAAGTTGTTGTTGTTTGGAGTTGTTGTTGTTTGGAGTTGTTGTTGTTTGGAGTTGTTGTTTGAAAAAACTCCTAATTTAATTTAATTACAATCGTAATTTAATTTAATTTAATTCTATTCTATCATATTATTCAGCTAATAAAACTATAGAAATAGTTTGAAAAAACTTACCTCATTTGCCCAAACAGCGTCGATTCGATGGTGACCATGCCCCCAAAGAAGTTCCGGTTCCATCGGTGCTGTATCGATCGTCGCAGGTGGTGGTCTCATCGAACAAGGATCGATAAGCCTAGGAACTGGAAGAAAAAAAAAATATTAGAACATAAAAAAAAATATATATTAGAACATAAAAAAAAAATATTAGAACTGGAAAAGCCGCCGCCGGCGAGATTCCGGCCGCCGCCGGCGAGAACATACCCCTGTAGCGTTCGCCGCCGTCACCGCCGCCGCTACGCCGCCCTCGGCCTCTTCCTCTGCCGCCGGGGGCTTGTTGCTCGTCGTCGGACATCCTGCGTCGCCGCGCTGCCGCTCTCTTTGCCGCGCCGCCGCCTGGGTCTGAGGCGCTGCCGCCAACTGCTGGGCTTCGCCGCTCGGTTGTTGGCGTCGTCGCTGGTAGGGTGAAGGAGGATGGAGGGAGGATGAGAGGAGGTAAGGGAAAGGGAAGGGATGAAATGGGTGGGGGTGTCTGGTGCTGGACGAGGGAGGGGAATTAAAAAACAAAGGAAGCCAGCGAGGGCGCCCCAGTCTATGGCGCTGGCGCAATTTGAAATTTTTGAAAATTTCAAATTGTGCCAGCGCCATAGACTGGGGCGCCCTCGCTGGCTTCACCTTAAAAATCTCTATTTGCTGAGTCTCGGGCGCCGTCGCCAACTTTCCTCATAAAAACACAATATTGTTGTAAATACTTTTAAAAACACCATATTCGTGGTAAATTAAAAAAAAACAATATTTAGGGAATTAACCCACGCATAAGCATTTAAACAAAAATAACCATTTTTATCCCTATCCCGAATGAAAAGTTGCAGCGGTGGGGGTGACTGGTGAGGGCGCGTGGCATCTAACATCCGCTAACAGTAAAGGAGTCGTTTTTACTAGCCGGTGTTGGCCTTTGGTTTTTTTGTTCTGCAGGAACGTGGTGGAGCGTTTTTACTAGCCGGTGTCACACTACATCAGTGCTAGGGATGGCAACAAAACCCGAACCCACGGGTACCCACCCGACCCAACTCCGTCAACGCGGGTAAAATCCGTGTTGACGGGTTTTGGGCCGGGTTGGGTTTAAACCCGTTCACTATTCATCCGGTTGGGTTGGGTTTGGGTTTAGGTAAACCCGACCCGTGGGTACCCGCCCACACCTATATAATTAATTTTCTCGGTATATTTGATATTCTAAGCAACTAATCTTATTTATGTTTGTGGAGACATGTCTAATTTTTTCTTTCTAATTGTGTAGAATTAAGTTGATGTTATCGAGTAGAGAGTGAAAAAACTTAATTGAAAGGAAGAAGCTTTCAATTAATCATATTATTTATGGATAATTTGTGATTTGCTTCAATTTTCTTGAGTTTTCTAAATTGGTGTTGAAAATTTTGTATAGTTAATTTGTGATTTTCTTGAATTTTCTAGAATGGTGTTTTATATATGGATAATTTGTATTGAGAGATTGATATTTGACTTTAATTTTGATAGAAACTTGTTATTGTAAATTTTTACGACAAAAACCCGTGGGTACCCATGAACCCGTGGATACCCAGCGGGTTGGGTTGGGTTTGAGTTTTTCAAACCCAATGGGTTTTACCCCGGGTTTTTTTCAAGGAGAAACCCATGGGTTTGGGTTTGGCAAAACCCGACCCAACCCGACCCATTGCCATCCCTAATCAGTGCTACTTAAGCGTCTGCAGACAGAGGCATCAATGTTTTTTTTTTTATCTCTATACACTAGCCAAAAAGTAGCGGTGGTGGGCTTGGATGAGAGTTGTTGTGCTTATCCCACAAACAGAGGAGCTAGCTTCATTTTTGCTTTTCCAGCTGCTGATGCAGTGTCACTCGTGGCAATTGGGCCCCTCTCATGGGCCTATTGGGTTGAGTCTATTTTTGAGTTCGTTGTTTTGCAGGTAGTTTGCACTTCAGTTCGGTGTTGCGGGCCCTAGCTTTTAGCATGAGTAGCGGACTCCAATCCTACGTGGAGGCACGTAGAGCTTTAAGGTGCAGTGGTGTAGCGGAGAAACTTATATCCTTTTTTAGGGTTTAGTGTTTTTGTCACTCTATTCTTAGGAACTAACAGAGCTGCCCATTTAGTGACATAAAGGGCTCTTTCATCGACAGATCGATTAGTATTGACTGCCGTTAGTTTTATTTATTGTAAACATATCTGTCTACTATTTCATCTGACTATGATATAAAAAAATAATTATTTTTAGTATATATAAATATATATAACTTTTACTTAGGTTCATTTTCAAATGATTAATTTATAAGTTAGCCAAGTAGCCAACCCTCAAGAACAATCTAAGTTATTTAAATATAAGCACACAACAACAACAAGAAGTTAATAAAAACGATCAACCGACAAACATTTAAAAACTGATTCATTCACCATCATAAAAATAGGTTTATCGCGAGCCACCACTCTGTCTTCATCATCCTGAAAAGCAATCTCCTCTCTATCCTCCTCTTCTTCCTCCTCGTCGGACTTGAATTCTTCCTTATTAAGCCCTCTCGTTCTTGCAATCCTGCTGGTAGCATTTCTAGTTAGGGTTGATTGACAAACAATGTGCATGGTACTTGATCAACAAATATTCGTTGTTGTAAAAACCGGAGGCTGAATTGGGATGATTCTCGATAATTTTATTATCATAATTGTATGATTTAAATAACATTTTTTATAATTTTATTATACGATGCGATTTTACAAAACATAGAACAATAGCTATTCGTCGGAATTGTGGTGGTTGAGTTTGGGATGAATGCAAATAATTTGTTATTCACTTAATCACTTACCTAATACCTCTACATGCTATTTAATTATTTATTTTTCTAAAAAAAAAAAATTATTTATTGCTCAGATGTATGGTGGCGATCGTATATGAGCTGCAAACAAACAGAAAAAAATAGACAACCATTCGAACTGTATTTTGTCAAAGCGTGGAAGGGGATAATTTTCTTTTATTTCCCCTCAGATTCCCAAAGATCTCCATCAGATTGGAGCCGAGTATAAAAAAATTAGTTATATTACAATTTACAAGCCCTATTTTGCTGGACGGTCTCCCGTGGAAAATGCCCAAATGAGGGAAAGAGGGAAAACAAGACAAGGTTATACACGTTGGTGGGAATCAATTCATCAAAGTGAGAGCAATAATTAGTACTAGAATAATTAGTCACCTTAGCGTCAGAAATTAAATCGGAATCACATGTATATGACGTCGCGCCGGTGAGTATGAAATAGTTAGCAAAATAATCGGTTTATGAAGGTTGTATACATTACTACTTGACATTTGTATAGTTACCCGTCTCACTTTCACGTACTAAACACGTATAGAACATATATATATAACACGTCTAGCATACTTAGTCCGAAGAACGTAATGTTAATTTAATGCAACTGTTAAGACCGTAGTATACCCATAGAATATTGAGCTAATTTCCACTAGGAATCCCAAACTATTCAAAAAGTGTCATTTGTGGCCTAAACTATTCAATATGACAAACCGACGTTGACCGTTAGTAGATCATATAAATGTAGTCAACTTCTATCTGGTTTGGGCCAGATTTGTCATATTGAATAGTTTAGGCCACAAATGTCACAAAATACATATAGTTTGGGCCAGATTTGTCAGATTGAATAGTTTAGGCCACAAATGACACTTTTTGAATAGTTTGGGCTTCCTAGTGGAATTAGCTCTAGAATATTTTACTAACTACCGAGTTTTGCTAGCCCTCATTGGTATACCATTACCTAAAACATGAAGTGTTATGATTGAGTACTTGCTTTATCTTATATTCATGGATGATGAATGATTGATTTTTAATCTGAGGCGCCCTAATTAAAACCACAATATAAGATAACTAAGTCAACATAAGACTACTAGCTAGAAGTAGGATTCATAGTACTAGGATTCCTAATCAAATTAAGAAAAACTCATTTTAGGATATACCTTATCCAATATGATCAAGATTTTGAGCAAGAAATCCTATAGGCTATGATTCATTTCATACTTTTATCAAGGGGAAAAGACTTTATTTTACGTGTAATCACCTGAAAGCAGCTTGTAGGATGTAGAGAAAACATTTTCCACCAAAACAATAAAAAAATTATACATGATATAAGATCTAAAATCAATACTTGTGTCTGATCAAACAATTTGAGTTATTAAGAAAACATATATAAGAAAATAATATAAAACACGTTACACCGATCTCTTCATAATTCCAATTATTGCATGTACATCATTTCCACTTCTTAAAAAAAATTCATTTAAATCTATTATTAAGAAACAGAAGTCACTATTAGGTGGAAATTTGTCGTTTGACACTCTTACCCACATGCATGAGCATGACTACTCCTTATTTGGAACTTAATTAATCTATCTTCTGTCAAATAATAGAAAGAAATTAAACTACTTCATCTCTTTTGTTAAATACAGCCACCTTTTCGTTCCTATAAAGAGCCACAGGCAGGAAAAAGCTCCTGTGTCAATTTCCACTGCTCTGCTCGTTGATCATATATACTTTGTACGTCGGCGGCGGAACGATGACGGTGGATGAAATCCGCAAGTTGCGACGGCCGGAGGGCCCTGCCACCGTACTCGCCATCGGCACCGCCACTCCTCCCAACTGCTACCACCAAAGCTCTTTCCCAGACTTCTACTTCCGCGCCACCAACACCGACCACCTGACGGATCTCAAAGCCAAATTCCAGCGCATCTGTAAGTCGACCTTGCTTTTTCTCTGAAATTTCTACACAAATATTTCCCAAAATACTAAAATTCGGCGTTGTTCATCTAATATCAAGTGATCTAGTGTGGATCACAACAGACTTAAGTGAATCAACTCCCAAGTCCCAACAGGGATAGATTGTTGAACAAACCACACTGGTTGTGTAGATCTACTCCATCTGATCGTAGCATTTTATGTTTAGCAACAATCGGATAACCAAGCGCAAAAATAAAGGTTGTTCAAAATTTCGGCCTAGGTTATAAGTAGTAGATCTGGGGTTTGTTGGAGTCTGGTTCGCTTCGGTCTCGCGTGATCTGAGTGGTTCGCTTGTATTTGTCGCAATTCAGGTGGTTAAAGGCTGGTTCACTTATGTCTGGCATGATCTAAGTTTATACGAAACTGATTCACTATGATTTGACGCGATCCGGTGTAGATCGTTCCTGTCTCCAGCAAACTAGTGCATAGTTTGGTTGACACTGAAGCGAACCACGCCAAGTTTAGATAGTTTGGGATTTTTTTTTTTTTTTTTGTTAAAGTGTGGTAATGATAGATTTTTTTACAGTACATTTATATATTTTGGGGTAAAAATTTCCACATAATCTATAACCCAATTCAAAGCTTGATCCTTGCAGGTGAAAAGTCCAAAATCAGGAAGCGTTACCTGCACGTAACCGAACAGCTTCTCCAGAAAAACCCTAACATGGGCTCTTACTCCGCACCGTCACTGGACGCCCGCCAAGAAATGATGACCGTGGAGGTCCCGAAACTGGGCAAAGAAGCGGCCACCAGGGCCATCAAGGAATGGGCCCAGCCCAAGTCCAAACTCACCCACCTCATCTTCTCCACCAGCACCGGCGGCCACATGCCAGGGGCCGACTACCAGCTCGCCAAACTCATGGGCCTTAGCCCATCCATCAACCGGCTCATGATCTACCAACAGGGCTGCTTCGGCGGCGGCACCGGCCTCCGCCTCGCAAAAGACCTCGCCGAGAACAACAGAGGCGCCAGAGTCCTCGTCGTTTGGTCGGAGATCACCACCATAGGCTTCCGCGGTCCGCCGCCTGATTCCGACTCGGACATTTCGATCTTGGTCGGCCACGCTCTGTTCGCCGACGGCGCGGCGGCGGTAGTTGTCGGCTCCGATCCGGTTCCCCGAGTCGAGAAAGGGTTGTTCGAACTCGTCCATACGACTCAGACTACGATCCCCGATTCGGAAGGAGCAATCGAAGGGTTTACTCGCGAAGCCGGTCTGGTGTATCACTTGTCGAAGAGGCTGCCGGAGCTGATTTCAGAGAACATTGAGAAGTGCCTCGTTGAGGCGTTCCGGCCACTGGGGATTTCGGATTGGAACTCGATTTTTTGGGCTGTACATCCCGGCGGGCCCAAAATTCTGGATAGGGTCGAGGCTCGGTTGGGCCTTGAGCCCGAAAAGCTGCGGCCCACGAGGCATGTGTTGGCCGAATACGGTAACATGTGGAGCGGGAGCGTGGTGTTTGTGCTGGATGAGATTCGGAGAAGGTCCGTGAAGGATGGGCCCAGGACGGTCGGAGAAGGGCTGGATTGCGGGGTGCTTCTTGGGTTTGGGCCTGGGCTTACTGTGGAGACTGTAGTTCTACGTGCCCTGATTTAGGCTGGAGTCGTTTGACTTTTTCATGCTTCATTTTAAGGTTGATGTGCTTGCCTGAGCTGGGAAAGTGTTTGTGTTCATTTGTTAAAAGGTTCAGTCTCTTTGTACTTAAGAATTAAATATTTGCACGATCGAGAAAAGCATAATTGAAAGGAGTCATTGAACAGTTAGAAACTGTCTGTCATGCAGCTTGTGAATCCAGGTCAACCTTCACATGGAGTCCAAAATAAGAGCAGCCATAGAAGACGATCCTCCATCCAAAACACCAGACATCAGCATCGTTGACATCATTAAATTGTTGCAAAGTCCCTGTCTAAGGTCAAGGCATGGAAGTAAGAAGGAAAAAAATAAGCCATGGGAGAAGAACTCGCTTGAGTCATCTTCAAGCTGCAGTAACTCTGCAACAAGTTGAATAATATCACCCCATCTTCATCTACCCTTTGATCATTTCTTCATCCCGCATTCAATGGTGACACCAGAAAAGGAATATGTCTTCAAATTATTCAGCGGGCGGTTGGGGGAACAGCCGACGATAGGTTACTAATTAAACATCTGCTGGGCGAGCCCTCGAATCTAAACCCTTCTATCTATTCAATCTTAATCTCATTCCCCTTCTTTAACAAAGCAAAGCTCGTCAGACAATCATCCATGGCGTTAATCAACGCAATCGCAGCTCTGCTCTGCTGTCTCTGTTTCCCCCTGTTTTCTGCCACCACCGACATCATAACCCCAGCTCTTCCCCTCCGCGACGGCGACACCATCTCCTCCCCCGACGGAACCTATGAAATGGGATTCTTCAGCCCGGGGAGCTCCAAAAACCGGTACTTTGGGATTTGGTACAAGGAAATCCCTGTTTTCACAGTTGTTTGGGTAGCCAACCGCGAGAAACCCATCACCCCTGACTCCTCCTCCCCTGCATCCTCATCCTCATCATTTTCAGGAATTCTTCAGCTAACCAACGACGGGATTCTCGTCATTCGTCTCAATTCCACAAATTCCACCGCAATTTGGACATCAACGACCACAAAAGGTGCGCCACCGGTCAGCAGTAGCACTCACCTGGTGGCTCAGCTTCTGAATTCAGGAAACCTGATAGTCAAGCAAAACGAAATTGGAGATGAAAATCCACACTGGCAGAGCTTTGACTACCCAGGGGACGCTTTCCTGGCCGGAATGAAACTCGGGAGAGACCTTGTCACGGGTCTGAACCGGCCGATGACGTCGTGGAAATCCCCCGACGACCCATCACAGGGAAATTACAGCTACGGGGTGGAACTCGGCGGATACCCTGAACTCGTCCAGAGAGAAAATTCAATGGAGCGGTTCAGGACCGGGCCATGGAACGGCGTCAGCTTCAGCGGGACGCCACATCTGAAACCCAATCTCCTCTACACCTACGAGTTCGTGTTCACCAAAGAGGAAGCTTACTACATCTACTACCTCCGCAACACGTCGGTCATATCCATGATGAAGATAACTCCCACCGGTCTGATTCAGAGGTACACCTGGCTCGGCGTCAAGCAAGGCTGGATGATCTATCTCACGGCGCAGAACGACAACTGCGATCGGTACGCGGTGTGTGGGGCTTATGGCAGCTGCGACATCGAGAGCTCCCCGAGTTGCAGCTGCCTCAAAGGGTTCGTCCCCAGGGTGCAGAGGGAATGGGATATGGTGGATTGGACCAGTGGATGTGTGAGGAAGACTCATTTGAATTGCCTGGACGATGGGTTTGTGAAGTACTCTGGTGTTAAGCTGCCCGAGATGTCGAACAAGTCGTGGTTCGATGCGGAGATTGGCTTGGAAGAGTGTAGGAAAGTGTGTCTGAGGAACTGTTCGTGTACGGCTTACTCGAGTTTGGACATCAGGAATGGTGGGAGTGGGTGTCTGATTTGGTATGGTGACTTGCTTGATATTAGGCAGTTGTATGACAATGGTGAAGACCTCTATGTGAGGATGGCTCGTTCAGAGATAGGTAATGAGGGGAAAGGTTTGGTTTTAGTTCGCCGTCGAATTTGGACCTGGCTGTGAATTGAATTTGGTTCTGTTTTCTTCCACAGATGAGGAGAGTAAGCATCTGGAGATCAAGGAAGCAAGAAGGAGAAGAGTAATTTGGATCTCTGTGGGAGGAGGGTTATTAGGTGGTGTGTTGTTTGTGATGTTTGGATTGATCATTTGGGCGAAGAGAAAGAAGGTGCAGGGGAATGGTAAGAGCAAGTTTCGATTTCGTACCGGATCATCGTTGTATGATATGGTAAAATTTTACTAAGGCGGTGGTGAAATTTTGCAGGTTCAGCTGAATGTTCAGACTTTTTGCAATGTATGAGTAGAAGTGATATGAGGAAAGAAAGGGAAGATATGGATTTGCCATTGTTTGACCTTGCTACCATTGTCTCTGCAACTAACAACTTCTCTGACACTAATGTTCTTGGACAAGGAGGGTTTGGAACTGTTTATAAGGTAATTGCTTTACTTTTGGAACTGTGACATTGCCGATATATGTAGCAGAAAACTAGAGGCTGAGAAATGGTGTACATTTTCTTTGTACAGGGGATCCTAAGAGATGGAGTGGAAATTGCTGTGAAGAGGCTAGCAAAGGATTCACTACAAGGAGCCGACGAATTCAAGAACGAAGCGATGCACATTGCCAAGCTTCAGCACCGGAACTTGGTGAGGCTCCTGGGATGTTGCTTGCAGCGCGATGAAAGAATGCTGGTCTACGAGTTCATGTCCAACAAAAGCTTGGACGTTTTCATTTTCGGTTTGTGTTCCGTTCTCCCCGCTCTCAGCCTGTTAGACTGGAAAATCTCCAAGTTGAACTGTACAAAATCATGTTGTGCAGATAGCAACCAGAGCCACATTCTAGACTGGCCTAAGCGACATAACATCGTCAAGGGGATTGCTCGCGGGATTCTCTACCTTCACCAAGACTCGAGGCTGAGAATAATCCACCGCGACCTCAAAGCCGACAACGTGCTGCTAGATCATGAGATGAACCCCAAGATATCGGATTTCGGGTTGGCCAGAACCTTTGCTGGAAATGTCATCCAAGGAAACACAAGAAACGTTGTGGGAACATAGTAAGCAAAGATCATATCTGTTATCACCCTTACAATATTTAGTTGTTTACTTTGAACTGTTGAATTAATTGAGAATCAATCTTTTTTTCTGAAGTGGCTACATGTCACCTGAATACACGATCGACGGGATCTACTCGATCAAATCGGACGTGTTCAGCTTTGGAGTGATGGTGCTGGAGATATTGAGTGGACAAAGAAACAGGGGATTCAGCCATCCCGGCCACGAGCTTAACCTCCTTGGCCATGTAAGTTTGGTATACAGACATTGTTCCACTTCGTTAACTGAAAGTCTTGCTCCAGACTACGAATAAAATAACAGTTCTCTTGTTGGGATTTTTTTGGCTCAGGCATGGAGCCTGCAAAGAGAAGGCAGGGGTCTAGAAGTGATAGATGCAACGCTGAGAGAGTCGTGGGACGACGAATCGCAGGTGCTACGATTGTTACACATCGGACTACTGTGCGTGCAGAAGAGCCCCGACGACAGGCCGAGCATGTCGCTGGTGGTGGACATGTTGAGCGGGCACGGTGGTCTGTTGGAACCAAACCAGCCGGGATTCTTCGCCGAAAGGGACATCTCATTCGCGAGTTCTTCTTCGAGCGGGAACAGAGGTCTCTGTACAACTACCATGTCTGTTACGTTGCTACAAGGGAGATGAAGGTTGTAGTAACAAAGGGACGTCGAACAGGAGGAAAATGGGTTAGGAATTAGGCGTACAAATATGATACGAGAGCTTTGTAGTGACGATATGGTTTAGAAAATATTTTCTCCCTTCTTTTCTTGAGTTCTGAAAGAGCCATTCAGGTTTCGTGAATCGTAATTCGTAACTGTGTATATGTACTTTTGAGTCTGTGATGATAGGCTTATTAAGTTATTATTAATGTTATTGGTTAAATTCCGGGATAACTAGCAAAAAACGCCACTAAAAATAACGAAATCACTACGGATTATTATAAAATCAATACAACATCTAAGCTAAATCACTACTAATTCAAACTAGTAGTAGTTTTTCCTTTGATTATGACGGTGCTAACTATTGTACAATTAGCACCGTAACCACTCCCTTAAATTCCTAAATTTGAAATTTACTGGCAGTACATATTAGAACTTCAGTTAATGCCTACGCAAGAAACAACCTCTCTGCCCAATTATGGGAAAAGTGAAATAAAATAAGGGTTTTGCCGAACCAAATTTTCAATTAATTTTATTGTTGACCTTATTAAATCTGCAAAGTCTCTGTCGCATGTTTCTCTTTGACTTTTAGCAGCCATTCTCTGTTCCATTCTACAAGCAATTATAAAAAAAATTGGCGCCATTACCAAACGAGAATAGAAATTCCAACACACAAATCATGCATCCCTAGTGAACGGATCACGAATCTTTGTTTTTAACCTTTTGAAAAACAAATTTTGTGATTTCTTGAGTGCGACGTTCACATAGGTTTATAAAAGTTTGACTTGATCTATATCGATTTCTCAACTAAATTCTTGGAACCTGACCAATGATTTTATAGTTTTGATATTTCTAAGTTAAAGAATTCGTCCCCTAATCAAGAACCCTTCACAAGCATTAATTTTTTTTTTTTTTTAGAGAAACAATCATTAATATTTTTTGGTTAAAGCATTCAACTCCTTATCAAGAAATCCTTTTACTCTTGACTAAGTCTATCTTCTGTCTGATATTGAAATTCTTAATATTTTATCATAGTCATTCATTGTGGTTCATATGTAATTTGACTCCTCTCTGTCGACATTTATGTGCGGCAATGTAGGGTGCTAAACAAAAATTTTGTCAGCTATAACACACAAATTTATTATCTAATAGAATACAATCCGTTCCTCGTACTCCAAAATTTGTGAAAATGCTTGATCACTTCACTGGATGGATTTTCGCAACTCGATCTAAGACACTTGACAGTTGACACACCATCAAGAATTGTCCTCTTCGCATGATTATGATGATGGATGCCTAACTCTTAGCGATTAGCATGTCTCTTTGTTAGAATTTATTTTTTTTATTTAATCTCAACGAATTGGTCTAGTTGTAATGCGAATATGAGAATATCAGTCACAATTTAATCAATAACAAAAATTAATTTTGTTAGAAACTTGACCGCCGAATTTACATCGACGAAAAAAACTACTACTAACTCTGCTATATATTATTGGGTAGAGAAAGATTGGGAGATTCCTCGTATCTGTCTCCACAAAGAAAAACTCGTCCAACATTCAGTCATGACCATGATCAACGCAATCACAGTTCTTCTTCTCTCATGTCTCTGTTTTCCCCTGCTACCTGCCACCTCCACCTCTGCCAACGCCATGAACCCAGCTCTTCCCCTTCGCGACGGCGACACCATCGCCTCCCCCGACGGAACCTACGAAATGGGCTTTTTCAGCCCGGGAAGCTCCAAAAACCGCTACTTTGGAATCTGGTACAAAGAAATCCCTGTTCTCACAGTTGTATGGGTAGCCAACCGCGACAAACCCATCACCATTAACGAGTCTCTCCCTTCATCATCAAGACCACTCCTTCAGCTAACCAACGACGGCATTCTCGTCATTCACATCAATACCACCAACGCCACCGTAATTTGGTCATCAACAGCAACAGGTTCGCCGCCGGTCAGCGATCCGGTGGCTCAACTTCTTAATTCAGGAAACCTGATAGTCAACGAAAATGATGACACGGGAAGTGAAAATCCGCTCTGGCAGAGCTTTGACTACCCTGGGGACACGTTTCTCCCCGGAATGAAACTGGGGAGAGACCTAGTCACCGGTCTGAACCGGCAGATGTCGTCGTGGAAATCCGCCGACGACCCTTCACAGGGGAACTACAGGTGCGTTTTGGTGATTTAGAAACGTATTAAATGTAATGTTTTAAACTTAAAAGTGTAAATTTTGACTACACTTTGTAAATTAGAAACGCGCGCGATTATTTGACTACATTGCAGTTACGGGGTGGAAATCGGCGGCGACCTCGAGCTCGTCCTGAGAGAGAATTCAATGGAGCGGTTCAGGACGGGACCGTGGAACGGCGTAAGCTTCAGCGGGACACCGCCATTGAAACCCAATCTCGTCTACACTTACGAGTTCGTGTTCAACGAAAGGGAAGCATACTACATCTACCACCTCCGCAACGACTCTGTCATAACCCGGATGTCGATAACCCCGACCGGTCTGATCCAGAGGTACACGTGGCTCGGCGGCAAGCAAGGCTGGATGATCTATCTTACAGCACAGAACGACAACTGCGACCGGTTCGGGGTGTGTGGGGCTTATGGGAGCTGCGACATTGAGAGCAACCCGAGTTGCAGCTGCCTACAAGGGTTTGTTCCCAGAGTGCAGAGGGAATGGGATATGGTGGATTGGTCCAGTGGCTGTGTGAGAAGGACTGAGTTGGATTGTGGAAATGATGGGTTTGTAAAGATCTTTGGTGTTAAACTGCCGGGGATGACTAACAAGTCCTGGTTTGATGCGGCGATCAGCTTGGAAGAGTGTAGGAAAGTGTGTTTGAGGAACTGTTCCTGTACGGCTTACTCGAGTTTGGACATCAGGAATGGCGGAAGTGGGTGTCTGGTTTGGTATGGTGACTTGCTTGATATCAGGCAGCTGTATGGAAATGGTGAAGATCTCTATGTAAGGATGGCTGCTTCAGAGATAGGTAATGGGGGAAATTGAAATTTTGGGTTAGCTCTAGCTGCCAAGTTGAACTGAAAATGAATGAATTGAATGTGTTCTGTCTCATTCCTCAGCTGAGGAGAGTGAGCATGTGAAGAGTAAGGAAGGGAAGAAGAGGAGAAGAATTTTGATCGTTGTGGGTGGAGGGTTATCAGCTGGTGTGTTCTTCGTGATGATCGGGTTGATCATACGGGTTAAGAGAAAGAAGGTGCAGGGGAATAATGGTATGAGCAAGTTTCTGTTGGTATCAGATCGTCGTTGTATGATATGGTTAAATTTTACTAACTTGCTAAGTTGGCGGTGAAAATTTGCAGGTGCAGCAGAATTTTCAGGTTTTTTGCGATGTCTTAGTGCAAGTCATACTAGGAAAGAGAGGGAAGGTCTCGAGTTACCACTGTTTGATCTGGCTACCATTGTTTCTGCAACTAACAACTTCTCTGGGACTAATGTTCTTGGACATGGAGGCTTTGGAACTGTTTATAAGGTAATGCCTATGTTCTTGAAGCTGTGATGTTGCAGATATTTGTAACAAACCTGCAGGTTATGAAATGGAGAATATTGTGCAGGGGATCCTGAGAGATGGAGTGGAAATTGCTGTGAAGAGGCTGTCAAGGGATTCACAACAAGGAGCTGACGAATTCAAGAACGAAGCAATGCACATTGCCAAGCTTCAACATCGGAACTTGGTGAGACTTCTGGGATGTTGCGTGCAGCGCGACGAAAGAATGTTGGTCTATGAGTTCATGCCGAATAGAAGCTTGGACTTCTTCATTTTCGGTTTGGTTCTCAGTTCTCTCCACACTGCTATTTGCCCTAATTCTGCCGCACTGAGAAGTTGCCAAACTATACTGCTGATTTGCCCTAATAAAAACATGTTATGCAGATATCAAGCAGAGACATTTACTAGATTGGCCTATGCGATATAACATTGTCAAGGGGATTGCTCGCGGGCTTCTCTACCTCCACCAAGATTCGAGGCTGAGAATAATCCACCGCGATCTCAAAGCCAGCAACGTGTTGTTGGATTATGAGATGAACCCCAAGATATCGGATTTCGGGTTGGCTAGAACTTTTGCTGGCAATGACCTCCAAGGGAACACAAGAAACGTTGTGGGAACATAGTAAGTAAACCCATATATTTTTTTTTTGATAAGGGAAGTAAACTCATATATATGTTGATCACCCTGCAATATGTAGTTAATTCCTTTGCACTGATGAATTAATTTCCTCCTGAAGTGGCTATATGTCACCGGAGTATGCAATCGACGGGATTTACTCGATCAAATCGGACGTGTTCAGCTTTGGAGTGATGGTGTTGGAGATACTGAGTGGGCAGAGAAACAGGGGATTCTGCCATCCTGATCATGAGCTTAACCTCCTCGGCCATGTAAGTTGGTTATCTTATTCCTCCACTTTCTTATCTACAATCTTACTGCAAACAGTTTGAATTATTAATTGTCCTTCTGGTGGGATTTTTTTGGCTCAGGCGTGGAGCCTGCAAAGAGAAGGCAGGGGTCTAGAAATGAAGGATGCAACACTAAGAGAGTCGTGGGACGATTCGCAGGTGCTACGACTGTTGCACATCGGACTACTGTGCGTGCAGAAGAGTCCCGACGATCGGCCGAGCATGTCCGTGGTGGTGGACATGTTAAGCGGGCAAGGTGGTCTGTTGGAACCAAACCAGCCTGGATTCTTCACCGAAAGGGAAATCTCATGTGCAAGTTCTTCTTCTAGCGGGTACGAGGGTCCCTGTACTAATAACATGTCTGTTACGTTGCTACAAGCGAGATGAATGTAAACAGAGCATTGAAACAAGAAATGGGTAAAGAGATTAAATGATACGGAATCTGTCACAGATCCACGGATATTGGATACTGAACATTTTGGTGTTTGCATTCTTTTCTTGACGAACAAGGCACGAGAACATATAAACTCAAATGAAGTTGAGTCTGGATGCCCAAAGCCCCAAACTATGCATTAGTGAGATTGAGCATAAGAGGCCGATATTCGACAGAGGGAATTGGGCTCAGGAGGTTAAGAGCAAAATGAGGAGAACCAGAACCAAATACGGCCCAGCTGAGCTGAGAGAGGGAATTCTTTGCATTTTTCCATGAAGATTGATAAACTAGTCCACACTCCACAACGCCACAAAGGCACAAAATAGAGTATTGGCAATTTGGCATGTTGAGGAAACTACCACTAAAGTCTACAAGGCGTCGAAAATTGGTCACATGAACCTAATGTATGGACCTGCCATCATTACCAAAGGAACCTCAACATCACATTTAGTCAATCCCCGCGATTATGTCTCATCGCCAACCACAGAGGGCACTTGGGTTGGGTGGAAGCTAGGCAGGGGAAGCCTACAAGTCACCAGTCAACTTATTAGGGAGTGTACGATACTTTTAACCGATTAATTTTCACTTTATCTCACGTGGATATATCTAGTACTTGTGACATGAAACTTTTTTAGTACTCATATGTCATATTCACTTTCCATTTGGTCCTTCTAGACGAAGTATTCGTTCATATAGAAAACAAAGTCACTAACCACATATTATTAGAGACAAATTCACTTTATTTGTAAAAATTTCACTTCTATGACAGACGTATCACATCTTTCATTGCCCTATCAACCAATTGCGTAGAGAAAATTGACGCCATTTGTGGTTTCGATACAATTAACAATGTATAATTCACATCCCAATATCTGGGGGTAATGAACACTACACAACATATTAAACAGTAGTAGCTGTTCAAAAAATATTATTTATTTTCTGTTTTTTTATAGCTGACGATCAGTATGTGGAACAGTTAACAAATATGACGGTTATTCGATACTTTAAACACAAAAACAACATGTTGTTATGTGAAAGTAGGGTACGGATCATTCTGATAACCCACAACCCACAATAATAAGTACGGATATGAAATTTTCGATTCACGATTCACTCGCATTAATCGCGCGGTTTGAATTATTTATGAATGGAGCTAATATCAAAGTGCAGAGTAACCACCCACCCACACACCCTCGACCTACGTCCTACGAAACTAAGAAGAAAACGCGAAGAAGCTACCTTCTCCTGGGCCACTGAGGACGAAGATGCGGTCCTAAAACGTACCACTACACCAAACACTTTGCTAAAATTGGGTCACCAAAATCTAAGCAAATTCTTGAGCAGAAAATTCTGTGTCTGGGAACTGGAAGTCTTTCCTTCTCATTTTGAACGTCATTATCTCTTCTCCTCACGGCGAGCAATTTCTGGATTTTCTGCTCTGTCCGCATCCTCGTCTTCCAGGTCATATTTGACTACTTCTCCCACTTTTGCCATTTAACAACAAGCACAAAATGATAAACAAAATTGACTGCTTTCCCTCGAAAGCAGACAGAAAATAAAGTAGCTGCAGGGTCATCAATATCAAAAGAACAACCCCGTTTTCATACGGCATTAAAATAATGGAATTGATGACTTGTGAACGGGGAGAATTGGAATTGATCACCTCTCCAATAATTAGGACCGCATAAATATTTTATGGTGTATTCGGCTGTTGACTTCATGGGCCACAAAGCTTCCTTAGATCTTTTCTTTTCCCCCCATGGCCACCACAGAATTCTAATCAGCAATTCATCATCAATGGGTTGCTGGGCACATGCTCTGTTTTTCTGCTCCTCTGTTTTTCTGGCCATAACCCATATCTCTGCCATCGACACATTCAATTCATCTCAACCCATTGCAGACGGAGACACCATTGTCTCAGCTGGTGACACATTTGTGCTGGGATTTTTCAGTCCACGCAACAGTTCAACGAATCGCTACTTGGGCATCTGGTATCGCAACATACCAGGCCAAGCCGTGGTTTGGGTTGCAAACAGAGACAGCCCCATCAACGACTCAACCGGCCTTCTCACGATTAACAGCCAGGGGAATCTGGCTCTACTTTTGAATCCCAATAACGGGAGTTCATCAGTCTGGTCTTCCAACTCCTCGAGCCCAGCGAGAAATCCAGTCGCTCAGCTTTTGGATTCGGGCAACTTGGTTCTGAGGGAGGCAGGGGATGACAACTTCTTATGGCAGAGTTTCGATCATCCGTCTGACACGCTACTAGCAGGGATGAAGCTTGGATTAGACAAAAGAACCGGTCTTGATCGCTACTTGACATCTTCCAAGGCAGCTGATGATCCTTCCAGCGGTAGCTTCACATACAGGATTGACCCCAGAGGATACCCTGAGTTCATCCAGAGCGAAGGCTCGACCGAGCGTTATCGAACTGGTCCATGGAATGGGTTGAGGTTTAGTGGAACACCATACCTAAGGGCTAACCCAATTTACAGGTTTCAGTTCGTTGTGAGCGACCAAGAGATCTACTACAGCTATCTCCTACTGGGCAACACTTCGACCGTATCGAGGTTGGTGTTGAATCAGAATGGGATCATTCAGAGGCTGACTTGGTCAGGAGATACACAAGGCTGGGTGATCTATGTCACGGCTCAAATGGATTTCTGCGACCGATATGCGCTGTGTGGCGCTTACGGTAGCTGCAATATACGAAGCTCCCCTGTCTGTAATTGCTTGAGAGGGTTTGTGCCCAAGGTTCCTAATGAGTGGAACTTGGTGAACTGGTCTAATGGTTGTGTTAGGCAGACTGCACTTAACTGCTCTGCAGATGGGTTTGTGAAGTACTCTGGAATCAAGCTGCCTGAAACGCGTAGATCGTCGTATGACGTGAGTATGAGCCTCGATGAGTGCAGGGGGAATTGCTTGAGGAGCTGCAATTGTACAGCTTATGCTAATCTGGATATCAGGGATGGAGGGAGTGGGTGCTTGCTCTGGTTTAGTGAGTTGATTGATATAAGAGAGCTAGAGGATAGTGGGCAAGACATTTACATAAGGATGGCTGCTTCTGAGATAGGTAATGAAGCTGAAGTGGGTGTTTGCAAACTAATGCTTTGATTATCCATAAGAAGACACATGTGTTTGTGTGTTCACTTTACTTATCTTTAGTTTCTTGTTTTATTTTCTGGATGATTCATGTAGAAGCAACAGGGGATTCAGAGACTAATTCCGGATCCAGTATGAGGAAGGAAATTATCATTCTGATCGTTGTGTTGTCAACAGGGCTGGTGCTGATAGGTCTAGCCTTGATCTTCTTTATGCGGAGCTTCAGGCAGAAAAAACAGAGTAAGTCTTCTAATTGTTAGCAGTTCAATCTTCAGACACATACCACCAATACTATTCTCAACCCCCAAATGGATCCACTGATTTCCGTTCGATCCCTTCTGATAATGATAGCTTGAAGATTCTAGTTGATGAGACAGAGGTGTGGTTGTTTGTCCTATGTTTCAGGAGAATTGGGAGGAGTTGATCTAGAAGAGAGTACAAATTTGAGCACAAACAAGGATGATTTGGAGCTGCCACTGTTTGATATGCCTACTATTGCTTTAGCAACAAACAGCTTCTCCCTCAGCAATGTAGTTGGAGAAGGTGGTTTTGGACCTGTCTATAAGGTAAAATAAGAACTTGATGAGCAAGTCAATCAGTCGATGGATGTCAGGGTGAATTTCGGAAGAACAGAGATGGGTGGTGGCCTAACTCTGATCAAAACCATTTTACAGGGAGTACTGAAAGATGGACAAGAAATAGCAGTGAAGAGGCTATCAAAGGAGTCGAAACAAGGGCTTGGTGAGTTCAAGAACGAGGCCAAGCACATTGCCAAACTTCAGCACAGGAATCTAGTGAAGCTCTTAGGATGCTGCATTCAGGAAGAAGAGATGATTTTGATCTACGAGTTCATGCCCAACAAAAGCTTGGACTACTTCATTTTCAGTAATGCATTCTGCCTTTTTGTGCTTTCTTAATGTTTTGATGTGAAAGTACAGTGGACTGACTGGGTAAGGAATGACTTGCAGATGAAAAACAAAGCACGTTACTTGATTGGCCTGCCCGGTATCAGATCATCAATGGGATTGCTCGCGGACTCCTGTACCTCCACCAAGATTCAAGACTCAGAATAATCCACAGGGATCTAAAAGCTGGCAACATCCTGCTGGATTTTGAGATGAACCCAAAAATTTCAGATTTCGGACTGGCAAGAAGCTTTTCCGAGAGCGATAGCAAAACCAACACCAGGAAGGTGGTCGGCACGTAGTAAGTGTATACACCCACCAACCAGTTGATGCTTTCTTTCAGTCATGAATATAAAGTCAGAGGCTTTAAGACTTAAACTTCCTGGGTATTTCATGGCAGTGGTTACATGTCACCGGAGTATGCAATCGACGGCATCTACTCAGTGAAGTCGGACGTTTTCAGTTTTGGGGTGATGGTACTAGAGATTGTGAGTGGAAAAAGAAACAGGGGGTTCTCTCATCCAGATCACCAACTCAACCTTCTTGGCCATGTAAGTTACACCCAGAATTTGCATTTTATCTTCACAACTCAAATTGATTGCAAATGACACGTGATGACAATGCTATTTCATTTGGTTCAGGCATGGAAGCTATATCAAGAAGGAAGGTACGAGGAACTGATGGATAAAACAGTAAGGAATTCATGCGACCTCGACCAGGTGTCCCGGTCAGTCAACATTGGTCTTCTTTGCGTTCAAAGGAGTCCAGAGGACAGGCCTACCATGTCGTCTGTGGTTCTAATGTTGAGCTGTGAAGGTGAGTTGCCTCAGCCTAAAGAACCAGGGTTCTACGGCGAAAGAGATTTTGTAGAAGTTGGCAATTCTTCAACAAGCAACAACGTGCGGTGTTCAGCAGATTATAGTTTAACTGAAATAGAAGCTAGATGAGGCAAAGCAGCAAGTGGAGATATAGCGCGCAGAGTACTTACATTACAGTTTCATGACGTTTGATGCCAGAGCTTAGTTTAGTTCCACATTTGATACCGGCTTCTGCTTGTGCCTCTGCATTTGATTTTGATGTATAGATTGATGAAATATCTTGACCTGCATTACTGCGTCTTTCAGATCAATCAACCCTTCAGAGGAAATTGTCCAAAAAAGAAAAAAACCTAGGAAAGAGCGATCATTACTAACATTCTCGTTTGGGCAATTCGTCGAACAATTAGCGGGCATGTCACTGTTAGTATTTGCAGCATCGATCCATCAAGTGTTCGGCAAGTCTTGATTGAATGAAAGAAGTGACGAGATATTGAGATGCCAATTTGGCATTTTGCTCATATATGACGTCGTGACGTAGCAGTGGCGCCAACATTGAACTAGGTTGAAGTTCTTGACCCGTTTCCTTCCCTCTTCCCTCCGTTTTCACTCCTGAAATCAATCAATCAATCATCGAAAACCAGAGTCAAAAGTTTCTAGATAAAATTCAGGGACCCACCAGCACCTGCTTCCCCACTTCTGAGAATTTGGAGAAAAAAATTCTGCCCAATAGGCCAATACACTCATTTCCTTTTCCATCCCCTGTTCGTCGTCTATCCTTCTTCCCTCCACAAAATCAGTGTTCAGTAGTCAATGAAAACAATCATCTTTCTTCTCCCCCCGCAAGAAAGCAGAAGAAAAGCAAGACTAGTAGTATAGTTTATTCATGGCAGCGACTTATTAGACATGCTTCTCCTCCCTGGAGTCTTCCCACCAAATCCAACCACTCCCCTGTTTCTTGCTCCATTGCTGCGGACTGAACGATGAAAGTATGAAGCTTTCAATTTGATCATCTTCCCCATCCATGAAAGGCTCCAACTTTCCGCTTTTCCTTGTTGCCCTTCTCCTCCCCTTCTTCGCACTTTCCACTCTCGCCGCCGACACAATCGCGGTCAACCAATCCGTCGCCGACAACCAGAGCCAGACCCTCGTCTCCTCCGGCGGCAGCTTCGAGCTTGGCTTCTTCACCCCTAGCTCCAGCAGCAGCAGCTCATCGTCGTCGAATCTCCGGTACCTCGGAATCTGGTACAACTTCTCCAAGCAATCCGTCGTCTGGGTCGCCAACCGAGATTCCCCTCTCACCGATTCCTCCGGCGTCCTCCAGCTCGCCGCCGACGGCTCCCTCCGTCTCCTCAACTCATCAAACGCGGTCATTTGGTCTACCAATAGCACAAAAGCAGCCAACCCATCTCGAACTCCACTCGCCAAACTTCTCGACTCCGGAAACCTCGTCGTCGGAGAATCCGACTCCGACGATTACCTCTGGCAGAGCTTCGATTACTTGAGCGACACGATCCTCCCGGGGCTCGAATTCGGGCACAATAGAGAAACCGGCCGAGACCGTTACCTAACCTCGTGGAAATCCGCTGATGATCCTTCCCCTGGCGACTGCACGACCCGGCTTGACCCGGACGGGTACCCGCAAATCTTTATCCGGAAAGGTGAGAACATCGTCTTCCGGTCCGGCCCATGGAATGGGCTCCGGTTCAGCGGAATGCCCAATCTGAAGCCCAACCCAATCTACACCTACGAGTTCGTCTACAACTCCAAGCAAATCTACTACCGCTACGACCTAACTGACAAATCTGTGATTTCCCGGCTGGTGCTGGACAACCAAGGGATTCTCCAGCGGTTCACCTGGACCACCAGCACAAGGACATGGAACCTCTATCTGACGGCGCAGATGGACAATTGCGACCGGTACCGGCTTTGCGGCCCGTACGGGAGCTGCAACATCAACAATTCGCCGCCGTGCGGTTGCCTGATCGGGTTCGAGCCGAGGTCGCGGCAGGATTGGGATTCAGGGGACTGGTCCGGCGGGTGCGTGAGGCGGAACGATTCGGTTTGTGGTGTTGGCGAAGGGTTTCAGAGGATTGTGAGCGTGAAGCTGCCTGATACGAGTAAGGCGTCGTTCAATGCTAGTATGGATTTGGGGGAATGCGAGGCGACTTGCTCGAAGGATTGCTCTTGTACGGCTTATTCTACTCTGAACATTACTGATGGAAGCGGGTGCTTGCTTTGGTTTGGTGATCTTGTTGATGTTCGAGAGTATACTGAGAATGGTCAGGATTTCTTCATCCGGCTGGCAGCTTCTGATCTGGGTACGTTCATTTTCATTCCGCTGCACTTTCCTTCTGGTTTTGCATCAAAGGTTTAAGAAATTTCTTACAAGTCGAAGTTAAAGTTTTGAACTTTGAAGGATTGAGAAAAGGGGCAATTCACATGCAGACAATTAACTGCGCGCCAAATTTGTCTTCCTGCATGTGTCACTTTCAGAAACATTTGATTGTTACATACAAGTTCAATTGAGAATGGAAAGCGCCAAATCTAGTGTAGTTCCGTTAGCAGTAGATGCAGCAATATTTTTGCATGATAGGGCCAATTTCTCGTCGCGTTTCTGAATATGTGATTGAGAATTTTGGTATGGTGACAGTGTCAGTTGGCGGCTCAAAAAGGAAGACCAGGCTATGGATCATAGCTGTGTGTCTACTGGCGGTGGGGATTGCAGCTCTAGGCTTCTTCTTGATCTTCCGGTTCAGAAGGAAAAGGCTTCGGAGACCAGGTACTGTTCAATTGAAAGTTATGCTCTTGCTAAGCAATCACTGTTGGTGCTCTTTGTTGAGCTAATATTTTCTCGTGGGTATTCTTGCTTTGCAGCAAGCATCATGATGATACAAGAAAGAGACCAGACGGTGGATGAATCTCGAGAGCACGAACTTGAGTTGCCGCTGTTTGATTTCTCGACGATAACCAAGGTGACTGACCTTTTCTCTGAAAGCAGAAAGCTTGGAGAAGGTGGTTTTGGATCAGTGTACAAGGTAAGCACATTTGAGTACACTGGGATTTGTCTATAAAACAGTGTTTGAGGTAAAGACAAATGATTATTAAGAATGAGAATGGTCTTTCCAGGGTGTGTTTAAAGATGGACAAGAGGTAGCGGTGAAGAGGCTATCGAAGGATTCGACACAAGGACTCGATGAGTTCAAGAACGAAGTCATAACCATTGCCAAACTCCAACACAGAAACCTCGTGAAGCTTTTGGGCTGTTGCATTGAGAAAGAAGAGAAGGTTTTGGTTTATGAATACATGCCCAACAAAAGCTTGGATGCCTTCATTTTTGGTATGCAACCTCTTTGACAGCTTTCCTGTTGTTTCTCTGTGGCTCGGATGAACTTTCATCATAATGTTACCTGGTCTGATATATCCAATCTACAATACAGATCAAAAGCTGTTTCTTTTTTCTAATAAAACCTTTCATCATTTACAATAAAAAAAATATAGATCCAAAGCAGAGGAAACTACTGGATTGGCCAATGCGGTTCCACATCATAAATGGGATTGCTCGGGGTCTGCTGTATCTACATCAAGATTCCAGGCTGAGAATCATTCACAGAGACCTTAAAGCGAGCAATGTACTGTTGGATTATGACATGAATCCCAAGATCTCAGATTTCGGGATGGCCAGGATTTTCGGTGGTAATGAAACCCAAGGCAACACGAAAAGGGTTGTTGGAACATAGTAAGTAAAGAGTTTTCTACTTGCCAAAACTCTCACTTTCTCTGGGCTGGGAGTTAGTTCCCTTTCTGACTTTTGCCTTACCATTCATTTCCTTTGCAGTGGATACATGTCTCCAGAGTACGCCATAGATGGGCTTTTCTCCATCAAATCGGACGTTTTTAGCTTCGGAGTCCTGGTACTGGAGATTATAAGTGGGAAGAGAAACAGAGGATTTTATCACGAGGATCACAAACACAACCTTCTAGGCCACGTAAGCTTTCTCCATCAACCAAAGCTCTTCTCCTACCAGGATGAGCCAACTTTCTGAAACTCTTTTTGGTTTTTTTTTTCTTTACAGGCGTGGAGGCTGTACAGAGAAGGGAAGCCTGAAGAAGTGATGGACGAAACTATGAACGATTCGCAGGTGCTATCAGAAGTTGTGAGGTGCATCCATGTGGCTCTGCTGTGTGTTCAACAAGCTCCTGAGGACAGGCCTAAGATGTCGAATGTGGTTTTGATGTTGAGCAGCGATATTCTGCTGCCTGAACCAACAGAGCCTGGGTTTTTCACTGAAAGGAAAGTGTTTGATCAAGAATCATCTTCCAGTAAGGTTGATACATGTTCTACCAATGAGATCACCATTACATTGTTGACTGCTCGATAGAAGGCCTCCCATTCTTTCGTGTTCATTGACATATAATCAAAATCATTCCATCAGTGATTTGTGTTCATGGTTTGTTCATTTGTTCTGCTCAGTGTATATTCCTTTTGCTGATCCATTTCCCAAGTGGATAAAAGGGAAAATAACTAAAGATATTTAAGATGATACGATCTAAATAGGATCTAATTCGATCCAAAACTAAATAAATAGCATTTGGGTCAAATGCATAAACAAAATCGAATTGGTCCACTGAATCATTTTGTTACAAAGAGCACCCAAATTGCCACTTTGTTATTCACAAAATTATGTAAAAATGTTCATTACAGAGAAAACTATGCAAAACGAATGAAGAAAACCAGAAAAGGGAAAGGTTTCATCTAGCATCTATAATAGTTTCAGACAACTTGTTATTGGTGGATGAGTATTCGTGCTTGCTGAATGAAGAAGAAGCCTCCAAGATATCCCTTTCAGTGAAGAAGCCAGGCTCTTTGGGTTGAGCTAGTTCAATCTCACTGCTGCTCAACATCAGAACCACATTCGACATGTTTGGCCTATCTTCAGGGCTCTGCTGCACACACAGCAACCCTATGTGGACGATTCGATCGACCACTGCCATGTCGTGGCACGTGCTCCTTATGCATTCCTCTACCAGCTCATCTGGTCTGCCTTCTTTGAGAAGCATCCATGCCTGCAAGAAAAAAAAGAACCAACCCACTGGAGTTTGTCACCACCAAAATTTCACACAGCTTCTGTATCATATAGTGCATTGGTATTAAGGAAAACAACTCACATGGCCAAGAAGATTGAGCTTGTGGTCAGTGTGAGAGAACCCTCTGTTCTTCCTCCCGCTAATTATCTCCAGCACCAAAACTCCGAAGCTGAACACATCTGATTTCACCGAGAAGAGACCGTCGATCGCATACTCTGGCGACATGTAACCGCTGCAACAAATGTGTTTGAACCACATTAATCATTCAGAAACTGATGCAATGGGAGCATGGAAATGTAATAACCAGGTTCATTTTTCGAGATGTTTTACTATGTTCCGACGATTCTGGTGGTGTTTGCACTACTTTCGTCCCCTGCAAAGCTCCTCGCCATGCCGAAGTCCGATATCTTGGGGTTCATCTCATGATCAAGCAGGACGTTGCTAGCTTTCAGATCTCTGTGTATGATTCTCAGCCTCGAATCCTGATGAAGGTAGAGAAGCCCTCTCGCTATCCCGTTGATGATGTGGAGTCGCTTAGACCAGTCCAGTAACGCGCTTTGCCCTCTATCTGCAAAACAAAGTCGTTGCAATCAACCAAGTCAATCCCAATACGTACAAGCCAAGTCAAGATAATATCTAAAATGCTAATTGACGAGTTGACTTTATCAGGAAAGACAATATGGCCTCATTTGTTGACCGAGGCAATAAAGGAGCAACTTGACTTCCATTTATATTCAGAAGTGGACTTGGTGATCTAGAAAGGGATCGGATCTGGTCAAGAGAGACAATATTTTTCTATTTTTGTTTGTACCAACCGAAAATGAAGAAGTTCAAGCTCTTGTTGGGCATGTATTCATAGATCAACATTCTTTCAACGGATTGGATGCAGCAGCCAAGAAGCTTCACAAGGTTCCTGTGCTGTAGTTTGGCGATGCAGGCGACTTCGTTCTTGAACTCACGGGTCCCCTGTCTCGACTTCTTCGACAGCCTCTTTACTGCAATCACTTGTCCATTTTTCAGGGTGCCCTGAAGTAATGAGCAAAATTCATATCAAACGGTGACATGGATTTTCAATCTGAAAAAAAAAAATTATGTCTAAGATTAGTTGTTTCGTTTGGTATACCTTGTAAACTGGTCCATAACCGCCTTGGCCGAGCTTGTTGTTTATCGAGAAGTAGTTGGTCGCATCAGCAATTGCATTAAAGTGGAACAATGGTAGCTCTAGATCTCTGTTCCTGCCTTCATGACTTTGCTCTTCATCATATTCTTCTTCGTCCTCGTCTTCTTCGTCCTCACTTTCTTCTTCTGAACTCTGTGGCATACTTGCTGCATAATGAGAACCAGAATGCAGACTAGTAATTAGCATGGCAGACCTACAATCAGAGTACAGTAAGAGCAACAAGTACTGATATTTTACTGTTACTTGTGTGACAAGGCAACTCTATACTAGTTTTCATTCAAGTGGGTACCTTGTATTCTAAGCTGTTTCTTCCTCCTCCTGATTCTCAAAACTACACAGAGAAGTAGTAGAATGAATGCCACCACCGATATCGGGATGACTATGATCCGAACTCGTTTGTTCCCATTCGATCGTTCGTATCTATCTGCAGCACAAAACCAGTTGATTCATAGATATATCAAAACTGAAAAGATCACAGATTTTGCAGAAAGAATGGACATACACATACCCATTTCGGAGGCGGCCAATCTAATGTAAACATCCTGACCATTGTTGTCGTCGTACTGCCGAATATCAACTAAGTCACCAAACCACAAGATGCACCCACTCCCACCATTCCTAACATCCAGATTCGCGTAAGCTGTGCAAGAGCAATTCCCCCTGCATTTCCTCTCACAATCCCTGAGCTCCATGCTACCATTATACCAAGACTGCCTAGTATCCGGCAGCTTGATGCCAGAATACTTCACAAACCCTTCACCACTGCTGCAATCCAATGCCACCTCTCTACCACACCCATTCGACCAATCCGCCGCGCTCCATTCCTCGCTGAATTTCGGCACAAACCTCGTCAAACACGCACACGCCGGCGAATTGTCGATGTCGCAGATCCCATTCGGCCCGCACAGCCCAAACCTGTCGCAGTTGTCGGTGTGAGCCGTCAAGTAGAGGTTCCATTCGCCAGTCCTCTCCACCCAGATGAACCGCTGCAAGTTGCCTTCAGGGGTCAACACCATCCTCGTAACCACGGAGCTGTTGATAAGCTGGTAGCGATAGAACATCTCGTTCTCGTTGGAGACGAACTCGTAAGTGTAGATTGGATTGGGTTTCAGATTGATCATCCCGCCGAATTGCTTCCCATTCCACGAACCGGACCTGAACTCGATGAACGAGCTTCTTCTTGTCAAGAGGAACTGCGGTACTCCACTGGGATCCAGAGTGTTGGCGTAATCGCCAACAGCTGGATCGGTAGCTGTCCTCCACGAAGTTAGGGCTCGATTGAGCCCCAATTTGAAGTCGATGCCGTACTTCATCCCTGGCAAGAATGTGTCACCTGGGTAATCGAAGCTCTGCCAGAGAAACGTTTCGGAGCTCCCGTCTCGGATGACGAGGTTCCCTGTTTCCAGAAGCTGGGCGACTGGCCTTATCGGTGCTGGTCCAGACAAATTCGTTGACCAGGTGATGTTGCCGTCGCCGGCGCCGGCGAGAACGGCGAGATTCCTCCCGCCGTCGATGAATCTCAGGACGGCTCCTTCCGAGCCGTTGAGAGGGGCGGCTCTGTTTGCGACCCAGACGACGGTGCAGGTGGAGATCTTCTTGTACCATATTCCGAGGTAGCGATTCTGGGTAGTGGGCGGGGTGAAGAAACCCAGCTCGAAGGTGCCGCCGGAGGAAAGTAATGTTGATCCGGGTTGGAGCGATTGAGTCGCATTGATGGAATCCACGGCTGTGGAATTGGAGAAGAGAAGAGACAAGAGGAAGAAGACGAGAAAGAGCTGCATTGTTGTTGCAGCACAGCTCAGATTGCCCATTTCGGAAAATTTCTTATCAGACTAAACATTGCATGAAGTAGGTAGAGACAAAATCAAAGGAAAAGGAAAGATCTTTGGTGGGTAGCTTCGGCCTCCTTTTTTTTTTTTTGTTTTAGTGGATTCACACTCCATCCTGTAAGGAAAAGTCAATCCTTTGACTTTGTGGGTGGAGGAAGAAGAAGAAGGAGATCACCACCAGTTCATTGGTTGAAAGATTATGACAATTGGCCTAAAGATTTGTCCGTAGAATTTTTAATTATTAAAGTAATTTTCTGCAGAAATTTCTGCACAATACCCAAGCCCAAGGCCTGGATCTAATTAGTCGGGCCCGTCCAAATCTCCATGATCTGCCCGTCCAAGCCCATGCCCGTCTAAGCCCATCATGTTTTCGTTTCTGTTTAACTTCTTAGAGTTGAGTTTCAGTTACCAAACGGAAGCGGCAGCCGGAGCCAGAGCCAGAAGGGATCGCCGGCGTCCTTTTTTATAGTGTGATTCGGAGTAGAGATTGGGGTTTCACGATAACGATTCATGGACCAGGAGACGTAGAGAAGGGATCAGAGATGTACTGGATTGAGTGGGATAGAGGGTAGAGCCTAAAGTAAGCGGAATACAACAAGGGTTGAGGAAGCTGAGAGAGAAACAAAGCGCCGCCGTCGTTAAGGCTAGATCACCACCGCCGACACGATAGAGGTAGCGGATTCAGGGAATGGGAATAAGGCATTTTTTTCTAATGACAATGTAAGCCGTGATTCTTCTTTCTGTTTTATTATGTTAAGCCTGAGCTTTTTTGCCAATTATCACCTAGCGTCCAACGATGTCAATGTTACTTCATTAACAGAGTGCGGGTTGTTCTTGCTCGATGAGCTGGTGTCTCTATTATAAAATGGGTTTCTCGCTGTGAAAAACCCAGGCTGTTTAGGATCCGGCAGTGGAGGATCCGCACTGCCTAGCATTAGAACAACGAGTGATATGGTTGGCCGGTCTTCTGGTCTTTGTTGCACGCATAGTAGAGCTACTTGAATGCTTCTTAGTGCTTGAGAATTGACACAGGATTCCAGCAGACATTCGTCCACTAGCTGTAGAGCTGCTCTTTTCATCCATAGTGCCCATGCCTGTTTAGTACGTGATCAGTAGACAATAGGGAAAACCTCTTTAGGAATGCAGGGGGATAACTTTATGGTTTATGAGAGCTTACATGGCCCATAAGGTTAATTTCATGGTCAGGATGTTGAAATCCTCTGTTTCTTTTCCCAATTATTATCTCCAGGACCAACACCCCGAAGCTGAAAATATCAGATTTCACCGAAATGTAGCCACTGGAAAGGTCAAACACAGAAATGTACATTTTTTAGCAGCTGGGAATAGCTCAAACCAAAAGAGATATTACTTTGAGTTGGCAAAACTGAATAATGCTTACCGAGTCCCGACTATTCTATTTGTATTGGCCTCCGTTTAATCTGCACCAAACGTTTTTGCAAGGCCAAAGTCAGATATCTTGGGTTTCATGTCATTATCCAGTAGAATGTTGCTGGCTTTGAGATCCCTGTGGATGATTCTGAGCCTCGAGTCCTGGTGAAGGTATAGAAGACCTCGAGCTATTCCATCTATGATTTGGATTCTCTTCTGTCAATCTAGCGTCATGGATCTTGATTTATCTGCCTTCAGTCAAGTTAGTAACTAGGACTAGTGAACCCATGACCGTCGCCATGTATAGAAGCCAACAAAAGTGCAACTTATGGTCATTTCTTACCAAATATTGTAGAGTCTAAGCTATTGTTAGGCATGTATCATAGATCAACATCATTACATCTTCTCGAATGCAACAACCGAGAAGCTTTACAAGATTGCGGTGCTGAAGTTTTGAAAACAATATGACTTCATTTTTGAACTCGTTCAATCCTTGGCCAGAGCTCTTTGATAGCCTCTTTACCGCTATTTCTTGCCCCTTCTTGTAATGCTCCCTGCAAATGTATATCTTTATTTCTTAGGTTGTTAATTGCATGGACTTTGTTTGTTGCAGAGATAGTGTTAATGTTACCCTGTAGACAGGTCGAAAGCCACCTTGCCCAAGCTTGTTTCTGTCTGAAAAGTTGTTGGTTGCAGCTGCTACTATATCCAGTTCAAACATTGGTAAGTCCATTCTGCAAGACTTGTGTTCCTGTTGTATGAGCTTGAAGATGTGTCTGGCACTTTAATTCCATCGTACTTCAGAAACCCATCGTTCCTATTGCAATCAAGTTGTGTCCTCCGAATGCAACCATCAGAACACGTTGTGGAATTCCAATCTGCTGGAGATTTCGGCACAAACCCATTCATGCACGAGCATATGGTAGATGTGTACACTTGACATCCAGCAAATGCACCACAGAGAGCATAATTCTCGCACTGATCCACTTGCGCTATAGCTGTAATCATCTAGTCGTTCCTTTGATCGTTCCACGTGTACCGCTGGAGAAGGTGCGAGGGATGTATTGTATATCTCGTCTGAGGTGAGTTGTCAGTGGTTTCGAACTTGAGATATGCCTCATCTGAGTTCAACACAAACTCGAAGGTGAAAGTTGGGGTTTGCTGTAGGCCAGGAAGCCCTGTAAACCTCTCGCCATTCCACGACCCTACTCTGAACAAAGTTCTATTTCCCCTCATTACATTTAGCTGTGGGTAACCTCGAGTGTTTATCTCCAGAGTATATTCTCCCTTGGCAGGATCTTCGGTGCTCTTCCAAGATGTTAGAGGCTTGTCCAGGCCATTCACCAAGTCCTTACCTATTTTCATCCCTGGAAGCATTGTGTCACCAGGGTGATCAAAGCTCTGCCACAGGAAGTTGTCTTCAGCAGCAGTGTCATTCTTCAGTAGGGAGTCTTCGAGCACAAGATTCCCTGAATCCAGGAGCTGCACAACTGGAGACTGCTGAGACGATGAATTGGAAGACCATACAAGAGTCTGGTTCCCATTCGAAGAGAGTCAGGTTTCCCTGACTGGTGAGATCACAGCTCCCAGAGTGTCTGGTATAGGTGTTTCTCTGTTGGCTACCCATACAACCGTCTGAGGAGTAATGTTTGTGTACCATATTCCTAGGTACCGGTTTCTTGAATTCACAGGGCTGAAAAAATCCCAGCTCGAATCTTTCCCTTCCTGCTGAAACTAGAGTAGTATCACCATCCCTCAGTGGCTGGCCTGGATTAATGGTATCTCGTGCACTGCAGCAGGTTATTGAGAAGCAGAATATGAAGGCGCTGACAAGCACTGCTAGACCTACCATGATATGAGGGCTTCTCGGTGGCTCAACTGATCCAAGTTCATAGAAATATTATATGCACATGTATGAGACAGAGCAAATGTCTGGTGGTGGTGGGAAATTAAAGTGGGGCCGCCAAGTCGTTGAATTCTTACACACATTCAACGAAAATGTGACATTTCTAGGAAGCTGATCGGCTAGAAAGCAAGTGTGATTCCACCAACTTCCTTGCCTCACCATCACTCAACCTCATCTTAATAGACAGTTTTGACAGTTACCGGTACATCATTTCTTGATATTCTGTGTTGTATTTTCTAAATGAAGACGTTCATGTGATATAATAGTCATGGTAGAAGTTTCAATTTGCTGTCAAAATCACTAGAACCAAATTGATAAAAAGGGAAAAGAAGAAACCAGTAGAAACAGGGAAATGTCCACCAATTATCAGTCTTACTTTTCTAAATATAGTATTTCTGTGGAAACGTTGACCACCACCCCAGACTTATATCCAGAAGCCAGGGTTTCAAAACACAAACCTACATAAATTATAAAATGGGATACTATTATGAAGAATTCCCGTTCACATAGATTGGATTGTTAATTGTTTACAGACATAGATTCTAAAGATTATGTTTATGCTTCAAGTTCTTGAGTGCAATTCATTTGCCGCAAGTAGTATTATACACATTTCAGATATTTGAAAGCTGTTGGAGTTGACAAACATTTGATGCCTGGCTAATGTGTTTATGCTTGATGCATTGTTCTCTCCAGACCAAAGCTGGCCTACCTGGCATCTAGCAGTGAGATTGTAACTTCGTTCACCGATGCTGAATGATGCTTATTATCTGAAGTTGAGGTCTCTGAATCAGGCAAATTCCTCTCAGTGAAAAAGCCAGGCTGCTTCGGTTGAGGCAGCAGAGTCTCGCTGGTCAACATCACAACCGCAGATAACATGCTAGGCCATCATCTGGTCGTTGTTGAACACATAATAGCCCATACTTGAATGCATCGTAATACCTGAGCTTCCATAGCTACGTAATCGACCAAGCCCACTGAATAAAAGAAGTCTGCAAAGCATCCATGATCTGCCCGTCCAAGCCCACCATGTCTCCATCTCTGTATGACTGTATGGGCAAAAGGAAAAAGACATCTCGGATTTCTTATGCTCATAGGAGTAGAGATTGGGGTATCACACGATCACGGTATATATTCGACGAGGAGATAGAGAGCCTAAAGGAAGAAGAATACAATAACGGTCAATAAGGAAACTGAGAGAGAAGGAGAGCGCATTCGTCGTCGAGGTTACAACACTTCCACCTCGATGCGAGATATCGAATTTAGTGGATGTGAATAAGCCTTGGATTTTGAAAATGTAAGTCGGAATTCTACTTTCTATTCTATGCATCTCAATTCGCATTCAAAACTGCGTTTTACTGTGTTAAGGATGCACTTTCTCCGTTATCATCTAGCGGCCAACAATGTCACAGTTACGTCATTTACTGAGTGGGAGTCGTTCTTGCTCGATGAACTGTCCCCTTTATCAAATGGGTTTCTTGCTGTGAAAAAACCAGGCTGTTTAGGTTCCGACAGTGGATCCGCACTGCCTAGCATTAGAACAACCAGTGATATGTTTGGCCGGTCTTCTGGTCTTTGTTGCACGCACAGTAGAGCTACTTGAATGCATCTTAATGCTTGAGAATGAGTACAGGATTCCATAAGACATTCGTCGACTAGCTTTAGAGCTGCTCCTTTCATCCATAGTGCCCATGCCTGTTGAGTACATGATCAATAGACAATAAGGAAAAATTCTTTAGGCATGCAGGGGGAAAATTTGTATGGTTTATGAGAGCTTACATGGCCTAGAAGGTTAAGGTCATGGTCATGATGTTGAAATCCCCTGTTTCTCTTCCCACTTATTATCTCCAGGACTAGGACCCCAAAGCTGAAGATATCAGATTTCACCGAGAAAACCCCGTCCATGGCATATTCTGGAGACATGTAGCCACTGCAAAATTAAACCCAGACATGAGAAATTTTTTTATCTGCTTGGAGTATAGCTCAAAACAAAAGGGATGGTTCTTTGAGTTGGCAAAAGTGAACAATGCTTACTGTGTACCAACTACTCTATTAGTGTTGGCCTCTGTTTGATCTGCACCAAATGTTTTTGCAAGGCCAAAATCAGATATTTTGGGATGCATTTCCTTATCCAGTAGAATGTTGCTGGCTTTGAGATCCCTGTGGATGATTCTGAGTCTCGAGTCCTGGTGAAGGTAAAGAAGACCTCGAGCTATTCCATCTATGATTTGGATCCGCTGTTGCCAATCTAGCAGCTTGGATCTTGATTTATCTGGGAAAAGCCTTCGTTTAAGTTTGTAACAAGAACTGGCGAACTCGAGAATAACTCCATATATTTGCCAAGAAAAGTGAAATTTTGCTCATTTTTCTTACCAAAAATTATAGAGTCTAAGCTTCTGTTAGGCATGTATTCATAGATCAACATCTTTTCATCATCACGAATGCAACAACCGAGAAGCTTTACAAGATTGCGGTGCTGAAGTTTTGAAAACAATATGACTTCATTTTTGAACTCATTCAATCCTTGGCCAGAGCTCTTGGAGAGCCTCTTCACTGCTATTCCTTGCCCTTCTTGTAACGTGCCCTGCATATATTTCTTCATTTTCATGCTGTTTTCCAGAGTTATTAGATCGACATTGTCTATTACAAAGAGTGTTAATTTTACCTTGTACACAGGTCCAAAGCCACCTTCTCCAAGCTTGTTGCTGTTTGAGAAGTTATTGGTTGCAGCTGCTACTGTATCCAGTTCAAATATTGGTAAGTCCATATCTCCTTTGTTGTCATCATTATTCCTTACGATCAATCCTTCTGCTCTTGCTGAAAATATAGATCATTATCAATGCGACACGACAAATTCTGGACTTTGAGCCTTGCTTTTAAAGAAAAGTTAAAAAACTTCTCATTAATTTTACCTTTCATCCTGAGTTCTCTTTTCCTTTTGATGATGCAGCCTATTCCTAGTGCTACCATGCTCAGAAATAGTATCACAGCCAAGATGGCAATTATCATCGTCCTCTTCTTCTCATTTGGAGTTTGTTTCTTTCCAAATTCAGCTGAAAGAAACAAACTATTGGTTCTAGAAAAAATTGTAGCATGCAAAACATTGTACTGGGAACGAGATACATACCTACTTCTGAAGCAGCTACCTTTACATAGAGATCTTGTCCACCCTCAGCTAATCCTCTTATATCAATCAGATCACCAAACCATCTCAAGCAGCCACTCCCACCGTTCCTGATGTCTAAACTTGCATAAGCAGTGCAAGAGCAGTTACCCAAGCACAAACCTGCACATTCTGCAAGACCCATGTTTCTGATGTATGAGCTCGAAGATGTGTCTGGCACTTTGATTCCTTCGTACTTCAGAAACCCATCGTTTCTACTGCACTCAAGTGGTGTTCTCCGAACGGACCCATCAGACCACTTTGTCGAATTCCAATCTGTTGGTGATTGTGGCACAAACCCATTCAAGCAAGAGCATATCGGAGATCTGTACACTTGACAACCAGCAAATGCACCACAGAGAGCATAGTTCTCACACTGATCCACCTGCGCTGTAGCCGTAACCATCCAGTCGTTCGTTTGATCGTTCCATATGTACCGCTGGAGAAGGCCTGAGGGATATATTGTATACCTCATCAGAGGTGAATTGTCAGTGGTTTCAAACTTGAAATACACCTCGTTTGAGCTCAACACAAACTGGAATGTGAAAGTTGGGGTTTGCTGTAGGGCAGGAAGCCCTGTAAACCGCTCACCATTCCATGATCCTACTCTGAATAAAGTTCTATTTCCCCTCATGAGATATGCCTGTGGATATCCTTGAATGTTTATTTCCATTCTATAATCTCCCTTGGCTGGATCTTCGGTGCTCTTCCAAGATGTCAGAGGCTTGTCCAGACCATTCACCAAGTCCTTCCCTGTCTTCATCCCTGGAATCAATGTATCACAAGGATGATCAAAGCTCTGCCACAGGAGATTCTCAACAGCACCAGTGTCATTATCCAGGGAATCTTTCACTACGAGATTCCCAGAATCCAGGAGCTGTGCAACTGGAGATTGCAGAGATATTCCTGATGAATTGGAAGACCAGACAAGAGTCTGGTTCCCATCGAAGAGAGTCAGGTTTCCCTGACTGGTGAGATTTACAGCTCCCAGAGTGTCTGGTATCGGTGTTTCTCTATTGGCTACCCATACAACCGTCCGAGGAATAATGTTTGTATACCATATTCCTAGGTACCGGTTTCTTGAATTCACGGGGCTGAAAAATCCCAGCTCGAATCTTCCCCTTCCTGCTGAAACTAGAGTAGTATCACCATCCTTCAGTTGCTGGTCTAGACTAATGGTATCTTGGGCACTGCAGCAGGTTATCGAGAAGCCGGATATGAAGGCACAGGCAAGCACTGCTAGACCTGCCATGATAGGAGGGCTTCTCTGTGGCTCAACTGATGAAGTTCAGAGAAATATTTTACGACTGTGTGAGAAAGAGAACAAAATGTCTGGTGGTGGTAAGTGGGGCCGCCAAGTCGTTGAATTCTTATATGCATGCAACGAAAAGCTGACATGCTAGAAAATAATTGTGAGTCCACCAATTTCCTTGCCCTCTCCGTCACTCAACCTTATGTTATTGGGCAGTTTTGACAGTTACTGTTCCATTTTTTTCTTGATATTTTGTGTTTGTATTCGTCAATGAAGACGCTCATGGTGGCATAACAGTCGTGGTAGAAGTTTCAACTTGCTGTCAAAATCACTACAAACAAATTGTTAAAAATGTGGGAAAAGTAACCTGTAGAAACAGGGGAGGGGAAATGTCCAATTTTCATAGGCATATTTTTTCTAGATGTCTTTCTGTGAAATTGGCTGACTAAACACATGACTTCATGAATTGACTACCACTCCAAACTTATATTCAGATATCAGAAGCCTCGTTTTCCAAATTACAAACATACATAATTTAGAAAATGAGATACTAGTAACAACAATTTCTGCTGATATTAACCGGATTGTTAATCGTCTACAGACATCGAATCTGAAGATTATGTTTATGCGTGAAGCTCTTGACCCATTGCTGTGCATTTCATTTGCTGCAAGCACCAGCTATACACGTTTGAGATATTTTATAGCTGTTGGAATTGGCAAATGATTGAGGCGTGACTATTATGTCTATGCTTGTTGCAGTCCTCTCTCCATACCAAAGCTCGCCTACCTAGCATCTAGCAGCGAGACTGTAACTTCATTCACCGATGCAGAACTATGCTTATTATCTGAGGTCGAACTCTCTGAATCGGGCAAATTCCTTTCAGTGAAAAACCCAGGCTGCTTCGGCTGAGGCAGCAGAGTCTCACTGGTCAACATCACAACCACAGATGACATGCTAGGCCTGTCATCTGGTCGTTGTTGAACGCATAGCAGCCCTACTTGAATGCATCGTAATACTTGAGTTGTAGTAGAGGGTTCATCATCCACAATCTCCTCTTCTACTAGCTCAATTGGCTTCCCTTCAACCCACAACCTCCAAGCCTGAATACACAACAGAGAATGTCAGAAGACATTTTGACTTGTATACAATTGTACTTTGTATTCTCATTGATCTCATCTTACATGGCCAAGAAGGTTGAGGTTGTGATCTTGGTGGGAAAACCCTCTGTTCCTCTTCCCACTAATGATCTCAAGCAATAGAACTCCGAAACTAAACACATCGGATTTCATTGAGAAAAGACCATCAATAGCATATTCTGGAGACATGTAGCCACTGCAAATATATAGTAGCAAGGGTTAGAAAACATCAAGCAGAGACCAAAACAAGAGGTACGCGATATATATTGTTGTTACTTACTATGTGCCAACGACTTTACTGGTGTTTGCTTCAATTTGGTCACCACCAAATATTCTGGCCATGCCGAAGTCTGAAATTTTAGGGTTCATATCCTTATCTAGCAACACATTGCTGGCTTTTAGATCTCTGTGGATAATCCTTAGCCTAGAATCTTGATGGAGGTATAAAAGCCCCCTTGCAATTCCATTCACAATGGCTATCCTCATGTTCCAGTTAAGGGACTTGCTCTTCGTTTTATCTGATGAAATTTAGTTTAGACTTTGATCATCATATTCATAATTAAGTCTAGTGCACGAAATATTGCTGGAAAACTGGACTGAAGGTAGTTATAGAGAGAATATCATACCAAAAATGAAGAAATCCAAGCTTTTGTTGGGCATGAACTCATAGATCAACATCTTCTCATCTCCTTCAATGCAACACCCTAGGAGTTTCACGAGATTTCTGTGCTGGAGTTTCGCGATCAAAACAACTTCATTTTTGAACTCTGTTGTTCCTTGTCCGGAACTCTTTGATAGGGTTTTCACAGCAATGTCCTGCCCATCTGCCAATGTCCCCTGCAAATTCTCATTTCTGTCAAATCATGTCATATATCCAATTACTAGGTGATTGTTTCTATAAGCATATTATTCCATCATTCTACCTTGTAAACAGGTCCATATCCTCCTTGCCCTAATTTGTTCTCCATCGAGAAGTTATCAGTAGCTTTCACCATAGTCGCCCTGTCAAATATATGCAACTCCATTTCAGAATCCTCTCCCCCTTCTTCGTTCCCACCATCCCGTCTGAAAATACTTGCTCCTCTCATTCCTGAAAAGATGGATAATTAATTGTTATACGACGATAAAAACCAAACATCCCAAACTCCCAAAAACTAAACATCCCAAACCTAGACTTCTTTGTCTCCGATGCCATAAAACCAGAACGAGGACTGTTCCAACCAATCCTGCTAACGCAACTGAGCTGGCTACAATGGCCACTAAGTTCTTACCACCAGATTCTACACGCAAAAACAATTTAATTGGTCAGCAAGCTACTCACAACAAACAAAGAAAGCATATGTAAAATTGTGTAGCAGTACTTAATGTTGTTGGTGGTTTTGGTACTGTGGCAGACAATCTGACGAAGAGCTCTTGGCCTCCCTTATCGTATTGCCTCATATCAACTAGCTCACCAAACCACATCAAGCACCCACCATCAGCTTTTTGAATATCAGCATCCGCATATGCCATACATGAGCAATTCCTCAAGCAAACATTCTCGCATTCCCGAAGGCTCTGTATCTTACTAAACCATGAGGAAGTAGATGTGTCTGGCAACTTAACCCTAGTATAGTTCAAGAAGTATTCGTTCTCGCAATTCAATGGCACCTTCCTAGCACACCCTTTGCTCTGGTTTCCGGGATCTATCAATTCAAATCCTTCGAGGCAGTCACAGGTTGGGGGACTGTTCTCTTCCACATTGCAGGTCATATGTGCTCCACAGTTTCCATACAGGTCGCATTGATCCATTGGAGCTGCGTACAAGCTTGTCCACTCACTTCTTCCTTGGGAGCGTGCGTAACGCTGCAGGAATCCTGTTTGGGTCAACACCAGTCTCGAGAGCAGGGCAGATTTGACATTGTAAGTATAGTAAACGTCGGTCTCGTTCATCACGAACTCGTATTCGAAGATGTTGTTTGTCGGAAGCAGGGGAGTCCCCGTGAAGTACTTCCCGTTCCATGACCCCAATCTGTAGCGATTTGCTTCCCTGTTTTTCAGGATCAGTTGTGGGTATCCACGAGGGTCGATCGACATTGAAAACTGACCTTCGTCTGGATCCTGATCAGTCTTCCAGGATGTCAAGATTGTTTGCTTACCGGTCGCTAAATTGGACCTGATTTTCATTCCTGGGAGCAGTGTGTTGGATGGGTGATCGAAGCTCTGCCACAGAATGCCGACTCTGTTTCCATCTCTCACGACCAAGTTACCGGAATCGAGAAGCTGTAAAGTTGGGTTGAGGGAGGCTGCTTGTGGAGGATTGCCGTTGTTGGAGGTCCAAATTGTGTTGTTTTGGTTATTCAGAAGTACCAAAATGCCAGTGGGAGAGAGAGTGAGAGCTCCAGAGGTGTCTGAGAGGGAAGCATTTCGGTTGGCTACCCAGACAACTTCTTTGGCTGGAGCTTTGTGATACCATATTCCTAAATAACGGTTGTTGGAGCTGCCTACGGCTGCTCCAGGGGTGAAAAAACCCAGCTCGAAGGTTTCATCTGGCGAAACCAGAGTCTGGTTTTGGGAATCTCTGAGGAATTGGCCAGGGATAAGGACAGTTGAACTATTTTCTGATGTAACGGAAATCAGAGCAAAGAGAAAGAAGCACAAGTGAAGAGTGACCCTTCTCTTGAAGCTTAAGGTTGTCTTTGCCATGTTTCCAGCAAGAAAGAGAGGTAAAATCAATGAATGGTGGACGACTAAGAACTTAGAAGACGACGTTTAAGTTGGTTCCAAATGGCTTGGCAGTCAGGCCAAACTCTGTTCCGCAACTGCAACTGGGAAGGCAAGTTCATGGTCAAGGGTGGCACGTTCGGTTGAACGTATTCAATGTCTGACGAATTAATGGTGGTGGTCCATGAATCGGACAGTTTCCTGGAGCTTGAGACCTCCGGTCTGTTCAACTACTTCTGGTTGTGACACTAATAACTCCGGCAGCTACATCTATACTGGCACTGGAGCTGCTAGATATTTCAGTCTGGTGGTCTGAGTATTGAAGTTTCTTCTAACAGGAAATGAAAGTATTTATCCATGTACCCTCCTTCATCTGTTCTTCTCTCAATGGCAAGTGGTAAACAGGAAAACGGGTAGATAATAGCGACGTATTTTCGAGATCTTGATATTTGCTGTTTCGATTATGAGTGCGACCTGCTATGCACATTATAATCCACTTTCTATAATTACAGAGGCTCCATTGCTACTAGAGGAAGAGGTAGTGTCAGCCTCAGGTGGATTGCTACTAAGGTAGAACCCAGGCAAAATTTGAATGAGAAAATATGTGTCACCGCGGCTCCATTACTGTTAGGGAGACTTGATTAGCAGAGTAAGAATCATTGTTATTGTTTGAGGAAGAAGACTCGGCCTCCGGTGGATTCCTTCTAAGGTAAAACCCAGGCAGATTGGGCTGTGGCAGAGTATTCTCGCTGCCCAGCATCAGCACCACAACTGACATGTTTGGCCTGTCGTCGGGTTTCTGTTGCACGCACAACAACGCTACGTGGATGCATCTCAGCACTTCTGATTGATTGCAGCTCTCCTTCATTGAGTCGTCTATCAGCTGCATCGCCGCACCTTCGTTCCACAACGTCCATGCCTGGACAAGCACAGGGTACCACCAAGTTCATTATAGTCATGTTCTAATAGAAGATTGTGACGTGAGTAGCTATAACTATGCAGTAAAAGGACTTACATGGCCCAAGAGGTTGAGGTCGTGGTCAGTGTGGGCGAATCCTCTGTTCCTCTTACCGCTCACTATCTCAAGAACCAAAACTCCGAAGCTAAATACGTCCGATTTGACCGAGAAGAGACCATCCACCGCATATTCCGGAGACATATAGCCACTGCAGATGAAACATCAACAGCCAGGATGAGGTGATGATCAGTTATGTCACTCACATTCAGGTTAGAGCCAAATGGTGGAAAAAAGGATGAGGTCCAACCCCTGCCACATCCATGAAAAATTTGCATTTTAGATAGTGCAGTACTTACAACGTGCCAACGACCTTATTTGTTTCGCACTCTGTTTGATCTCTTCCAAATGTCCTCGCAAGACCGAAGTCCGAAATCTTAGGTTGCATCTCGCTGTCCAGCAATATATTACTGGCTTTCAGATCTCGATGAATGATTCTCAACCTGGAGTCCTGGTGAAGGTAAAGCAAGCCTCGAGCAATCCCGTCTATGATTATCGCCCGCTTTTGCCAGTTCAATAGTTTTCTTTGCTTCTCATCTGATCAAACATATATGATTTCACAAACATTGTTAATACATCTATACTAAATATTATGAACAACTTAATTATATGTAATGGTTGGGAGATGGTAAGACGACATCTCACCGAAAATGAAGAAGTCCAAGCTTTTGTTAGACATGTATTCATAGATCAACATCTTCTCATCACCAGGAATGCAACAACCCAGCAGTCGAACAAGGTTTCGATGCTGTAGTTTGGAGAACAGGATGACTTCGTTCTTGAACTCACTTATCCCTTGTCCCGAGCTCTTTGAGAGCCTCTTCACCGCTATTTCTTGCCCTTCAGGAAGTTTCCCCTACACCTTCAAAAATCAGGCCAAAGTCCAAACAATAGGAAACCTGTCGAGAGTTATTCTTAGTGAATATTTACCATGTAGACGGGGCCAAATCCCCCTTCCCCGAGCTTATTGTCAATGGCGAAGTCATTTGTGGCCTTAACTATTGTGCTCAAACTGAATGTGGGTAGATCCATCTCTTCATTGTGCTCCTTCTGTGACATTTTGTGCATATCTTCACCAAAAGAACCGGTCAAAGTAACAACATTAGTATCACTTGGGATTGAAACGAATTGAACCAACTTATCAATGAACAGGGGAGGGGAAATGCATATAGCAGGGGAATCACCTACCTTTTTTCTTAAGTTTCCTTTCTCTCGCGCAGAGCACAATCACCAAAATTGCCAAAAGAGACACAGACGAAACCACTGAGGCGACCACGATGATCATTTTCCTCCTATTCTTGGAACTCCCCTGCTCTTGAACCACTCCAATTTCTGAGCCGGCCACCCTCACATACAAATCCTGTCCGCCGTCGGACAGTTCTCGAATGTCAATCAGATCATCGAACCACATCAAGCACCCGCTCCCGCCATTCCTTATGTCCAAGCTGGAATACCCAGTACAAGAACAGTTCCCCAAGCACAACCTCCGACATTCATCTAGCCCCATCGTCCGGTTCCAGAATGCCATTGCAGTATTTGGCAGCTTGGCGTTTGAATGCCTGATGAATCCATCGCTCGAATTACAAGCCAGGGAAGTCCTCCTGACACACCCACCTTCCCAATCCGACTGCTCCCAATCACTCGGGTTCCTCGGATCGAACCCGGTCAGACACTGACAGGCCGGGACCATGTAAGTGTAACAACTCGAGTATGTGCCACACAGACCATAGTTGTCACACCGGTCCCCCTGAGCAGAGTATATCACAATCCAATCGTTACTCCGTCTGCTCCACATCCACAACTGGAACAACCCCGTTGGAGAAACCACGTACCTCGACACGACCGTGCTGTTGGGCACGTGGAACCTGAAGTAAATCTCCTCGCCCTCGTTGTACTCATACTCGAACGAGAAAGTCGGGCTCGAATTCAGGGTCGGAGCCCCGGTGAAACGGAGGCCGTTCCACGATCCAATTCGAGCCTGGATCGTGGAGCCCCTCCGTACCAACACCTGAGGGTAACCTTGCATCTCGACCCCGACCCAAAATTCTCCCTCGCCCGGGTCCTCCACGGACCTCCACGACATCAGGTTCCGGTCCAGACCGGATCTCAGATTTCTCCCCAATTTCATCCCCGGGAGCAGAGTATTGGTGAGATAGTCGAAGCTCTGCCACAGGAAGTTATCCGGGTTCTCGTCGTTCGCGTCTCTGACAACCAAATTGCCGGAATCCAGGAGCTGGGCGACGACCCCGGTCGCCGGAGGCACTCTTCTGGTCACATTAGAGGACCAGACGGCGAGGTTGCTCCGGCCGCCGTCGGAGAGGACGAGGACTCCTTCCCTGGTGAAGTTGAGGAACCCTCGAGTGTCGGAAATCGGAGATCCTCTGTTGGCTACCCATACGATCGTTTGAATTGATACCCTGTCGACGCCGTACCAGATTCCCAGGTACCGGCTGCTGGTATTTTCCGGCCGGAAGAATCCGAGCTGGAAGCTGCCGCCGGAGGAGACGATGGACTGGCCGTCGGTTAGAGATTGGCCTGGCGCCAGAGTATCTCGTTGTTGTTGTTGTTGCGCAGTACTGGAAAACGTCAGTAATATGCAACAGAAAAGGGAGAAGAGCACCTGAAAACTGGATCTTGTCATCGGCGGGAGCTTTTTTTTTTTTTGTTGGAGTTTCCCCTGCTCTTGAATCGGGCGTCCTCCTGACGACGCCTATATGTGAAAGTGGAATTGCTGCGCAAGATCAATCATAGAAAGCAGAGGGGGGGAGGAAGACTCCGTTGTGTTGACGAAACAGTAGCGAGTGGAGAAGGGAATTTTTGGCTATGGCGGGTCCAAAGCGAGTCTGTCAGCGTGGAAACAGACGACTTTTCTGAGTTGGCCACATTTTCGTCGTCAGTCTTTGTTCAGCTGCATACACTTCCACAACCGCGTGGGAATGACTTTTTTTTTTATGTTTTCGAATCAAGTTGGTGATGGTGGATCAGGTATTCAGGTGATTTCGGTTATAACAGGTAACCGATCGGCCGGTTATCGGTTAACCGAAATAACCACCTTCTCTACCGAAATAGGCTTCGATTTTGCGATTATCTCGGTTATCGGTTTACCGAACCACTTTTAAGACCAAAAACCGTTTTGTCCAGCCTCCAATAACCGACCGAAGTTCGATTATTTCGGTTACCGGTTAGTGGATAACCAGTCGATTATCGGTTAACCGGTAACCGGTAACCGAACGGCCACTCCTATCAGGTGTGATGGTTTAGATTATAGATTAGTAAATTTCAAAGGTAAAAATTATCCTTTGTTGTCTGGACTAATATATTTTAACCCCTAGGGGTTGGCGTGGTGATAAAGTTCACGAATTGCCAATAATTAATGACCACAATAACATAATTGTATGTACAAAATTAAATAACACTACAAAATCAATAATATTCAAAGTAAAAATAATAATTATTGATCTACAATGTAATATACGGGATACGGCTGATCGTACGAATCTAATATTTTTTATTATAAGAATAAAAAAAAATAATTAAGGGGGAAAATAAAATAAGGAAGAGAGAGCGCGCAAATGTCTGGTGGAAAGTTTAAGTGGGGGCCACCAATCGAGAAATTGTTATATCACGAAAAGGCGACATTTCCTGGAAGCTAACGTAACGCATTGGCCGGCCGGCCATGCTAGAAAAGTAAATTTGAGTCCGCCGCCGGCAACTTCCTTAGCTTGCCTCACTCATGACTCCACCTTGACGCACATGGTGGGATAATTCATCATAGTATCAAAAGTTCAAACGTGCAGTCAAAATCACTTCAAACAAATTATCATAAAATAATCACTACAACCAAATCGATAAAAAGGAGAAAGTATATACATGAGAAGAAAAGTCAACGTTGTTTGTTTGGTTCAATTTAGACAATTCAAATCGAGTAGCTGAAGAATATATTAGAAATTAGATAAAAAATTATCCGATTTTTGATCATACCACTTATGATGTCTATACCGTTTGGTATGATACATTTGATCATACCACGTCTGCTCGTTTATATAGTTTGGTATGGTACAACTTGGATAAGATAGACTATAGATTGAGTAACAAATGGAAAACTTGATTGATAAAGTTACAATTTAGTACCTTGTATAGTTTACTTTTTACAATATCAACATCAATCTTTAGTGTAAGTATATCCATGTTCGTACCTTATTTCCAAACTCTGCTCTGCAATTGGAAAATGGCAAAGTTGTGTTTGAATTTGTTAATATAAATGGGCCGTCGTTTGGGCTCGGGTGGCCCGTTCAACCTAACTTATAAATGCAGACGAATTAATGATCGTGGCCCATGAATTGGACAGTTTCCTCATTCCTGGCGCTTGGGCCCCTTCCGGCCTTTTGGTAATGATTACAATTTACAACTAAGAATTTTTTTAATTACCGTGGCTCCAACACTGTTAGAGACATTTGATTATTACAGTTAAATGCTCTGATTACAACTCATCCAACAAAAAAAAAATAGATGCTCATTTAATTACCGAGGGTCCAATACTGTTAGAGACATTTGATTATTACTGTTGGGGGAACACATTGGGTCGGCCGCCTCCGGTGGATTCCTCCGAAGGTAGAATCCCGGCAGGTTGGGCCGTGGTAGAGGATTCTCGCTGCCCAACATCAGCACCACGGCCGACATGTTGGGCCTGTCGTCGGGCTTCTGTTGCACGCACAACAACGCCACGTGGATGCACCTCAACACTTCTGATTGGTTGCAGCTCTCTTTCATAGACTCGTCTACCAGCACCAGCGCCACGCCTTCGTTCCACAACGTCCATGCCTGGACATGCATGCACACCACTCCACCAAGTTAATTATAAATCATGTTATAACAGAATATAAGTTGCCGGTGGAATTCGGTATATCTTAAATACTGATACCAAACTCCCATTCCTAGTTGTAAATATGCAGTGAAAGGACTTACATGGCCTAAGAGATTGAGGTCGTGGTCAGGGTGATAGAATCCTCGGTTCTTGCTACCGCTCACTATCTCAAGAACCATAACTCCGAAACTAAATACGTCTGACTTAACTGAGAAGAGACCATCCACTGCGTATTCTGGAGACATATAGCCGCTGAAAGAACATGATAAGAATGAGGAACAGATATGGTGAGCTATGTCATGTCACTCACATTCAGGTTTAGAGCCAAAGAGTGACAAAATGATAAGGTCCAACCCTATCCATGTAAATTTTGCATCTTATACGGTGTAGTATAGTACTTACAACGTGCCCACGACCTTTTTTGTTTCGCCCTCGGTTTGATCTCCTCCAAATGACTTGGCGAGGCCAAAGTCCGAAATTTTAGGTCTCATCTCGTTGTCTAGCAATATGTTACTGGCCTTCATATCTCGATGGATGATTCTCAACCTGGAATCCTGGTGAAGGTAAAGCAGACCTCTAGCAATCCCGTCTATGATTATCGTTCGGTTTTGCCAGTTTAGTAGCTTCTTTTGTGTCTCATCTGATCAACAGACAAAATTTAAAAGAACATTGTTATTACATTTTTATACTTAATATTATGAACAACTTTTAGTTGCACGGAATAGTTGGTAATTGGTAAGACGACTTCTCACCGAAAATGAAGAAGTCCAAACTTTTGTTAGGCATGTATTCATAGATCAACATCTTCTCATCTTCATGAATGCAACAGCCCAACAGTCGAACAAGGTTCCGATGTTGGAGTTTGGAGAACAGAATGACTTCGTTCATGAACTCATTGAGCCCTTGTCCGGAGCTCTTCGACAATCTCTTCACCGCTATTTCTTGTCCTTCGGGAAGTTTCCCCTGCAACGTACCAAGCAAGGGGTCACGTCAAAGACCAAAAAATTGGGGAAATGTTGAGAGTGATCCTTAATGAAATATTTACCTTGTAGACGGGTCCAAATCCACCTTCTCCAAGCTTATTGTCATTCGAGAAGTCATTTGTGGCCATAACTACTGTGCTCAAATTGAATATGGGTAGCTCCATCTCTTCATTCCGAATTCCTTCACAAATAGTGAGTCAAGGTAACAACAATAGTATTAGTGGGGACGAATCGATCGAACCAAATTATCAATGGAATAGGGGATGCAAAATTCTTATAGAATAGGAAATCAATTACCTTTTTTCTTCAGTTTCCTTTGTCTCACGTAGAGCGCAATCACCATCATTGCCAAAAACGTTATGGTAGAAATTACTGAGGCGATCACAATGACTGTTTTCCTCTTCTTGTTGGACCTCCCCACTTCACATACGAACAATATCAATTTACTAGTAATACACTTAAAACAAATGCATACGATGAAGATCTAAAGGCTTTTAAGGTAAAGAAAAACGGGGAAGAGAAATCAAGGGAAAGCAATCATATGCAAAATGAACAAATGAAGCATTCATTCATACCTATTTCCGAGCCAGCCACCCTGACGTACAAATCCTGCCCACCATCCGACAACTCTCGAATGTCAATCAAATCATCGAACCACATCAAACACCCACTCTCACCATTCCTTATGTCCAAGCTGGAGTACCCCGAGCATGAACAATTCCCCAAACACAATCTCCGACACTCCTCCAACCCCATCGTCCGGTCCCAGACCGTCTTTGCAGTATTCGGCAGTTTGACCCCTACATGTCTGATAAACCCATCGGTCGAGTTACAAGCCAGCGCAGTCCTCCTCGCACACCCTCCTTCCCAGTCCGACCGGTCCCAGTCACTCGGGCTCCTAGGTCTGAACCCGGTCAGACACTGACAGGCCGGGACCAGATACGTGTAACAGTTCGAGTAGGTCCCACACAACCCGTAGTTGTCACACCGGTCCCCCTGAGCCGAATACAACACTATCCAGTTGTCGGCCCGTCTGCTCCACATCCACAGCTGGAACGACCCCGACGGAGAAATCGCGTACCTCGACATGACCGTGCTGTTGGGCACCCGGAACCTGAAGTAAATCTCCTCCCCCTCGTCGTACTCATACTCGAACCAGAAAGTCGGGCTGGGGTTCAGGGTCGGAGCCCCAGTGTAACGGAGGCCGTTCCACGATCCGATTCGAGCCTGGATCGTGGGGCCCCTCCGTACCACAGCCTGAGGGTAACCTTGCATCTCGACGAGGACCGAGAAGTCGCCCTCCCCAGGGTCCTCCAAGCTCCTCCACGACGTCATCATCCGGTTCAGACCGGACGTCAAGTTCCTCCCGAACTTCATCCCCGGGAGGAGCGTGTCGGTGATGTGGTCGAAGCTCTGCCAGAAAAAGTTGTCTGGGTCCTCGTCGTCCGGATCTCGAACGACGAGGTTCCCGGATTCCAAGAGCTGGGCGACTACTACGGTCGTGACCCGTCTGGTCACGTTGGTGGACCAGACGGGAAAGTTGTCCCGGCTGCCGTCGGAGAGGACGAGGATTCCTTCCTCGGTGAGGTTGAGGAACCCTCGGGTGTCGGAAATGGGAGATCCTCTGTTGGCCACCCACACGATCGTTTGAGTTGGTACCCTGTAGCCGTACCAGATTCCCAAGTACCGGCTGGTGGAGTTTTCCGGCCGGAAGAAGCCGAGGCGGAAGCTGTCTCCGGCTGAAACTAGGGACTGGCCGTCGGTTAGGGATTGCCCTAGAGTAAGAGTGTCTTGTCGTTGCTGTGCAGTACTGGAAAACGTCAGTAACATGCAACAGAAAAGGGACAAGAAGAAGTGCGATCCGGATCTTGTCATCGGTGGGAAGTTTTTTGTTTTTTGTTTTTGTTTGTATCTATCGAGTGAATCTATGAGGAGGACGACGACGTGACGGCTATTTGTGGGAGTGGGATTGCTGCTTAAAATGATACAAAATTTGAGGGAATTATGACTTGGTGGGGGCTGCGGCATTGTTATATTGTGTTGACTAAATAGTGGAGTGGAGGAGGGACTTGCCGCCGGAGTCATCGGGGGAACGACTTCTTATTGTGCGTTGGCCACATTTGTGGTCGGCCGGTCGCACGTACGTACTGACACGACTGCGTGGAATGAGTTGGTGATCATGTGATGGTTTAAGTTTTTTTGGATGATGTGGATTTTTGGAGGGGGTGAAAGTTCGGTTTGCGGAATAACAAATCATATAATTGGAGAAAACATTGTAGAGGAAGACCTAGCAGCTATCGCATTCACCCACCCTTTTTAGTATCTGATTAGTGTTTGGAATTTGGATTAAAACATTATAAATGTTCCTGATCGGGTTGTACCCAGGAAAAAAATCAGGTAATTAAGGAATAAAATGAAAGATTAATTAATGTAACAATTTCCTCAAGTCAACTCCGCTTGTGATATGAACAACGTACCACCTTACTTGCCGCTGCCCGAATACATATATATAAGTATATTTAATAATTAAGAATAACAACAGTGATGTGACTGTTTGCCAACGTACAGCAGAATATATATTGTTGCAATAATAAATAAGAAAACCCTATTGATTGCGTATTTCTCCAGATCTCTAGAAAAAAAGTATGAAAACTGTCGCCCTAGAATGAAAAGGGCCGTCCAGAGGCCAGAGATGATCAGGAAAGGTGTAGTAAGCGATGAAATGTTTCGGAAAGTTAAAATAAACGTAGTTCGGAGATTCCTATTGGTGTAGTAAGCGATAGAATGTTTCGGAAAGTTGAAAATGAACGTAGTTCGGAGATTCCCAAATAGGTCGTCAACCTTTCAAATTGCTGCTAAATCCATTGGCACGCAAGAGACAACCTTCCGGAAGTATATTCTGTCATATGTAATCATCAGCTTTATCAAGTTTTTCTCCATTTATTTTACCTATTTTTGGTTGTTTAGGGTTTTTTTTATAAATTAATTGGTAGGGTTTCATGTTGTTGGAATGATAATAATTCGCAATTAAACAAAAAGAAAAACATATACAAAAAGCTATTAAGGTGGCGGCCGGGCGCCAAGCTTGGTAGAATGTAGATGGGAGAAGGAGAACTAATAAAGCAGCCTACCGTTGAAAATCAATTGACCAATGAACGATCAGTGGATCAAAATGCAGCCAGCAAAGTTGACTTAATGATGAGAGGAAGGTGGCATTTACGTTATAATTATTTATTTTTTTAATTATAATTGTTTTGTTCCCCCAACTCCCCAATCCTACATATCTATATACGTGCATGGCCACATGGGCATGTCCTGATGTCAGAAATTAAATGAGGAACTAATTTACAAGTATTCATCCAATTGTGCAATAAATTTGTCTATGTATTGTTACCATCCAAATTTGTATCATAACGTAAAAGGTTAAAATTCAGTGTATCATAAATTTCTTTCTATCAATGGAAATGCACCTATAATATATAGGTTAGCCCAAAACTATAATGTATATGTTCAGTTTGCATACATTTTAAATTGAGTGAAACATCAAATATTTTAATTTACTTCGTAGATCTGTCTCGAAAGTCTACTACATTTAATTTCACGGGTGCCCAACAAAATGTCAAAGAAAAAAAATGTCTTAAAGTAAGATAACATGAATTTATTAATTTGCTATAGGATTTGTCCTGGTTAAACAAACACTAAATACCAACACTACTGACTTGAATTTTTCACCATCAATATAAACAAACACTAAATATCAAGAATCTTTCTAAGGAAATCGTCCTTGTTTCCAATCTTTTCCATTCATTCAACTTCAAACCCTCCTCAAAAGTTTGAACGAAAACTGTTAGAGAGTGGTATAAGATCTACGATTGAATCTCTCCCAACAAATCGAGTTATTGGGATCAACTGGTTCTTGACATGGTATCAGAGCCTAGAACCGAAAGGTCATGTGTTCGAATCTCCACGACCCCCAATATTAATCGTTGTCTTTCAAGCACATGGTATGATGGGCCTGTGCAAACTTCAAGCCCATGGGTTGGCTTTCGTTTGAGGGGCTTGACAAAAACAATGGACGTACGCGTTACTCTTGAACTACCGCGGCTCCATCACTGTTATAGAGACCTGATTAGCAGAGCAAGAAGTGTCGGCCTCCGGCGGATTCCTCCTGAGGTAGAATCCAGGCAGCTTGGGCTCCGGCAGAGGATTCTCGCTGCCCAACATCAGCACCGCCGCCGACATGTTGGGCCTGTCTTCGGGCCTCTGCTGCACGCACAGCAACGCCACGTGGATGCATCTCAACGCCTCTGATTCGTTGCAACTCTCCTTCAACGAATCATCTATCAATCCCAGGGCCGCACCTTCGTTCCACAGCGTCCATGCCTGAACACGCAAGCACACGATCATTACCCAACCAAGTTCATTAATGTGACGATCAAGACTATGCAGTGAAAAAAGGGACTTACGTGGCCTACGAGATTGAGGTCGTGGTCGGTGTGATAGAACCCTCGGTTCCTCCTACCGCTCACTATCTCAAGAACCAGGACTTCGAAACTGAACACGTCGGATTTGACCGAGAAGAGACCGTCCACCGCGTATTCCGGAGACATATAGACACTGAAGGACAAACAAGAGAGAGAGAGAGAGAGAATAAGGGACTTTCAAAGTTCAAAACCATCCATTCATGGAAAATTGCAGTTTAAGAGATGCATGTGTGTGCATGAATACTTACAATGTGCCCACGACTTTTTTTGTTTCGCCCTCTGTTTGATCTCCTCCGAACGTACTCGCGAGGCCAAAGTCGGATATCTTAGGCCTCAGCTCCTTGTCGAGCAGGATGTTGCTGGCTTTCAGATCTCGATGGATGATCCTCAACCTGGAGTTCTGGTGAAAGTAAAGCAGGCCTCGAACGATCCCGTCAATGATTATCGACCGTCTTTGCCAGTTCAATAGTTTCCTTTGAGTCTCGTCTGAATCAATAGAAGTAGTATGAAACTGTTAGCTGCACACGACTATGCTTAAAATTATGTAGAACCTGTAAAGTTTTGGAAAGAGGTTAGGCTTCTCACCGAAAATGAAGAAGTCTAGACTTTTGTTGGGCATGTATTCGTAGATCAACATCTTCTCATCCTCGTGAATGCAACAACCCAACAACCGAACAAGGTTTCTATGTTGGAGTTTGGCAAATAAAATGACCTCGTTCTTGAACTCGCTCATCCCTTGTCCCGAGCTCGTTGAGAGTCTCTTCACCGCAATTTCTTGCCCTTCGGGAAGTTTACCCTGCACCTCGTGGATGTCATGTCAAAATTTAAAGAGTGTGAAAGATGAGTATTTCTATCTTATTGAATATTTACCATGTAAACGGGTCCAAATCCACCTTCTCCAAGCTTATTGCCAATTGCAAAGTCATTTGTGGCATCCACTATGGTGCTCAAATCAAATGTCGGTAGATCCATCTCTTCATTTGTCTTGGGTGTTTCTGCACAAATAGGAATGGATCACAGTGCCAGAAATCAGTAGGGACGAGTTGAAGTAAATTAGCAATGGAATAGCCCATCTTGGTGAGAGGAAAATCGTTTACCATGGGAGTTACCTTTTTGCTCAAGTTTCCTTTTTCTAGCATAAAGCAGAATCCCTAAAATGACTAGCAAAGCCACTAGTGACGAAACTACTGAGGCGATCATGATGACCGTTCTCCCTTGATTTCCTTGAATTGCTGCTGAAATACCAATTTAGATAAAATAATTAACTTAAGTATTAATTTGTATGTGAGAACAGTGAAAACAATTTAAACCCGTCTTGTTTAATATTACCCGACTTGATCCATGCTGGAGCTGATAATACTCGAGTCTTAGTAACATGAGGTGGAGCATGAATACTATACACGAGGAAGAGAATTTTTACCACTCTTCTTTCTCTACTTGGTATTATATTATACAAGCTGGAATCATGAATGTTAAGGGTGGCTGATAAATGAGGAAAAGGTGTAGAGGCAAGAGGAGAAAAGGAAGGGGAGATATGGGTGGTGACACATGTTTTTATGTGTGCCCAATCTTATATCAAGTGTCCAACATGCACATAATAAGTCTTAGGTTGGTGTAAATAAAAGAGAAGACAAGAAATATGTAAGTATTGGTATGTGTGGATGTAATGACACTCTCTCTTTTCAACTTCAGCTATTAACTCACAAGCCTCTCTTTCAGAATCTCCAATTTCTAGACATGTATTTGGAGAACTTCTTAGACTTTAATTTTATCCCGCCTGAATCGCGTTTGATGCGAACGAGTATGGATATTCGAGGTGTTATACTTAAAAATATTCGCATTATTAAATTAAGATTTGTAGATCAATGGAAAGACAAACGAGAAAGAAATGAAAGCAATCAGAAGCAAAATTATGCATTTAGTTTTTTTTTTACCTCGTATTTCCGACCCAGCCACCCTGACGTACAAATCCTGCCCACGATCCGCCAGTTCTCGAATGTCAATCAGATCATCGAACCACATCAAGCACCCGCTCCCGCCATTCCTTATGTCCAAGCTAGAATACCCGGTACAAGAACAGTTCCCCAAGCACAACCTCCGACATTCCGCCAGCCCAATCGTCCGGTTCCATCGCGCCACGGCCGTGTCCGGCAGCTTGACACTCGAATGCAAGATGAATCCATCGCTCGAATTACAAGCCAGCGCAGTCCTCCTGACGCACCCTTCTTCCCACGCCGACCGGCTAAAGTCGCTCGGGTTCCTCGGGCTGAAGCTGGTAAGACACTCACAGGCCGGGGCCCGGGACCCGTAACAACTCGCGTAGGTCCCACACAACCCGTAGTTCTGGCACCGGTCCCCCTGGGCCGTGCCTATCACTATCCACTCCCCCGTCCGGTTGCTCCACGTCAGATGCTGGAGCAACCCGGACGTTGAGATCGCGTATCTAGACACGACCGTGTTGTTGGGCACCGCGAACCTGAAGTAAACTTCCTCCCCCTCGTCGTACTGGTACTCGAACGAGAAAGTCGGACTGGGGTTCAGGGACGGAACCCCAGTAAAACGGAGGCCGTTCCACGATCCAGCACGAAACTGGATCGCGGTGCCCCTCCGTACCAACAGCTGAGGGTAACCCTCCGTTTCGATGAGGACGGAGAAGTCACCCTCCGCGGGATCCTCCCCGCTCCTCCACGACCTCATCGTCCGGTTCAGACCGGACGTCAGGTTTCTCCCGATCTTCATCCCCGGGAGCAACGAGTTGGTGAGGTAGTCGAAGCTCTGCCACAAAAAGTTGTCCGGGTTCTCGTCGGCGGCGTCTCTAACAACCAAATTGCCGGATTCCAGGAGCTGGGCAACGAATCCACTCGTCGGAGACACTCTTCTGGTCACGTTGGAGGACCAGACGGCGAGGTTGTTCCGGTCGCCGTCGGAGAGGACGAGGATTCCTTCCCTGGTGAGGTTGAGGAACCCGCCGGTGTCGGAAATCGGAGCTCCTCTGTTGGCTACCCATACGACCGTTTGAGTCGGTACTCTGGCGCCGTACCAAATCCCCAAATACCGGCTGCTGGAATTTTCCGGCCGGAAGTAGCCCAGCCGGAAGCTGCCGCCGGATGAGACTAGGGACTGGCCGTCGGTTAGTGATTGGCCGATCGTGAGAGTGTCTTGTTGCTGTGCGCTACTGGAAAACGTTAATAAGATGAAGCAGAGAAGGGACAAGAAGGAATGCAATCCGAATCTTGTTGTCATCGGTGGGAGCGAGCTTTTGTTTTTTCCTCTGTAAAATTAACATTTCCGGCTTCTCTTTATTCTGATCAAAAGAATTGATCAGGGCGTCGTGTCTCACCGGAAAGTTCTGCGGAAGTGACAGTGCCGCGTAAAGGAATCATACAAGTTAGAGAGGAAGAAGACTTAGTGTTGACCAAATTGTGGAAGAAGTTGGGCTACTGGGGGCCTAGGCCTGGGCCCAAAGGTGGTCAGTAAGCGGAGAAGTGGACGACTTTTCGTGGGCTGGCTACATTCGCCCCAAGGGGAAGACACTAGAAACTTCCTCGACCGTGTGGAATAAAGAGTGGCAGAGCCGTCCCATGATCTTTGGAGGCCTTGTTCGAAAATTTAACATGTGGCCCCTAATTTTTTTCTCAATAAATTTATTAAATAATTATAAAGTACATAAGTTCAGAAAATGATTTCAAAATGAATAAACAATCTCACTTCCTGTTTGACCAAGAAACCAAGACTAAATTCTCACTCCTAGCAAGGAGGGAGAAAGGTAAATCTGGAGGGAACAGAAAATGGATATAGAGCAAAAATTGAATGGAGAAATGAAAATAATATAAATTGATCGAGAGGTGGGTGCGGGTCTATCTAATGGATCGTGTAGGCCCTATTCCAAAATTGAGACATGATCCAAATTGACTTTTAACTATAATAAAACTAAAATGATTATAATACCATTATTTAAAATATAATATCTTTCTTTATTGTTTAAATTAAAATTATCTATTATCTCTCTGATTTTCGTATTCTCCATGAGATCTTTTTCAATTGTTATTATAGCTAAAATTATCTATTAAATTCGTCATCATATTCATAATCTATCAATCATACACTAAAAAAACAACCTGCAATATTCGATCGATAACTAACGAATTTAAGTGGAGGCCCCTAATATTCAGAGGCCCTGTGCCGGAGGGCGGGCCAGCACACCCTCTTGGCCGGCCCTGAAGAGTGGTATTCATTCGTGAATAATAGTTTTTATATATTTATAATAATATATTTATTTATTAATTATATGATTTGTAAACTTTTAAGAATAATGACAAAATTATATTCTTTATTTCTTGATAGCTTCAGAAAAAGTGAAAGAGGCTTGGCAATGCTGCATTCCGAATTTGAGTAAATGGGGTTCTATACATTTTTTCCAATACAAATTGAATTATAAAGTTATTCATCAAATCATTGTTTATTCGGTTGTATAACTAATTTAGACTTCTGTTAAAGGGTTTATCTAATAAACCAAAAATGGTATCCTACTATTCATTATAAAAAATGTTATCCTACCCATATTTACTAAAAAAAACATTTTGTTGACTTAAAAAAATTATCTGCTTTCATTATCAAGGAGATAATTGAATTTTGTAGTTTGTGAGGTCTTCAAGTTTTATCCTACCCATATTTACTAAACTCATCCGCATATGCATTCTCATTTTTATTTGACCAAGTGGATCCTGGAACTCCAGAACTTAAGAAAAAAAGATTCACCATACAAAAATTGTTTTAGCATGCAACATTCTATGGTGAAACTTTTATGGTAACTCCATATTAGAAGAGTGCTACACCCAACAGCAAATAACTGTAATGATTTATTGATAGAATAACTGCCTAAGCAACAGCCTACTAGTTAATTCATGAAACTTATCATTTATTTCACTTATACATATTAATTAATTAATATGTATAATCTAAATTATATGTAATTTTGTTTAAATTATTTGAGATTTTATATAATATTTTTAGCTATAATAAAGTTGCAAATAGGTAAAAACCTCAATTTTGTGAATATTAATATAACTACAATTATAGTGTCATAGTTTGCTTCTCGATTTTTTTACTGAAGAAAATAATTATTGTTTCTTGTATTTTGCATTCAAAGTACATACCATCTATATAGACCTGCACCGACCCGTGCCCATACAAAATATCCGACCTGCCATGAGACGGATATGAACATCGAGATATCCGCTCTAACTTGCCCCATTATGATTCCTATATATAACAAACTAACAAAACCTTAAACTAAATCTAATTACACATTTACAATTATGACGTAAAAGATTCCCCTATTTTATTTATTTTCTTCTTGATAGTGTTATAACAAAACTGGATATTATATATAAGGAGTTGGTCGTGAACAAGTCACAAAATCTCACTTTTCTGAGAGGAGAGAGTCTTGAAGGTGATTGTTGTAAAGACCGGTCAACGAAATCAGGCGCATGCGAATCGTTCCACCAACAATGGCGATGAAGGGTCGTCGATCGGTTCCAGAAGTTACAGATATGGCCATCGATCGACAATTTCGAAGCTAGAGATCCAAGCTCACGCCCTTCCATCCACACATTTCTGGACGACAATTCTCCTTTTCCAAGTAATGACAAGGGGAAAAGAACGTAGTTTAGAACCTCTATTCAAAACTCACTCAGAGCAATACCTAGTGAAGCTAATCTACAAAAGATCGAAGGATCGTAAATTCTAAAGAGGACAGCCGTAGAGCTTTTTACGTGCCACTTCATAGACAACCTAGTTGGCAGTTCGTGGAACAGACCTAAAAACTATACAATGAGAATTAGAGATTGGAGATTCAACAAAATATATGTCTCTTATTAACCATTGTGTTCATGTTATTGTTATGTTACGTTTAATATATATTTGTGTCGACAGTAGTGATAATTTACCTCACCACTATTAAAGTCATATATTTGGTTGGGTTTTGTCACCAAAGGATATCATCACCAATCTATTAGTTTTACTACAATCACAAATATTATCAATATGTTGCAAAAAAAAGTTGGTAAAAAAGGGCTACGAAAATGGCACCATAACCGAACTTATAATAATGTAACTGATTAATAAAATTCTGTCACCAATACTTTCATAGCTCTAAGAATAACTTTGGTGTTATAGGTTTTTGCCTTTATAGTACAACTTGAAATTGTACTTTTAACGTTATGGTACAACTTCAGATTGTACCTATACTTTTGTACAAATTCTTTTATGATATAACTTAAACGTGTACCTTATGTGATGGTACAACTTCAAGTTGTAAAATTGTATCATAACATAATGATACAAATTCATAAAAAAAAACATAATGATACAAATTCCTTTATGGTACAACTTAAACTTATACATTTAATTTTATGGTACAACTTCAAGTTGTACATTAAAGCACCAATGGTAAATAGCATAGTAGAAGTGCTCTCTTATTAACCATTGTGTCCATGTTATTGTTATGTTACGTTTAATATATATTTGTGTCGATAATGTGATAATTTACCTCACCACTATTAAAGTAATATATACGGTTAGGTTTTGTCACCAAAGGATATCACCACCAATCTATTAGTTTTACTACAATCACAAATATTATCGATATGTTGCAAAAAAAGTTGGTAAAAAAGGGATTCGATTGTAAATGGCACCATAACCGAACTTATAATGATGTAACTGATTAATAAAATTTTGTTAGGACTGGAAATCAAAGAAGCGACTCATAGTCGGATACAATGAATAGTTCTAAGAATAGCTTTTTCACAAAAATATAATTTGTAATAAAACTATTGAGGTATAGGTGACTCATTCACAAATTAAACGAGTAACATTTGAAATACATTTGGGAATGATACAAAAGAGTCACAAGTGATACTATTTGTTACAATCGGAAGTTATCATGACTGAGTATATATATATATATCTCATATGACTATTAAATTTCTCATGATTAAAGCATGTATTTGTTGGTTATAGTTATACTCGTCAAAAAGTGTTGCATAATTTTTGAAGGTGCTGCTTAAAATGAAGTTGCATATGAGCACTTTTCCTCTTTACAAAAAATTTAAATAAATGTTATATGTTACTTAAGGTAACACCAATTTTAAATGACACTATTAAAAGTGTTACATATTGGATATACAACACTATCAAAACTTCTTACAACATATTTCACTTGTTGGTAAACTCCAATTTTCTCGTAATGCTATATGAGAAATTGGAAAGCACAATATCTTTAACATTGTACAACTTGTTATGCCCATATAAGTAATATTCTCCATTGTTTTTTTTACCATATATATATCTCTCTCTCTATAAACAACAGTCTACGTCAAGAATCTTTCTAAAGTATCCAATCTTACATTCTACTCCAACCCTTCTCAAAGTTTGAACGAAAAGAATGTACGTACACGTACGTTGCTCTTGAACTACCTGGGCTCCATTACAGTCATCGAGACTTGATTAACAGAGCAAGAATCATTGATATTCTTCGAGGAAGAAGAATCGGCCTCCGGCGGATTCCGTCTGAGGTAGAATCCAGGCAACTTGGGCTGCGGCAGAGGATTCTCGCTGCCCAACATCAGCACCGCCGCCGACATGTTGGGCCTGTCTTCGGGCCTCTGTTGCACGCACAGCAACGCCACGTGGATGCATCTCAACACTTCTGATTGGTTGCAACTCTCGTTCAACGAATCGTCTATCAATCCCAGGGCCGCTCCTTCGTTCCACAACGTCCATGCCTGAACATGAACAAGATTATCACCAAGTTGATTGTGATGTTCATGTTCTAATAAGAGATTATGAGGATATTAATTAGTTGTAGCCATGCAAGTGAAAAGAACTTACGTGGCCGACGAGATTGAGGTCGTGGTCAGCGTGATAGAACCCTCGGTTTCTCCTGCCGCTCATTATCTCGAGAACCAGCACTCCGAAACTGAACACGTCCGATTTCACCGAGAAGAGACCATCCACCGCATACTCCGGAGACATATAGCCGCTGAAAGAAAAAAGAAATACGGATTTATAGGAGCTCAAACCCATATGTGTGAAATTGAAGTGGTTTAGATGCAATATTGTATGATACTTACAACGTGCCCACGACTTTATTTGTTTCGCCCTCCGTTTGATCTCCTCCAAAAGTCCTCGCGAGGCCAAAGTCGGAAATTTTAGGTCTCAACTCCTTGTCGAGCAATATGTTGCTGGCTTTCAGGTCTCGGTGGATGATCCTCAACCTGGAGTCCTGGTGAAGGTAAAGCAGGCCTCGAGCAATCCCGTCAATGATTGTCGTTCTTCTTTGCCAGTTCAGTAGTTTTCTCTGAGTCTCATCTGATAATCAGAAGTACAAAACTGTTAACACGTCTATACTACAAATTAATATACAATTAGTGAAATTTTGTAAAAAAAAAATGGTTGGGCTTCTCACTAAAAATGAAGAAGTCGAGGCTCTTGTTAGGCATGTATTCGTAGATCAACATCTTTTCGTCATCGTTAATGCAACAACCCAACAACCGAACAAGATTCCGGTGCTGGAGTTTTGAGAACAAAATGACCTCGTTCTTGAACTCATTGAGCCCTTGTCCCGAGCTCTTTGAGAGCCTCTTCACCGCTATTTCTTGTCCTTCGGAGAGTTTTCCCTGGAGAACGTGAATGTCATGTCAAAGTCCGAAGAGTTTTTAAAATATCAGAAATATTTCTTTCGTAACGAATATATATTTACCATGTAGACGGGCCCAAATCCACCTTCTCCAAGCTTATTCCCTATGGCAAAGTCATTTGTTGCCTCCACTATTGTGCTCAAATCAAATGTCGGTAGATCCAACTCTTCATTACGCTCCTTCTGGGATTTTATCCTTGGCAATGGAGTATTTATTGTTTTTAGTGTTTCTACACAAATAGGAATGGGTCAAAGTAACAGAAAATCAGTTGGGATATTCTTAAAAAATAAAAAATAAAAGAAAAATAAATTAATTAATTTGGACGAATTGAAGTAAATTAGAAATGGAATCGCTGAGGGAAAATTCGTTCACCATGGGAGTTACCTTTTTGCTTGAGTTTCCTTTTTCTAGCATAAAGCAGAATCCCTAAAATCACTAGCAACGCCATTGATGACGAAATCACTGAGGCGATCACGATTATCGTTTTCCTTCGTCTATTGGGCCTCCCCTGCTCCGGAACCACCTCTGAAACAAAATTTACAAAAAAAATAATTAATTTAGGTTATGAATATTTGAGAGATACTTCCTAGTTCACATTTTCCACTTGTTTTTACTGAGTTTGAAATAACACATGCAATTTTTTACCTCGTATTTCTGACCCGGCCATCCTGACGTACAAATCCTGCCCACCATCCGCCAGTTCTCTAATATCAATCAAATCATCGAACCACATCAAACACCCGCTCTCGCCATTACTTATGTCCAAGCTAGAATACCCTGTGCAAGAACAGTTCCCCAAGCACAACATCCGACATTCCGCCAGCCCAATCGTCCGATTCCATCGCGTCACGGCGGTATTCGGCAGCTTGACCCTTGAATGCATGATGAATCCATCGCTCGAGTTACAAGCCAGCGGAGTCCTCCTGACGCACCCTTCTTCCCAGTCCGACCGGCCCCAATCGCCCGGGTTCCTCGGGCTGAACCCGGTCAGACACTGACAGGCCGGGGCCCGGTACGTGTAACAGTTCGCGTAGGTCCCACACAACCCGTAGTTCTCGCACCGGTCCCCCTGGCCCGTGGCTATCACTATCCACACCCCCGTCCGACTGCTCCACGTCAGCAGCTGGAGCAGCCCGGCAGGGGAAATCGCGTACCTGGACACGACCGTGTTGTTGGGCACCCCGAACCTGAAGAAGACCTCCCGTCCCTCCTCGTACCGGTACTCGAACGAAAAAGTCGGACTGGGGTTCAGGGCCGGAACCCCGGTGAAACGGAGGCCGTTCCACGATCCAGCGCGAAACTGAATCGCGGCGCCCCTCCGTACCAACAGCTGAGGGTAACCCTCCGTCTCGATGAGGACGGAGAAGTCGCCCTCCGCGGGGTCCTCCCCGCTCCTCCACGACCTCATCTTCCGGTTCAGACCGGACGTCAGGTTCCTCCCGAGCTTCATCCCCGGGAGGAGCGTGTTGGTGAGGTAATCGAAGCTCTGCCACAGGAAGTTATCCGGGTTCTCCTCGGCTGCCTCTCTGACAACCAGGTTGCCGGATTCGAGAAGCTGGGCGACGACGGGGTTGTTCCCCGGCCGTCTGGTCACGTTGGAGGACCAGACGGCGAGGTTGTTATTCCTGCCGCCGTCGGAGAGGGCGAGGATTCCTTCCCTGGTGAGGTTGAGGAATCCTCTGGTGTCGGAAATCGGGGCTCCTCTGTTGGCGACCCATACGATCGTTTGAGTCGGTACTCTGGCGCCGTACCAAATCCCCAAATACCGGCTGCTGGAATTTTCCGGCCGGAAGAAGCCCAGCCGGAAGCTGCCGCCGGATGAGACAAGGGACTCGCCGTCGGTTAGTGATTGGCCGATCGTGAGAGTGTCCTGTTGTTGTGCGCTAATGGAAGATGTTAATAAAATGAAGCAGAAAAGGGACAAGAAGGGATGAAAGCCGAATCTTGTTGTCATCGGTGGAAGCTTTTTTTTCTATAAAATAAGATTTTGGGCTTCTCTTTTATTCTAATCAAAAGAATTGATCAGCAGGCGTCGTGTTACGGCGGGAAGTTCTGTGGAAGCGGGAATTGCCGCGTTAAAGAATGGTAATGAGACAGAGGGAAGGAAGACTTACGGCATCTATTGTTGACCAAAATGTGGAGAGGGAGTTGGGCTTACCGGAGGGCCCGGGCCGGGCCCAAAGGTCGTCAGTCAGCGAAGAAACGGACGACTTTTGTGGGCTGGGTGGCCCACATTCGTGATTCGCCCGAAGGGAAAGGGCACTACACACTTCGATGACCGCGTGGAATAAGGAGTTGGTGAATGATGTGATCATTTTTTTTTATAGAAATTATGTGATAATTAGTAGGGGTGTTCAAATGGTTACCTTGGTAATAACCAAACCAATTAAGCCTAAATTTCATTAACCATGGAATAAAATGTTTTAACCAAACCGTCCAAATTAACACGAAAATCAAACTAATCAAACCAAAGTTTAATTGGTTTGGTTAATCGGATTAACCAAATAATTACATACCAATACCATTGTGAATAGTTGGCTTACAACAAACCCCTTAACATAAATACATTACCAATACCCATCATCAGGAAATTAAACCTCATACAAACACTTAAACTATACATAGTTTGAGGTGGCTGCCATGGTATTGTACGTAATACTAAAGTCTAGTAGTTGTCCAATATGTTTTGGTTTAGTAAATTGGCAGGCTCATTAAATTTTTGACCCATAATGTTTTGGTTTGTTGTGCACATGGACATAAAATAGGGAATCACGAAAGTTTGGTTTATTTGGTTGCATGGAAGTATAAATAATTTTGTATATTAGGTGCATCATCAATTGGTTAATTGGTTTCATTGGTTAACAGTGTTGAAACCAAACCAAACCACCTAAACCAAATAAGCTAAATTATTTAACCAAAACAAACAAATTATCCAAATTAATCAAACCAAATTAACCGAATTCTACCGGTTAATATGGTTACCAAGGTAACCAACCCGTTTGAACACCCCTAATAATTAGGGTTGACTGATATAGGTTATTTTTGGATAGATTGGTAAATTTTAAGAAGAATGAGAAAATCGTCCTTAATTTTTGGGTTGCTCCGGCAAAATTGAGAGAGGATTGGCAATTTGGGGTATAGTCCGAATGTTAAATGAGGTTTCGTCTACGAATAAATTTGACAACGTTACATTCATTTGAAAGTATATTTATTTCAAATATATATTGAATTACATTGCGACTCACCAAATTATTGGTTGTTTGATTGTGCAATTTATTCAGACCTATGTTAAAAGCTAACAAAAGACCCAGGCCAATTGTAAAAAAAAAAAACAAAAAAAAAGCTGTCTACCTAAATTGTCATGTAATTCCTTATTGAAGACTCCTCTTTCGATAGTTAAAATAAGTGACACTTTCACCAGGAAAAGATTATTAAGTCCGAATTAGAAAGAACACCAAAACCCAACAGCAAAGTGTTTATAGATTTGTAAATAGAATAACCACCTAACCAACAGCCTACTAATTAATGAAACTTTGGTCATTTATGTTTCACTAAGCTTCTGAGGGGAGTCTTGAAGAAGGTGATTAATTGTTCAATGATGAGCAGAAGTTACGGTTGAAAGACTAGTCTGGTCAATGAAATCAGCTGGAGCATAGGAATTCCACCAAGAATGGCGGTGAAGGGTCTTCGATCACCACAATTTCTAATCTAACAATTTGGCCGTCGATCGACACAAAATACTTTTTTCAGCGAGAGGAATAGAATCATCGTCATCATCCAGTGCCGTCATTTTCAGATAACAAGTTGTATCAAAACTAATAATCAAAGGGGCCGTCCGATAAATTCAAAGTTCAAACCACACACGCGGAAAGAAAGGTAAAATTGCATGCCGACAGCTGCATGCATGGTTTCATTTGTGATGGTAAAAGGGGGCGTCGTCGATCGATCCACGCTCATGCCCTTCCATCCGTACATTTCTGAACGACAATTTTCACTGCGTGCAACAGGTTGGGTAGAGAGATCATTTGCATCAATGGAATTCTATCAAAATTTATGTGAAATCTTGTGGCGGTTTGTTGTAAGCGGTGTAAACCGAGCTATTATTGTGTAACTACACGAATTTTGAGTTTTGTATTGTTTGACTTTAATTTTATTATGTTTAGAATTCACTTTTATATTATGCAATTGATTAATTTTTTTTTTATGTTATTGCTAATAAGATTAGGGGGTGAAAGCTTGACCCGGAAGACCCACTGACCCGTCCCGACCCGTCTCGTTTCTAAGGGTCGGGACGGGTCAGTTTGTCTACATGGACAGATTAGGGACGGGTCATTTGTTAACCCTGTAAGGATCGTGACGGGTAGAGACAACTTAGGGACGGATCACGTTTTGACCCTGTGACCCTTAACAACAACAAATATCTCACACCACATTGGACCTTTTTGTAAAGTTTTAAAAGTTTAGATACTAACTTGTAAAAATAAAAATAAAAATTGGGTATCAAAATGTAATTTTACCGTCAAAATTTATGGACTTATTTGAAAAAAAAAATAGGTATTAAATTATAAGAGAAAATAATTTTGGGTACCAAAATATAATTTGTAAAAAAATAGTGTATTGATTAGGGTCGACCAATTGACCCAGTCCGTCCCAAGCCTTGATGGTCAGACAGGGTCAAGAATAAAACAGGGACGGGACGTGTCAGTTATACATCTTGACCTTTCAGAGACGGATCAAACAGGGTTAGGGACACCTGGGACATGCAAATTTTCAGCTCTAAATAAGATGTTCCATTTTGCATCTTGATTTGTGGATTCATGGCTATGTTATTACTTGCTCTACTCATTTGTTGCAGAAAACAGAGGGGTTACACAGACTCCGCACAAGAACACAATAAAATCACCACCTCATGGTCTTTTATCTCCTTCTGTTTTTTCATCATCTTCACCAACTAGCGGGGAATGAACTCCGTCACCGTGATTTCACCTATGGAACGTGATTTATTGTACGAAGAAGAAGAGTCTGTCTCAGGCACTTTTCTCTCGGCGAAGAACCCAGGCGGCTTTGGATCCGGCAGCAAGCTGTCTCCTCCCAGCATCAGCACCACCGTCGACATGTTTGGACGATCTTCAGGTTCCTGTTGAACGCACAACAAACCCACATGAATGTGTCGTTTTATCAGCGCCGCAAGCCTTGAATCAGACACCACTATCTGCCTTTGTTCCTCTTTCACCAGCTCCAGTGGCTTCTCTTCCATCCACAGCTTCCACACCTGAAAAAGAACAACAAAACCAATGAAACGGTTTCACTTTCCTTTTTTTTCCCCCTGAAAGATGCATTTTGGATCACGATTGTTGCTTGATATGTTGCTTACATGTCCAAGAAGGTTGAGGCCATGATCACTAGTGAAAAATCCCCTGTTTTTCCTCCCACTCAGCACTTCTAGGACCAGAACTCCGAAGCTGAAGATGTCCGATTTCATCGAGAACAATCCGTCTATTGCGTATTCTGGAGCCATGTATCCACTAAAACCACAACAGACTCTCTGAAGCTTTAGGAGATGACATGGAATGCTGTTAAGCAAGAAAGAGGAGGGGGGGGGGGGGGGGGGGGGGGGGGGGGGAAACAGAGCATCTCATCAAGAAAATGAAACTTACAATGTTCCGACGACTCGGCTCGTGCAAGCCTCGGTTTGATCCCCTCCAAACATTCTAGCCATCCCAAAGTCGGAGATTTTCGGGTTCATATCAATGTCGAGTAGAACGTTGCTGGTTTTTAGATCTCGGTGGATTATTCTTAGCCTGGAATCCTGATGCAGATACAGAAGCCCTCTGGAAATCCCTTCGATAATGTCGATTCGTCTCTGCCAATCCAGAAGCTTGCTTCTTGATTCATCTGTTTTTTTTTTAATTGGGAAACCAATTCAGTACTTGTTCATTCTCAAATGGAAGTGGGAAACTAGTGATCATTAGAAAATATAGTTGCATACCAAAAATGAAGTGATCCAAACTCTTATTCGGCATGTATTCGTAGACCAACATCCTTTCATCCCCTTCAATACAACAACCTAATAGCCTTACAAGATTCCGGTGCTGAAGCTTGGAGATCAACACAACCTCGTTCTTGAACTCTTCCAACCCTTGTCCAGAACTCGTCGCCAACCTCTTCACCGCTATCACTTGCCCGTCACACAATGTTCCCTGCTCATTTTAATCCATAGAGATATTCATTCAGTCACTTGTCTCAGCTGTCTCAAAATACAGCTAGCTAGTCACATGTTTGACCAGGGAAGTCATAAACAATTCATTCATCCAAAAAGAGTTTTATTCTACTTACTTTAATTTGCACATTTTTTGGTTGAAAATGTGCCATTATGAAATGTACAGGATGTATCATTAATGAACATGTGCTAATTAAATTGGTTTGCAAATTGCAACTCTAATTAAAAATGTTTAAATCCTTCTTAACATTATAAAATAGCTTGTGAAAAGATTTGCTATAACTTAAAAGAAATGTTTACCTTATAAACAGGTCCAAATCCACCTTCTCCAAGCTTGTAGTCGTCAGAGAAGTTATTTGTTGCGCTCGTAATCGTGGTAAAATCGAACATTGGCAACTCCAGATCATCATTGTTGGAACCCTTTCTGGCTCGATATTTCTTTTTACCTATAGAAACCCAGGAACGAATCGAAATAAGAAATAAAAACCATTCTTCCAACTGGTGACAAGAAATCCAAAAGCAAAACCGACCTTGATATCTTTGTTTGATTTTTCCGAGACACAGTCTCCATCCCAGCACGATTACAGTCACCACCACCGCTACTAACGATATCAACACTGCGATCCTCATCCCCACAACCTTCCTCTTTTTCTTCTTGATAGAGGCTAACAAAACAAATTAGACAATAACACATTCGAATTACTAAGAAGCCAACACAGAAAAAAACATTCAATAGTAGGCAAAAAAAAGTTGACCTAAATATGAAGCATCCACCCTGACATAGAGATCTTGCCCATTATCCGGATACGCTCTCAAATCAACCAAACCACCAAACCAAAGCAAGCACCCGCTCCCTCCACGAGTAACATCCAGACTACTGTAAGCCGTGCAAGAACAGTTCGTCAGGCACCGCTGCCTACACTCCTTGAGGCTCAAATTCCGGTCGAACCACGAGCCCGAAGTATCGGGCAACTTCACCTTCTGAAGCCGAACGAACCCTTCCCCTTTCCTGCAACGCCCCAGCGGACCCTTCGTGGTGCACCCACCGGACCAGTCCCGAACGGCCCAATCGGCGGGCGACCCGGGTCTGAACCCATCCAGACAATTACAGTAGTTCGTACCATCGATGTCGCACATAGCAGTCGGACCGCACTTGGCGAATATGTCGCACTGGTCGGCCCCCATCAGAAAATAAGTAACCCAACCGCGCCTGTCATCCTTCCAGTTGAACCTCCCCGTCGCTCCAGAGGCAGTGACCGTGTATCTCGACAAGAGCGACTCGTTGATCAGCTCAAACGCGAAGTAAACCTCCCTCTCGTTGAACACGAACCAGTAATCGTAAACCGAGTTGGACTGCTGCTTGGGCGAACCGGTCCACCGGTTCCCGTTCCAGGGCCCTGCCCTGTATATGGTGTTGTTCCCCTGTTTCAGGACCAACTGCGGGTAGCCACGTGGATCGATCCCGAGGCTGAATTCTCCTCTCGCCGGATCGTTGGGGGATTTCCACGACGTCAGCGACCAGTCCATTCCGGTCGCCAGATTTCTTCCGAGCTTCATCCCCGGCAGGGTCGTGTCCGTCGGGTAATCGAAGCTCTGCCATAAGTAATCGACATTGGAAGTTTTCAAATTTCCATCTCTGACCACGAAATTTCCAGAATCCAAGAGCAGAGCAGTGGGATTCTTTGGTGGTTTAGTCAAATTGGCCGACGACCAAACGATTCCGCCGTTGACTCCGTCTCGGAGGTGAAGAACGCCCTGGCTAGTAAAATTGAGGACGCCGGAGTGATCGAGGAGAGGGGTTTCTCTGTTTGCTACCCAGACGACGGTACCGGTGGCGTATTTTTTGTACCAGATGCCCAAATAGCGGTTGGTTGAAGTTCCGGGGCTGAAGAATCCGAGCTCGAACGACCGCCCGGTCGAGATGATGGTTTCTCCGTCTTTGATGGACTGACCTGGGACAATGGTGTCAAGAATTGATGCAGTTGTTGAGACGATGGAAAAACAGAGCATTAGTGACGACGCCAATAGTACTGTTAGTTCCATTTTAGTTCGGATTGATTGGGATTTGGGAGAAGCGGAAGTGGGTAAGAAGGATTATAGTGAGTGAGAGATCTATGCTGTTGCTGTGATGAGACAAAGCTGTGCGAGAAACGAGGAAGGGGTCGAGTGTCTAGAACCAGAATCCTCGGACTAGATTTTCGTGGGAATTTGGGCCTGCTGAGTTGGCAGTGACAGCTGTCATTGTCTGGTTTAACCACCGTTCAAGTGCTTCTTGGTTTAACCACGGTAATTTTTGGCAGAGTTATTTTCCCATTTTTGTTGTTGTTGTTGTTGTTGCAGGAGATGCAATGCACATTACACTGGTTTCCAGAAGAGTTCCTTTACAATGGGAACTTGGAAGTCTAAACTAGAGTGAGATTCTCGAACTTCTTTCACCGCCCATGAGTAAATTTTGTTAAATGTAATGAAGTAGACGTTAGTAAATGTAAAATATATAATCCAACATCTCTCAATCAACAACTTGAGTCATCAGGATGAATTGGTTCATGACATGATATCAGATATTTCGTGATTGAGTGGTCTTTTCTTCGAATCCCGGTAATCCCTCTTTTGTTAATCACATGGTATTCGCCTATTCGAACCGTGTAAATTTGATTATCATATTAATTGGTTTTTGTTACAGAAGAGTTTTAGTAAATGATATATATATGAATCTCTCTAACTCATAACTCTATAGTGCACTCTCTCTCTCTCTTCTCTAGCGCGGGATGTAATCCGTCACGGTGATTTCACCGATGGAACGCGATTTATAGTATGAATAGGAAGAGGAAGAGTCGGTCTCCGGCACTTTTCTCTCGGCAAAGAACCCCGGCGGCTTTGGCTCCGGCAGCTTGCCGTCTCCTCCCAACATCAGCACCACCGTCGACATGTTGGGACGATCGTCAGGTTCCTGTTGCACGCACAACAAACCCACATGAATGTGCCTCTTAATCAGCGCCACAAGCCTCGAATCAGCCGCCACCAGCTGCCTTTGATCTTCTTTCACTAGTTCCAGTGCCTTCTCTTCCATCCACAGCTTCCATACCTGAAAAAAAAAACAACAAAAACCAACAAATCATTCTCAATTTTCCCTTTCAAAGATTCGGTTATGAGTTATGGCAACTGTAAAATTGAACTCTATACTTACATGTCCAAGAAGGTTGAGGCCATGATCACTCGTGAAAAATCCCCTGTTTTTCCTCCCACTCAACACTTCTAGGACCAGAACTCCGAAGCTGAAAATGTCTGATTTCATCGAAAACAGCCCGTCTATGGCGTATTCTGGAGCCATGTATCCACTAAAACCACAACGGACACTCTGAGATGGCATATAATAATAGCGGGTAAAAAAACATAGTATCTTAAAAAAAAAGGTTTAATACACTTGTATATCCAAAACTTTCACGGTTGTGCCAATAATATCCAAATTTCCCGGAATACCACTTATATCCATGTTTTAAAGTTGTTCTTTGCCAAATCTATCCATTTCCCAATATATTTTTGGTTAAATACACCTGTATATCCAAAAACACTGTTAAAGAATGTGAAGGAATTGAATATAAGTGGTATTTCGAGAAATTTGGATATTATTGACACAACCGTGAAAGTTTTGGATATACAAGTGTATTTAACCTTAAAAAAATACTTACAATGTTCCCATGACTCGGTTTGTACTAGCCTCGGTTTGGTCCCCTCCAAACATTCTAGCCATCCCAAAGTCAGAGATTTTCGGATTCAGATCAATGTCGAGCAAAACATTACTGACTTTTAGATCTCTGTGAATTATCCTTAGCCTCGAATCCTGATGCAAGTACAAAAGCCCTCTTGCAATTCCCTCGATTACGTGGATTCTTCTTTGCCAATCCAAGACTTTGCTTCTTGATTCATCTATTTTTTGTTATGCAAAGTAAAACTAAGTTATTGTTCATTCCCAGATTAAGAAAAAGGGAAGTGATATTGGGAAACTAGTGATCACCCGAGAGGACAGAGCTGCATACCGAAAATGAAGTAATCCAAACTCTTGTTGGGCATGTATTCATATATCAACATTCTTTCAGCTCCTTCAATACAACAACCGAGTAGTCGTACGAGATTTCGATGCTGAAGCTTGGAGATCAGCACAACCTCGTTCTTGAACTCTTCCAACCCTTGTCCAGAGCTCATGGATAACCGCTTCACTGCTATCACTTGCCCATCACATAGTGTTCCCTGCTCATTTTACCAAAATTTTCTTGCTCATATATGCTATTTTTTTTACACACGAATAAATCGATATATACGATTGAGGAATGTTTAAAATGTGACATTATGAAATGTACATAATTTTATCAAATTCGTAACTTATGTATGATATGAAAATTTGGCTAAAAGAGATAATTACCCTGTAAACAGGCCCGAATCCACCTTCTCCGAGCTTATAATCATCTGAAAAGCCGTCGGTGGCATTCCTGATCATAGTAAAATCGAATATTGGCAACTCCAAATCGTCATTGTCATAGTTCTTTGCTCTCTTTTTCCCTACAAATTGTTGGAGACAAATTGGTAAAAAAAAAACCTACAACGAAAATGTATTTAACGCGAGATATTGACAATCTTCATTGATACTCAAACTCTTTCGTGGTCTGTGAGTTTGAGCCTTTAAAAATGACTATCAAAAATCCAAATGCAATCCACCTTGATATCTCTGTTTCATTTTCCTAACACACAATCTCCATCCCAACACGATTGCTGTCACCACCACTGCTATTGAACATATCAACATGGCAATCCTCATCCCTCCAGCCTTCCTTTTCTTCTTCTTCATGAACCCTAACAACATGAGCAAGCCACAACACTACCCAATTACTAAGAGCCAACACAAAAAAAAAAAAACATTCAACATTAGGCAAAAACAAGTTTACCTAAATACGAAGCAGCCACCTTCACATAGAGATCCTGCCCTGTGTCAGGAAACGACCTCAAATCAACCAACCCACCGAACCACAGCAAGCACCCACTCCCTCCCCGCGTAATATCCAGGCTCGTGTAAGCCGTGCAGGAACAGTTCTTCAAACACTTCTGCTTACAATCCCTCAAACTCATATTCCGGTCGAACCACGACCCCGAAGTGTCGGGAAGCTTCACCCTCTGAACCCGAACGAACCCTTCCCCTTTCTTGCAATACCCCAACGGAGCCGTCGTGGTGCACCCACCGGACCAGTCCCGGGTGCTCCAATCCCCGGGCGAACCGGGTTTGAACCCATCCAAACAGTTACAATAATTCGTCCCGTCCATGTCACACTTAGCACTTGGACCACACTTGGCGAATATGTCGCACTGGTCCGCCCCCATGAGATAGTAAATCACCCACCCGTGCTTGTCGTCCTTCCAATTGAACCTCCCCGTCGCTCCAGTCGGATTGACCACCATCCTCGACAGCAGCGAGTCGTTGAGCAGGTCGAACGAGAACGCAACCTCCTTGTCGTCGAACACGAACCGGTAATCGTAAACCGGGTTCGGCTGCTGCCTGGGCGAACCGGTCCACCGTACCCCGTTCCATGACCCTCCCCTGTATATTGTCGTGTTCCCCTGTTTCAGGACCAATTGCGGGTAGCCACGTGGATCGATCCCGAGGCTGAACTCCCCTCTCGCCGGATTGTTTGGGGATTTCCACGACGTGATCGTCCAGTCCCTTCCGGTCACCAGATTTCTCCCGAGTTTCATCCCCGGCAAGGTCGTATCCGTCGGGTAATCGAAGCTCTGCCACAGGTAATCACCATCATTGGAAATTTTCGAATTTCCATCTCTGACCACGAAATTTCCTGAATCCAAGAGCTGGGCGGTTGGATTCTTTGGTGGTTTAGTCAAATTGGCCGACGACCAAACGACGTCGCTTTTGCCGCCGTCGCGGAGAAGGAGGAGAACCCCCTGGCGAGTGAAATTGAGGACTCCAGAGCGGTCGAGGATTGGGGTTTCTCTGTTTGCGACCCAGACAACGGTGCCGGCGGCGTATTTTTTGTACCAGATGCCCAAATAGCGGGTGCTTGAAGTTCCGGGGCTGAAGAATCCGAGCTCGAAACTCCGGCCGGTGGAGATGATGGTTTCTCCGTCTCTGATGGACTGGCCTGGCGCAATGGTGTCGAGAAGCGACGTGGTTGAGACGACGGAAAAACAGAGCATTAGCGACGACGTCAACACTAATGTTAGTGAATCCATTGACGCTAGCTGCCAAAAGGAGTGTGGAAACAGAGAGAGAGAGAGATAGAGGTTCGATTGAATGGTAGAACGTAGAAGAGTGAGAAGGATATGGTGAGAGATCGATAGACATAGCTGCGCAAGAAACGAGGAAGGTGTACTGGCAATGACACGTGTCGTTACATGGTTTGAGTTTTTTCCGCTTCGCCATTTTTATGGGTTGCATTTGTTTAGTGTCGCTGGCTGGACTGACAACTAGGAAGTCAGTCAGGTGCAACTGTGCAAGTGATGGTTGTGATCCAGATTTCTGCGCATCTCTCAGTTTCCTGGATTTCTTTTATAATTCTTGCGAGATTTGTGGAGCTTTGGTCAACTACAATCACCTCGTTCGATGTTCAAGTATGTCTGGGGTTATTTTTTGTTGGTTGGTGCAAAGAGATGCAATGTACCTTAAACTTATTTTATTTCCAAAAGTTCTTTCACGTTGGAACTTGGGAGTGTAAAATTATGTGTGGGATTCTCGAAATTATTTAACCGCTAACCGCACACCCATTATTATTATTTTCTTAAAAAAAAAAAAAAAAGAAGTAGAGATTTTACTCTGATGATTTGTATGGACTTAAGTAGGGTTGACCCTATGATCCAGCTTGTATGGGACAGGGTGCTAATGTGTTTTGTTAATTAATGGCTTATTTAATTTTATGTATATTTGTGTTTCAAATTGTTTAAAATCAGCCCGTAATAGCCAGAGAATTGCAAATGTGCAGAAATAAAAACTCAACACGAGGTCGCCGTCCAACATCTATTATGCAAAAACTACGTGGAGATGAAAAAACTCAACTTGATGAGGATGGAGAGAGTATGAATTTAGAAAGTTCAAAATGATGATCATAGAGATGATGATGTATTTAGAGCAACTCGTCCCACTGTACGTCAACCATGAGTCTGTTAGTGTTGTGGTATATGATCCACGATTGTACCTCTCCCAACAACTCGAGTTATTGGGATCAACTAGTTCTTGACATGGTATCAGAGCCTTCTGTGACTGAAAGGGTCTTGTGTTCGATTCCCGGTGACCCCCATTTGTTGAGCACATGGTATTCTTGCCTTCAGACCTGTGCAAACTTCAAGCCCTTGTGAGTGACTTTCGTTTGAGGGGGCGTGTTAGTGTTGTGGTATATGATCCACGATTGAACTTCTTCCGACAACTCGAGTTACTTGATCAATTAGATTATAAGCAGCGGCGGATCCAGGGGCCGCCCCCGGGCCACGGCCTAGCCCTCCCCAGACCCAAAACTCGTATAGTATTTGTAAATTTTTGCTTTTGGGTTATATATTTTAATGTTAATAGGGTTACGGCTCAGCCCTCTCCACCACTTTTTAAATGCGGCCTAGTGCTCTAACCTGTTCTGAATATCCACCGCCGAGGCGCTGATTATAAGTTGATATTATCATACTATAATTGTCATATTGTTTTATATCTTAGCATCGACTCATCGTTATCGTCATGTTTGTTTCCCATTGCTTAGGAACAGCTATCCTAGGAATATGTCCTTGGGCTAAGAGCTGTCCTAGGGATTTTTGCACTACGTACGTACCTAACATTGGTCTTAGCATTAAGAGCAATATCCTCAAGATTTTGTTCACACACGTACGTACGTATACGATCCAGTTAAGGATTCTTGTACAACTGTTCTCTCTTCTAGCTAGCTAGGGTGGAGTGCAGCAACTGCGTAGGTTAAACGGTAAATATGGCTAAACGATCACGAGGCTATCTTTTCTTGTTTTCGTTTCATTAGTAGACAAGTCGGTGATTGAGTATAACCTCATTGCGCCTCCCAATAAACCTAAAACGTACCACTCACTCTCCAGAACCCAAAAAGAATCGTAAGAATTTTCTTTCTAAAAGTTTCTTATCGATGCTTTGAAGTTCTAATTATTTGATTTAGTTTGATTTTGAAGAACTCGTCGATAGTAATAACTTGAGTTGTTGAACGAGTTTAAGTATAAATGTCATACCATTCTTTTACAGTACTCACAAACTCAACAACATCATTTGATTTGTTTAATGGAATGAAAAATCGACAATGCAAAAAACTAAAAAGAAAAACATATAAATTTACTGGGTCACTAACACAATTTGTGTTAGTTCTAGTGTCATTGTATTTTAGGAGGATACTGATGTTAACAAAACAGAAACGGATTGATCGGATAACGGAGTAGTAAAACAAACACTGACACCGAAGTTTACGTGGTATCCCTGGATCACCAGGACTAATCCACGAACGAGCTTTGAACGCTCTTCACGCTACTGATGTTATTGAATTATATCAAGAGTTGTTAACCTGTACAACTGCACGCTCCTCACTCTATATACAATATACAAGCCCTAGGGTTTGAGAGACTGCACCACGTCTACCTCTCATCTGCATGGGCCAATATGTATACGTACTATTTGTGGGCTTCAATAAATGTGCTCCACAACAATGGTACAATTTTACTAAACCGTAGCCAAATTAGGAGATGCCTCAAAAATTAGTAGAAATTGATGAGGGATGAGAGTTCTTGAAAGTGGTTAAGGAGAATGTGGAGGCTGCGGGAGGGTTCAGCCTGCCGGATCTGTTCCCGCCGGCTAAGTGGGTCCACGTGTTTAGTGGGTTGGAGTCTAAGCTGCTCAAAATTCGAGGGAAACTCGATAGAGTAATCGATAAGATTTTAGTCGACCACCGAGCTAGGAGAAGCAGAAGGAGTAGTGCTGATCAAGGAGATGACGATGATCTTCAACAACAAGATCTTGTGGATGTTCTGTTGACGGCTTAGGAAGAAGGGCAGGTTCAATTCCCATATGCTGATGAGAGTCTTAAGGCCGTCATTATGGTATCTAACATGCTCTCTCAACTCTCAAGTCTTATTATGGCATATAATAATATGCTTTCTCAAGTCTCAACTACTTATTATTTTAGACTTGGTAGATAATATATTTTTAGAATTCCCTTACAAATTTAATTATTAACATCATCTTGAACAACTTCGGGATATAACATATTACATATGTGATGTTTTAGTTTGGAACAAACATTAATGTGAATGCATGAAATATGTCTCAAGACCCAACATGACAATCGTTAAGGAGATTGTCACCGTAACGTATTTTATGTGATCTCTTCTATAATAATTGGGTATTTAGGAGGGGTTGCCGAGCATAAATTCCCTTTTTTTTTAGCGCCATGAAAAATATTATCTTTTATTATCATAATAATTTGTAGATATACTAGCGATTAAAATAAGACGTGTCATCCACAATTTGTCTTTTTTTTCTTTTGTGTAGATGGGTATGATAAACTAAAGGTATAACATTCGATTTTATTTTATTTTTAGGATATCTTCGCTGCTTGAGCTGATACTTCCTCCGGAGTAGTAGAATGGGTGATGTCGGAATTGATGAGGGACCCAAGAATTTTGAGCAAAGCAAAGACCCAAGAATTTTCGAAAAATATGCTTCGTTAGAAGGTCTAGGCCAACTGAAATATTTGAAATTGATCATAGAAGAAGCCATGAGATTGCACCCACCTGTCACGATGTTGATTCAAAGACAAAACTCGGAATATTGCAAGATCGATGGTTACGATATTTCGCGCAATACCAAGGTCATCATCAATGCATCATGCATGGGCTGCGCTATTGGAAGAGATCCCAAATATTGGACCGACCCCGATATCAGCGGCGGATCCAGAACACAGAAGTGCACTGGGCCGCATTTTATTAGAAAATTAGAATAGTAAAAAAAATATAATGATTATAATTTTTTTACAATGTAAATTGTACACGACGTTATTTTAATTTAGCGAATGCATTAATAATGGAGTCCACATCCATACCAATAGTATACACTGTTTCAAATAAAATACTTGAGCAATCGACTAGAAATCATCGCTCATTTTGTTGCGCAAATCAATTTTCACATGTTTCGTTGTTGAAAAGGTTCTATTCGTATTAGCTTTTGAAACGAGCAACATCAACACTAGACAAATCAATCTACTAATCAATTTGCATTGTGTTTCCATCCCTATATCCACCAGCTGCTCTAGTAAATTTTCCAAGGAGAAACAAACCTCTTATATGTTTTAGTCTTTTACGTTTTAAACTTTTTGAATTTTTAGGTTTCATTGTCTTTTTAGACGAATAACCTTTGGGGTTAGAATTTATAAGCTAAATTTAGAGTAGTGATTTTGAATATGTTCATCTGAATTATTTTTCTGATTATACTCAATCTTATTTTAAAATAACAACGACCCGAATATCTAAAATCGAAAAATTCATAAGGCCTATACTAACTATGGATCCAGAGGAGGGCTGGGTCGGGGCCCGGAGTGGCCACCCCTGGATCCGCCACTGCCCGATATGTTCTTTCCTGAGAGATTCTTGAATTCCGCGGTGGACTATCACGGTACTAGCCTTGAGTTCATCTCATTTGATGCGGGAAGAAGCAGGCCCGGCCCATAGCCCGTGCTGGTCAGCCCGCCAGCACAGGGCCTCAACATTTTAGGGGCCTCCAAATAATATATTATGTTATAGGCCCACCAACTCTACAAAATTAGATAAACGTTTATATAACATGGATGTAAATTTATTGGGCCTGATTTAGAGCATTTTTCTTTACCTAAACTTTGGGGGCCTTCACCACTTGACTCATTTGAAAATTTCTGGACATAGCTTCTTTTGTTGGGATTCTTGTGCCCCAAATTGGTTATATATTCGTGACTCCCATAAGGCTTTTTGGGCCCAAATTAAGTTTGAGTTCAGGAATTCAGGGGATTATAAAATATAAAATAAAATTTGAGCGCCTTAAATCTGCTATAAATTATAATGGATCATTTTCCTTCTTTTAAGTTTGCATTTTGGTTGCGACTTGGGAGTGGCCTCTAGAGCTATACTATTAAGATTCTCTTTTGACCTTTAAATGGGCTTGGCCTTTTTTCTATTTGTTAAATTTTTTCTTTAATAATAAATGATCTATCATGATGAAAAGCATTTCTTATTTTCTTATAAAAATGAATTATTTTAATGGATCTTTTTCTCAAAAGTGTGAGATTAGAAGAAAGATAGATGATATTATTTAAAATAATACGAGACGGTTGTTACTTTTTAAACAACGATAAATGATATTATTTCTTTTGTAATAAATTTTATTAACTTAAGTATTTTTTTACTATTATTTAATAAATTTTATTTTTAATAAATCTTCAGAGAAAATATTTAGGGCCACATTTTAAATTTTCGAACAGGGCCTCCAAATATCATGGACCGGCCCTGGGAAGAAGGATGTGTCGCGGTATAGCATTCGGGATAGCCAATGTGGAACTTCCCCCGGCTAGTTTGCTATACCACTTTGACTGGATGTCTCACGATGGGAAGCCATTGGAACGTTTTGGTGCAACGGTGAAGAGGAAACACGATCTCTGCTTAATTCCTATTCCTTGCCAATCCGGCATGGGCGAATAGGAAACCTTAATGGAAGTCTTTTTTATCATATGTCGTTGAAGATTTTGCTTTTTCCCCTTTTCTGTTCATGTCTCGTCCCATTAGTAATGTCTGCATACTAACAGTGAAGGCTGATACTGTGATACATGCTGATGCTCGAGAAATATAACTGTGGTCATCAACTACTGTTTCAAGCATCGCCATTACTCAATCTAAGAGGTAAAAGGACAGTTACAGAATTCTCTTCTTTTTTTTTTCCACTAGCGGGGATATAACTCTGTAGTTGTCATCTGATTTCGAGAACACGAGTCCCCATTACTGGATGAAGTTTGACAACGATAGTAACCATCAGAGTCTTCAAAAGGGTTCCTTTCCATGTAGAACCCGGGCTGCTTGGGCCGCGGCAGCACTGCTTTCTCATCGCTCCCCAGCATCATGACCACAGAGCCCATGTTTGGTCTGTCCTCCGGCAACTTCTGCACACACAGCAGGCCAATATGGATGCACCTAACGACTTTGCCTGGAACACTGCTTGAAACTTCTGCCCCTAAGATCTTTTCATCGGTTAGCTCTGCAGCTTTTTCTTCCATCCACAGCCTCCATGCCTGGAGAAAAAAAGGATGGTATATCAGATCATAAGCCTATGAGGTGAAGCAGACAAAAGAAAGTTGGAACATATGTGTGCTTACATGTCCAAGAAGGTTGAGACCGTGATCCGGGTGGCAAAACCCTCTGTTTCTCTTCCCGCTAATGATTTCCAGGACCAGAACTCCGAAGCTGAATACATCAGATTTTACAGAGAAAAGTCCGTCGACTGCATATTCTGGAGACATATATCCGCTGCATTAACATTTAACAGATAAGAAACAACCATAGAGACCCTTTTAATCAAGTTTTAAAATGTGTACTGATTGATCCACAAAGGATTGCAGATCATTCAAAACTTACTAAGTCCCCACAACCCTCTTCGTGTTTGCCACACTTTGATCCCTTCCGAAAGTTTTAGCCAGGCCGAAATCCGAGATCTTGGGGTTCATATCAGTATCGAGCAGAACATTGCTGGCTTTTAGATCTCTATGAATGATTCTCAATCTAGAATCCTGGTGAAGGTACAAAAGCCCACGGGCAATTCCAATTATAATCTGGAAGCGCATACTCCAATCTAGCAGTTTGCCTCTCTCTTCATCTATGAAATTACCATTGTTAGTGGAATTCACTCCTTCCATGGAGTAGAAGAAAGAGAAACTCTTTCAGGAAGAAACTGACGTACCAAATATGAAGGAGTCTAAGCTCTTGTTAGCCATGTATTCATAGATTAACAGTTTCTCGTCGCCCTTGATACAACATCCCAGAAGCTTCACCAGATTTCTATGCTGAAGCTTTGCGATCAAGATCACTTCATTCTTGAACTCCTTGTCCCCTTGCCCGGAAGATTTTGACAGCCTTTTCACTGCTATTTGACACCCATCTGCCAGCGTACCCTATACAGAAACAGAAATATTACGTTCATTTGTTAGCTATCTCAAGCTTGTCACATAGAAAAATGCATTACGCATTATAATATCACAAAACCCCTTCAGATTCATTACCTTGTATACAGCTCCAAACCCACCTTCTCCTAGTTTGTTATCAGACAAAAAATTGCCAGTTGCATTCTTTATGACAACCAAATCGAATGCAGGTAACTCCATTTCTTCATCATCACCATCATCTAGACACTCATTTGCTTTCCGTTGTGCCCTCCTCCTCCTCGCGCACAGGACGAATCCCAAAATAAGCAATGCTATCGCCACAACAGTGCAGCTGACAATGATTCCAACCTTCGCCTTATCGTTTGGCCGTCTGCTCGCCGCAACACTCTCTGAGAGATCATAATTAAGTATCAAGTTTTGTAACAATGTCACATCACAAGGACAAGGATTAAACAAAAAGGAAGCAATGAAATCTCACCTAAATCTGCTGCTGCCATCCGAATGTACAAATCCTGCCCACCTTCAGTGAACTCCCTGATATCCATCAGCTCACTAAACCAAAGCAAGCAGCCACTCCCACCTCCTTCCACATCCGAATTCGCATAGGCAGTGCAAGTGCAATTTTTAGCGCACAACTGCCCACATTGCCTCAACCCAATAGCCTTGTCAACCCATGAAGTCGTGGTGTCCGGCAACTTCATTCCCTTAACCTGCAAGAACCCATCAGTGTAATTGCAAGCCAGGGGCGATTTCCTCACACACCCATCAGAGAAATCAAGCAAGCTCCAATCTTTGAATGATTTCGGCACGAATCCAGGCAAACAAGCACATAAAGGAGGAGCGTTAATGTTACATCTGCTGTACGCACCGCAGAACCCATAAGTATCACACTGATCAATTGGGGTTGCATAAAAGAGCCTCCAGCTCTGCGTTTGCTCAATCCAGGTGAACCGCTGAAGGATTCCAGAAGGCTGAATCACTAGCCTTGATACCACCGAGCTGTTACGGAGCTCGTAGCTGTAAGAAACTTCCTTGGGACTTATCACAAACAGGTAGTAGCATACCGGGTTCTGCTTCAACGCTGGCGTCCCTGTCCAACTCAGCCCATTCCACGGCCCGCCTCTGTAAAGTAACGACTCTTCCTTCTTGAGTACGAGCTGCGGGTATCCTCGGGGATCCATCCAGACCACGTAATCGCCCGGAGATGGGTCGTCGGTGCTTTTCCATGACCGGATGAACCAATCCCGCCCGGCGGCCAAATTTCTCCCCAACTTCATGCCGGGAAGTAAAGTGTCGGCTGGGTAATCGAAGCTCTGCCAGATGTAGTTTGCAGGATTCAGATCGTCTCCGTTTCTAACCACAAGATTCCCCGAGTCTAGCAGCTGGGCTACTGGACCATCGATCCGGGCATCGGCGGAGGAATTGGTAGACCAAACCGAATCTCCCGTACCGTTGAGCAGAACGAGAATTCCTTGACTGGTGACCGTCAGAACTCCGGAGCGATCGGAAATTGGAGCTTCTCTGTTGGCTACCCATACGACTGTCCGCGCAGAGGCCGGAATGTTCTTCTTGTACCACATTCCCAGGTAACGAGCTGCTGAGCTTCCGGGGCTGAAGAATCCCATCTCGAAGCTCTCCCCCGATGACACAATCGTCTCCCCATCTGCAATCGACTTGACAGTGGATATGGTGTCAAGTGAAGAAACAGGGGAGGCCGCAATTCCCCAAGTAATGGCAGCGCAGAGAAGTAAAAGCGACCGCTTTTCATAAGTTCCCGTGGCCTGCATTCTGTTAGCAGTGCTTTCTCCATTCGGAAGGGATGATTCGTTCCCTTTACTTTATTGCAGTCTGGTTCTGTGGTGGTCATCCATCGATAGTAGGGTTTTCAGTTACCACAGAGTCAGCGTTCACACTTTGAAGTGTAACTCAGTCAGTCGCTCAAAAAATTCAAAGTCTTGAGACTTTGCCCTGCGCTGGACGGTAGAGCAACTTGGTGTGTTGCCAAGATGGTTGCTTTCAATCAAAATCATGTCTGCCCTGTAAATTCTTTCAGCTGAAACTCCATGGCTTAGAGAGGCGGTCCCCATCAGAAGAAGGAACCAAGGGCCTTCGTCAGACGCCTAACAGGTGTTCGATGAAATTACTGACTGAAGAGTATATACGTTATGTAGCTGGGATGGAAATTTGACGAACGGAATGGTGTAATAATCACCGTGATTAATTGGGAAAGGCAAGTACCAACCGCATCCTTCCTGGGTGGTGTCGACTCGACTGAATGAAAGGTTGAGTGAAGTCTTAGGCAGCTCTGGGGGAATGCCAACTGAAACCGCACACGTTGCAGCTTGGTGTCTTGTCGACAAAAATCTAGACTCAGGTATGTGAAAATGGGCTTTGGCAAAAGAAAACTATGTGCAAATGGGCCCATCATTCAGCAGCCTAAACAAACGTATAAAGCCCTAACCTAAGAAGCAAGCATGCAGTCCCAAAAGATGCCAGGAGATAGGGCCGAGATATCACTCAGCCCACACTTTTTTTTTAATGAATCAGCCTAGCACAGACCATCCAGCAGTAGTGATGGCAATGGGGCGGGGGCGGGTACCTCAATTCTCATTCCTTGCCCCACGCTACTTTGGGGCGGGGCGGGTAAAATTCGCGCGAGTACGAGGCGGGACGGGTCGACCCACTCTTACATGTTATTCGAAAAAAAATACAAATAAAATTTACTTTTTACGATAAAACGAGGGAAAAACACTTTAAGAATGAAAAATAGTGATAATAGAATGGGTAATTGAGTCTAACAAGTTGAAAGAGCGACTCTAACTAGTTGAAGAAAAGTCAAAATAGGAGAAATATGTATAGAAATTGTAAGAATTTGAGATAAAATGAGTCTAGAATGGGGCGGGGCGGGGCGGGGCAGCCTTGAAAGATGCTTGTGAGCCTTTACCTGCGGCATGGGTATATCTTCCATTACGAGACCGGAGCTTAAGGGTGCTGGAGTAGGGATCGAGATGGAATGGAACTTGAGATACAGAAATGATGACCACCACAACACTGTAGATCATAGAGAACAGAAGGAACGATGACCACCACCATGGAATGATTGCCAGAAAGATTGAGATTCTTTTGGATCGTGATTGGATTGTTAGGTTCAAACATGTGTTTAGAGAAGGAAATTGTTCTGCTGATTTTTTGACTTCTAAGGATCACGAGACCGTTAAACTGTTAACCGATCTAACCACAAGCAGTGAACTACTAAGGTAACTGTTAACATATTCCTCATTTAGTGTTTAACCACCCAAACTTTACAGGTTAGTTACCAATACAAAAAATATATATTATTACTGATCAATATAGGTAACTCATAAGTCACAAATCATCCCCTTCGCATGCAGCTTCCTAGTAGATGCCATCTTTCACGTTTCTGCACCAGACAGGGAAAGAAACCCACTCTCCAAGCCAGCTAGCCGTTTCACTCATCATATGTAGCAAGTTTTAATGGAAGTACGATTTTGGAGCCTTGCCGGCCGGGATTCAAATCGACACCAACTCTTTCTCCCTTACATTTCACCAAATCCATGTAAGCTAGGTCAATGTCATCCTTTAAACCAAAGCAAGCAAACATCCCTCTGCTGCCCCCTTTTCCCCTGCCGCTTACTTATAGCTGCAGAGCACTTCCCCTGTTTCTCGTCCATCCCATCCCCAAACTGCCCTTTTTTCCATTACAAGTTAACCGATATGGAGCTGACGGACTGCGAGTTCGAAGACCACCTGCCGTCGATGATGAAGCGGCTGGGCGCGGAAGGGTTCATGGAGGAGCTGTGCAAAGGGTTCCGCCTGCTGATGGACGACGAGCAAGGGGTCATCACCTGCGACAGCTTGAAGCGGAACAGCGTCCTGCTGCTGGGTCTGGACCAGGAGATGGGGGACGACGAGATCGTCTCCATGATGGTGGAAGGCGATCTGGACGGCGATGGCGCCATCAACCAGATGGAGTTTTGCATCCTCATGTTCCGACTTAGCCCTGAGCTAATCGACGGGTCAAAGCAGGTGCTCTGTTCTAATCGCGGCGGCCACTGCTGCTCTGCTTCTCCTGCTAAGTACTACACCTGATCGTATTTGTTGTGGGCACTAGGGCTTTGGTGACTGAGGCTGATTTTTAGGGTGTGGTTGATGACTGCCAATAATTATGGATAGCTAACCTATGTTGGCTGGTTTTGTTGCATCTTTTGTTGTAAAATTATGCCTAAATTGAATGTCTATCATGTGTTTCTGTTGACATGGAACCATCTCTCTTCACCATCATGTTAGTGTTTCGGTCCAGATTAGCGGACAAACTCGATAACAATGATATTATGGTTCTAGTTTACATTTCTTTCATTTGACCCCTTCGAACGTGGAAGTAAATTGTGAGACGGGGCCTCATTTAATCTCTAACAATCAAGTCAATATATACCATATAAGAGCTAATGTATGTAAATTAGAGAGGATCGTAGACGATAGAATTTAGGAAGAGGACCATATGTATGAAAAAAATGTAGGTAGAGAGGATAGTTCTCTTAGCTTGGAAGTTCAAGACTCATTGTATAGAGCAACCGCTTGAACCTTGTGATTTGCGTTTCGCGCTAGGCTTAGAGTCTGGAAGAATTCCCAGAATACAGTAAAAATTAAACATAATTCCCGGAATACATAAGTTTTATAAAATTTTCCCAAACTACCCAAGTTTCAAAGGGTTCGAGTCCCATAAACTCGAACTAGTACCGGATCGACTGCCAAAAAATCAGATGAAATTTTGCATCGAGGGCTTTAAGTTATGTATTCTGAAAATTATTTTTAATTATTACTGTATTTAGGGAATTAATCCCTTAGAGTCTTTGGTGAGACGCTTAACAATGGCCCTTGCCCCTTTGGCTTGGCACCGTATATTGAATTTGAGCCATAGATAAAAGCACTTTGCTATGGATTTAGATCCATAGATAGAAGTGGACATTTGTTATGGACTCACACACCTGTCATTTTCCCTTGGTTATTATTAACATCCCAACACTTTAGGTATCTAAACCGAATATTTGAAAATTGTTCGAATCATTCAATCAATAAGTGTAGAAATGTTCACACTTCACACCAAATGAAAAGTACAGTAAATGTTGCAAAATGGTCCATTTCTTAGTGCATCGCATGCACCGATATTGTTAACAGCAAAGGACCGATATTGTTATAAACGCGCTGCTACAGATCGGGAAATCGCCGGAATCGATAAAAGTAAGAATACGAAAGCGAGAATCGAGAAAACACAGACACACGATTTACGTGGTTCACTAACACGATGTGTGTTAGCTAGTCCACGGGCGAGAGAGAGCCAGTTTCACTATATCGAGGAGATTACAGATTACAGAGGAGTATGAGAAGTATTTATAGTACTTCTCCATGTGGGTCTAAACCTAATCCAATCTGTCAAAAGAAACGGTTACAGACCAGACCCAGAACCCGAACCCAAATAAACATTGAGCTCATACAACCCCCGACTACCGGTCGTAGCGGCTGATAGTCCGATCCAAATTACATCAACGGCATCGGATGCATTGCAAAGGACCATGCACATAGACCAAAGATCATTACCCCATATCATCAGGCCTTCTCTCCATCCGCCACCTCGGATTTCATCACGTGATTTGCAGCCACGTCAGCGGTCACTTCTGGATTTGGATCCTATAGCCACGTCATTCACTCCACATAGTTTAGATTATCGTCGGACAACGCGAGCGGGACCACCGCCCATACTCCGTTCATAATCTCAATCCCCACTCTGCACCACCAACAGCTCCACCCCGCCTAAATTGCCCATACTATACATTACTCTGTTCTGTATCTCAAACAGCGCGTGCTTTCCAATTGACCTCATTGGCTCATTATATACCACCAGCTTTCCGCCATTGATTTGATTCTCCAATAGTATAACCGAGCCCAATATTAAGAAAAGCAAAGCGCGATGAAAGAGTGCGAACTGTGTCAAGCTGGCGGCGGAGCCAGGGTCTTCTGCGAGTCGGACCAGGCGAGCTTGTGCTGGGATTGCGACGAGAAGGTCCACGGCGCCAATTTCCTTGTGGCCAAGCATTCCCGCATCCTCCTCTGCCACGTCTGTCACTTCCCCACTCCCTGGACGGCCTCCGGTCCCAAGCTCGGCCACACCGTTTCATTCTGCGATTCTTGCTTCTCCCTTCACGGCGGTGACTACCCGACGACCGAGAGAAGCGGCGACGACGGCGGAGAAGGAGGGCAGTTCGACATCGAGGAAGATGAGCAGACGACGACGACAACGACGACGGGGGAGGATGAGGGTTTTTCCGATGATGAGTACGGTACGGATGAGGAAGATGGGGATCTGAATCAGGTTGTGCCGTGGTCAGGGGAGAGCTCTTCCGGCGCCGAAGATGAAAGCAGACCGGCGGCGGCCCAATAGTTTCTCTTTGTTGGGCTTGCGATCCGCTGGATAGGAATCCAAGGTTTGGGCCCATGTAAAAGCCCAATCCATCTTCTTTTCCAACAAGGCACAAAGCTAGGGCAGGTTCTACTTTGCAGTTCTCTTCTACACATTAGAAAACCAACCTATAAATGCATATTTGAATACAAGAACTGAAGAACGGTTTACTATATTTTAGATGGTAAAGTTCAAGCAAGCAGAAAAAAAGGATCAGGTAATGAGCTGAAATGGAAAAGGTAGATTTCTGATAAATGGCAACAGAAAGCAATCCAGTTTTAAGACTTTGTTCATAGTCCAACCTACCACAACAAAACGTAAAAGTGTCTTCAGAAACACACAACCAACCATTCATCTGCCACACAAACATCTCACTTAAGAGTGGCAGCAAAACCCTTTTCCAAACACTTTCTTACAAGAGAGTAGAGGAAAGGAGACAAAACTCAAGCATTCTTCTACTACATCTACTATTTAGCTCATTCTCTCCAGCATTTTCGCACTTGGAGCATCTATTGAACTCTCCGTCGGGGCACCCCAAACAGCTTCAATAGCTCGGCAGTCCAGCTCTATGCCTCTGCCAGTCAAAGAAAAACAATCAAAGAACCGTTGTTAATAGGAAAGCACACAGAATAACACGATTGATGGACAATAACATAAATACAAAATCAATTAAAAGAGTCTTCTCTCTGATTGATGGTAGATTGGTAGTCATCCAACCATCAGCTTTCTACATGCACACACATGATGAAGTGTGACCCAAGTGACCAAGCTAGAACCTTTCAGCCAGGTCTATACGTTACTCAGATCCATTTGATGCAGAACTCATAGTTGGACAAAAAAACCACAGCAACAAGCCTATGTGTATTGAAACGAACTTTATAGAGAATGGTTACTGCAAAGTAGGCATTTGAAACCTTGAAACATTGCTAACTCAGATTCACAAAAGATATCACTAACTACACAGAGTACACAACCACATTCAATGGAAAGGCATTGAAGATGCTTTCTTAATCAAGAGCTCATCTTAAGCATTCAAACAAGGGAAGTCAGCCTATACTTTCCAGCATCCAAAATCAACTTAAAAGGAAGTGAACCCCCTGCTTACCAATAAGATTAGAAAACCCCTTCATTTGTTTGTAGCAGTCAAAGGTCTATCTATCTTTTTTTGCATCTAACAAGGAATCATCCTCACTTTACTAACAATAGCTCAAATTGAAGAAAGAAGAAGTGACAAAATCTTCCAGAAGATTAACTTCCCGGTACAAGAACTATTCTTATCACTAAGAGACTGGGCTAGTGACAATGGATGGTTGATAATAAGCCAACCCACCCGATGCCCGAAGCTTCAGGCCAACACCTAGAATGAATTAGGGAACTGAAAGCGGAAACATAAACACACCCCAGACTTTCCCCCTATGTCTCTCAAACACTTTGCAACATTGTTCCTCATGTATTTGGAATAACTAGAAGCTCTGAAGTCCTATAAAGACACATCAAATGCGACCTAGTGATCATGATGCCGCATTCAAAATACATACTGCAACCAGTTCTTCTCAAAGAATGTGGGATTATAATTTGCAACTTGGATGAAAACCAAACTCGCAAAATCATGTCCCAAGTTGTTTGCAGTTACAATAACTAGAGACATAGTACACTGATACCAGCCAGCAATGACTCCAATCACTAGATTAAGTTCAGGATAACTTATACAAGTTCACCATTGGTGCACACACCATCATCAAAATCCTAGTGAAACCCATCTCTAATTCGAACTATATAATTAGAGATAGAAACAAAATCAAAAGGAAAAAAAAGCAGCTAAGCAATCAGCTGGACTCACAGTTGCCAGATTACTTATCTATATTATCAACACCACCAATCTTCAATTCAAATACTGAACCAAAAGCAAAGACAAACCTTTGCGATGTGGCACTTCCTCTTCGTCCTCGTGCATATGCACATTGACGACGGGCTCGCCGACAGCATCACCATCAGCTTCATCCTTGTCCTCAGGGTACCTGACCACCACAACGGGGCAAACGCAGTGATGCACACAGTAATCGCTGACACTGCCAAGCCTGCCATCCCTGCCTCGCTTGGCAGCTCCGAACCCTCTGCTGCCCATGATCACACAACTCAGTCCCAACCTCTCCACCTCCAAGCACAGCCGCTCCTTCATGTCATGGTCCTTCACTATGTGGATCTTGAAGGGGATTTGCGCGTCTTTCAGGGGCTTCGAGAGATCAGAAGCCTTGGCAGCAGTGAAGACATCGTAGTCTTCCTCACCCTGGCGCGGCTGCAGCGGCTGTCCCCGCGAGGAGCTATCGGAATCGCTGCCGTGATCGCTGGGCGGGGGCGGCGGCGGGGGATTGGTGCTGTCGGCGTTGAGGTCGCCGCCGCCGGGGCGGAAAGGGTGGATCAGGGTGTGGGTGGGAGTGGACAAGGGGAGTGGGCCCCAATCAGCGCCGAAGAGGACGGAGGTGGGGCTGACGTGGAGGAGAATAACGGCATCGCCGGGGCGGAGGTAGTGGTCGACGGCCCACTTGACGGCGTATGCGCTCTCGTCGGAGAGGTCGACAGCGACGCCGATCTTGCGGCGGGCGCCGGCGGTGGGAGTTGGAGCGACGGAGTGGTGGTGGTGATGGTGGTGGTGGGGGTGGCGAGGGGAGGAAGGGTGGTGGATCTTGATGGTGGGGAGCTGCGGGTTGTCGGGATCCAGAGGGCTCTGCGGCGCAGGTGGCTGCTGCTGAGGATTCATGGCGATTGGGGATGTTTGTTTCTCGGGAAAGAAGGAAGGTGGGGTGGAAAACGCAAATGGGGGGACGAATTGGTAGTGGGGGAATGAAGAGGAAACGCGGAGGAAAGGAGGAGGAGTTTCTAGAGGATGGTGACTGTTCTGGGAAAGAGAGGAACTGCTTAATTAGCTGGGCTTTCTGGCAGGGGGTAGTTAGTTATGGGCTTGGGCAATGGCTATGGCCCAAGGGAAACAACAAAAGTCAGTAAAAACTTGGAGGCCGACCGTGCTCTGGGAAACGCGCACTTGGGCCAGAAACAAGTTGGGCCCTTAAGAAAGCTAGAAACTATGTCCACAAAATATCAAATAATTTATTTATGTTTATTAGCTTCATTTTTCTTTTGCCAATTGTTTATGAATTTAGGGGTCGTTTGGAAGTTGCGATTGTTTTGTTGAGATTGTCATTATGCATGTATTGTTTACAATGCATCGTTTTTTTTGTTTTTTTAGCAGAAACAATACATGGATTGTTTCTGTGATATGACAAAAACTATCACTCATTTTGAGTTATTGTCATTTCTCAACTTTTAGTTGTGATTGTTGAGATAGTTGAGTTGAGATTGTTTTGTCTCGGCTTTTAGCTGATGCGACATACACAATCATACATACCAAACGTTGTGTTCTACAATGCATCAAATTCGACAACACATGTATAATATTATACATGCATTCTCAACAATACATCTATTTAACAATCGCAACTTCCAAACGACCCCTTAATTTATATTTCAGTATTTTATTTTCTCAAAGAAAAGTTGTGTTATTTTTTCGCTGTTTCGAAAAATCGTATCATAATGACAGTCTGATTCACGGTTTCAACAAAAAATACCACGACACTACCATGGTGTTGTTGCCCACTCAACCTATGTAGCTCCCATCCGTCTATCCTGCACACATGGAGGAGTATGATTGGATGTGGATCACCTTTGGTTTGGTTGGGTTGGTCATGCGATATATACATCGATTAGAAGAGAAAAATCCAACCTATGCAAATTGAGAGGGGGCTTTGGTGGTATTGCAAACGTTGGAAGAAAGGCATGAAGTAGGTAGCTTAGCTTAGCTAGGTGGGAGTAATAGATTGCAAGTTTTAGGAAGCAAAGGGGACAGAGTAGAGGCAGGCTTTTTCTGGTAAAAAAAAAAAACTCCCTCCAGTATACTATGAACCAAAAGGGCATCATTTCTCTATTTGCCACCCCTCCCCCTCTCACATATAAGACCTAGAGATTATAGCCAGAACAGGTATAGGGAGGAGATTCGATGGCACCATCATCATCACCACCACCAAATCTCACTCTTTGGCTATATCACATACACATTGCTCCTTTCTGTTATTCACAGTAGGCCGGCCAGCTGCATGCTGTAATCTGCTTGCTGCTGTTTGCTGTGAACTTGAGCTTGATCATCATGATCACCTTTTTTTTTCTCTCTTCTGTTACCACCCACCCATACTACCAACCAACACAGATTTTTAGCTGAGGTAACCAATCTAATATACTAATAATACCAATGCCACAACCGGGGCCAACAAATCAAAACCGCAGCAGCAGCAGTGAAACGAGACACAAAAGAACAAACAATGAAGAAGATGAGACATGGCCCATCGGATGGGGATCATCATCAGATCACGATCCTCCTCGTCCGACCATCTCCTCTCTGCCCTCTTTGTAATGTTTGCCTCTCTCCCTCTCCATCTATCACATCTCAACACCTGCAACTGTAGCTGGGCCCCACCCACACCTATATCGTCCTTTTCCCTTTAGAGAGAGAGAGAGTTAAGTTCCAGGCAGCTAGCTAGCTAGGCAAAAGAATCCCACTCCACTCCACTCCTTAATTGCTCAGCAACGGCACACACAGTCACAGCCCAGTCCTCTCTCCGATCCCTCCCTCAAACCCTACAAATATCACTACCCAGCTGCTCTGATAAAAGCAACAGACTGCATAGAGAAACAAGAAAGAAAGAAAGAAAGGAGAAACCCACTACTGCAGCAGCAGAAAACAACAAGAAGTTGAAGAACAAACTAACCTTTCCCCCTCAATCCTCATCCTCTCTCTGGGTTCTTTTTTTGTTTTCTGTCTATATATCCATTTTCCCTCCTGCCTGTGTATCTTTTCATTACCCATAAATCTCCCTCCACAAAGATCATCACCAGCTACCAACCCCAAAAAAATCCCAGAAAACAAGCACTTCCACTCCCTCCAATCTGCCATGTATCAGCTGCCACATCATGATCAGTACTCCTCCCACCACCGCCATCACCAACAACAACAGCAGCAACCCTCCGCCGCCCTTCATCCATTTCCGCCCTTCTACCTCTTCACCGACGCCTCTTCCGCCGCTACGACGGAGGAACAGCCGGCTGGACATGGATCAGAAACAACTCATCACAACAACTACACTACTGGATCATCCAACCTCCCTCGTCACAAGCCTACCCACCGCGAGCCAGCACCAGCAGCGAAACCCTCCGCCGCCGGCGGCGGAGGACGTAGCAGGAAGAGCGGCAGCAAGAAGGCGGCTGCAGCTGGTGGTCCCCACGGCCGGAAGAAGACGACGGAGCCGCTGAGAGGGATGGGGGTGGAGCAGCTGGAGCATTTGAGGTTACAGGAAGCCGCCGCCGCCGCCGCCACTTCCAACCAAAAGAAAATCCTTCTCCCGAAGTTTAAGCCCGCCAAAAAGCCTGTCTCCCGGCCTGCAGTGCTCCAACAGGATCCGGGCACTTTTCCCGATGAACACTACGGCGTCCCCGTGGCGGCGGTTATCAGCGCCGAGAGGCAGCGGCAGCTCCAGCTGCTTTATCAAGCGTGGGTCAGGAGGGTGACCGGTGCTGTTGGCGGTGGTGGTCAGCCGAGCCCCTACTCCGGCATCGGCGGAGCTGGCCGGAGTAGTACTGCTACGGCGGGAGGGGGATCTGAGCTCTCTTCAATCCCAAAGATCGCCGCTTTCAACCACAACAACAACAACCCATATGATGATTTACCCACCTGCGACGGCCCCTGCTGCCTTGAGGTTAGGTTAATTTTTTTTATTTTATTTTTGTCCCTTCTGTTTTGTTTCCCGGGAAAACAGAAATCAATTAATACTCATGAATCCCAATATGAAATCTGTACACTTTGCAGAAGAAGGGCTTCAGTACTGCAGCGACGGCAATGGTGCGGAAGAACAGTGGAATAGTGATTAGGGAGGAAAGATTTCAAGAGACAGCTAGTGATGAAGCGCCATTAATCAATTCCTCTTCATCCTCAAACTATCATCGGTTGCCCGCGGGATTGATGATGAATTCTGTGCAAAACGACGGCGTCCAATTCACTCGCCGGAACATGGAGGCAATTCCTACTACCACTACTGGTTTCTGTAGTAGATCTGCAAGATCAGAGGCGCCCTTTTATCCCTACCGTGAATCTTACTATCTTAATCAGCTGGTATGATGATTCCCACAATTTGGATTTTTTTTTCTTCTTCTGTGATTTGAAATTTTAGATCTTTGTTAATTAAAAAAAATATGGGTCTCTGGTGTTCATAATTGCAGGCCACACTGGAGATGATGGAAGCATATGATGATGCTCAAAGAAAGGGGAACTCCTCATCAGCCTGTGGTATGGAGTACTATGAGTTCTTCCCAAGCGACAAAACCACCAGTGGAGAAATTATCATGGAAGGCGGCACTTTTACCAAGCAGGAATCTGGTGAGGAGGAAGAGGGAGTGGAAGTGGAGGACTACCTAATGCTGGAACCTTCAGGTTCAGTGGGATATTATGGTGGTGGTGGTGGAGAAGCTTCTTGTCTCACCACTTCTGATCACCATCATCATGAGAAGAAGTATTACAGTTCCAGTTCTGCCTACACCTACACACTAGCATCAAACCCTACCACCACTACTACTACTACTACCAGCAACTCTATTTCCAGTTCACTGGACCTATCCCTCAAGCTCTCATCCTAGAGATCCCAAACAAACAAGACAGATCTCTACTTCTCCTTTTTGGTGGGTCTGGCTCAAAGACTGTTACTTTACTGCCCTACAAACTTAATTACCACCCTCAACCCTAGAACCCATCTTCTGCATTTGTCTCTTTGCACACTCTTGGGTTTCCCTTTTCATGTTAAACTGATCTGCCTGTCAATTTATGCCAGCATTTTGCTCCAGTGTTTTGGGATACTATACACCATTCCTCTATCTCTCTCTCTGTCTGTTATAGTTGTGTCATGATGAATCAGTTTGTGGACGGTTTCAAGAGACCTTACCTTAGGCCCAGCTTTTAATTTATGTGGGGGGTGATCTGATCTGATCTCTCTTACAATACTGGCTTGTGGGTCTGGCTGGGAGCTCATCACTTAAAGCTTTCATTAATTGATTTTGTCATATGATGATCCAAGTACTTTAGATATGGTATCCAGTTAATAAATTGTGCAATCTGTGCAATGTTTGTTGAAGAACAAGAAGATGCCAAAAGGGATTTAATACTCCCCAACTACTGCTCTTCCTCCCAAATCTATCACAGATATTAAGACACAAACATTGATCATCGACCTATATTTGTACCTACTTTGCTTAATCCAGCAACGCTGAGCAAATCACTTCTTCATACATGACAAATTAATTACATACAACAGGCTTTCTTGGGTCAGATGTGAAGAGAGAGAGAGAGAGAGAGAGAGAGAGAGAGAGTGAGAGAGTGAGAGGGACCATAAAAGAGAGAGAGGTAATGGCATGCAAGAGACAGTCTGCAATGCTTATTTCCCGATTCTGATATGCTTACATATGATTGAAGTGCTGAAACACAAGTAGCAGCATCTCTCCCTTACTGTTTATGGGAGTCAAGCAACTTTTTTTTTTTTTTTTTGAAGGCCTGCTTCAAAAAGTGTGCTCAAAAGCTGGATTAAAAGCAACCCTATCCCTCACTCAGCAAAGAGAGTGAGTGAGAGAGAGAGAGAGAGAGAGAGAGAGAGAGAGAGAGAGAGAGCAACTAGCTAGCTAGGGTCAAGCTCACAGCTCTCTGCCTGTCGTCCTCTCTTCTGTCTCTCTGTAAGGGTCTGGTGCTATATAGCCACTGAGCAGAAACAGGCCAAATGGGCCACCAGCAAAGCCCATCCCGATGCCCTGAATTCTGCAGCTGCAAATTGCAAGAAAACCCACCCTGGCCGCTGCCTACAAGATCTGAAAGCAGCTAGTGATTAAGCTAAAGCGCGCGCTGTACCAGCCAACAATAAAATACTTGCATGGAAGGGGAAAGGGGAAAGAGGAAAGGTCAGTGGCAGCATCAGTGTTCTCCAGTGAGAGGAAAGCTGCTGTTTTTGCTTGCTTTAAAAAGGGCCCCTCCTTTTCTATTGGCTGCTGGTAAGCGATCTACCCGCTTTGCCTCGCCACTAAAATTGAAAACCAGCCCAAACCAGCCTTCTCCCCGTCTCTCCCGTCCAGGCTATTGTTCTCTTATTTATGGCAACCTGTTTGTCCCGTTGCTACCACGTCCCTTTATTGTCATTTTTCACCAGTTTGTTTTTTTTTTATTTTTTATATTGGTCGTCGTGATGGTGTTTTGGTGGAACGGAACTGATTTTAGAAATTGGGTTTTGCTGCCTAATTTGGCTAGGACTAACCATACCAAAAGTCTACGAATATTAGGCAAAATGGTTGGTTTATTACTTGAATTTGAATACGAGAGAGTGTAACCAAGGTCTATAAGTTAATAGTTGATGATTTTCAGATAAATTTTAATAAAATCGAACGAGAATCTTTTGGTGATGGGGAGTGCTATTTTTGAGAAAGATAAAAAGATTGATACATGTGATCTTGGTCACAAGATTGAGTTAACATTGTTTGACCCGGATTAGTACCGGGGGATTTGTGTGGAACCTTAATCCGGACTCCCTCGTCTGATCTTCTCAGGAGTGGAAGAATCCTGTGGAGAGTCGGGGGCGGCCCCCGAGATCTACACTCCGACGGTCAAGTCAGTAAGGATATATGATAGAGTGTAGAGAATGTAGAGAGAGATAAGGTTTAGAGATAGAACCATAAGTGGTAAAGTGAGGGAAGGGAGAGAAGAAGTCCCTTTGCTTGGAGGGTCTGGCCTCCTTATATAGGAGTCGGATGCATCCTATGGACGCCTCCCGTCGATGGACGCCTTCCGATGAATGGACGCCTCCCGGTGGTGGACACCCCCGGGTGAACTGGACGCCTCCCGGTGTACTATACCCTAGAATGGGTTTGGGCCCAAGGTGAGACGCTTTGTGGTGGGCTTGGGCCCTTATTAGACGGGTTAATACTAGACCCAACAAAATAATTCTTAATTTCTTTGTCAATTCATAGTTATAAGTATGTTATTAAATGCCGCTTATTGTTTATAAATTTTTAAGGAGTTGCCAACTCAATTAACCTATGCCTGCAGTATGTAAAAATGCACGAATAATATTTATTGGAATATGAAATCCTAATTCGATTAGTTGTATGCATATCAGAATATGGAATTTCCTATATTAATGGCTACATATTCAAATTGTACACGAAAAAAAAAACACCTAATCTATTTCAAATCAATCAATAAAACTGTTAAAAGTGATTCAATGTTACAACCATTTCTCCTCCCTAGTCACAGAATCAACCAAAAACCTATACAAATTTCAACCGTTGATTAATAAAATTCTACTTTGCACGTCGCAAATCTAATGTTTGCCTGTAATATGACACAATACAAGTTACAACGAAACGCATCTACTCCAACAATTCATCAGTCTCTCTCTCTCTACGACATTTCCTTCCCCGCCACCTTCTTCTTGTACTCCTCCGGCTCGATCTTCCTGCAATACGCACCGATCTTCGACAGGCTGCCGGCGGTGCCCGGAATGCAACGCGGCACGAAAAACAGCCACGTGGACGTGAAGATAATGGCACATATCTTCCCCCAGAGCACCAACACCACAAGGCTCACCAGAACCGAACACAGCCCCACGTTGGAGCTGTACCGGCGCCCTTTCCCCGCCGCCGTCGGGCTGCTAATCTTCCCGTCATTCTGAATGATCTCCCCGGGCGCCGCCGCATCCAGCGGCAGGTTGCTGCCGACGGAGGAACTCGAGTTGGTGGAGGAGTTGTTGCTGCCGGCGACGGTGGTTGATGACATGCTGCCGACGGCGGCCAATGGTGCGGTCGACGAATTGAGTTCTACGGCGCCGTTTTTGTTTGGGATTGGTGGTTCTCGTCCGCTGCCTGGTTTTGTGGGGTCCACGTTTCCAGCTGTCGTCGCGTAGACGTTGCCACCTCCTTTGAGTCCTTTCTGTGCGTTTTTTCTCTTTCGAATTTTCTTCGCCTGCATGACAAAAGTAATTTAACTTTTACTAAACTATTCATAATTGTATGTAAAAAAAAACTATTCATAAATTTAATTTGCTTATGTAAAAAAAATGAAAAGACAGAGTATAATATAATATTTTATCAAAAACTTGTTTTACAACTTCAGAAAAATTATCAAACATGACATTTTATTACAATTTATCTAATAAATAATCAACCGTGGTCGAAATTTCGTTCGGTAGAAAAATATCTAAAATATTTATACAAATTTCTCTCCTATTTTATCAAGATTTTCTAAATCAAGATTCGACCATGCATGATTGATGATTTTTGCTAAAAATTTGAAAAAAGTTATCTTCGAGAATTTTTCTAAAATACAATGATATCTTTGATATAGAAATGATAAAGTGACATGTTTAATATAACTGTACAATATATGGCATATTATACATATAATTCAATAAAAAATGAAAAGTTGACCAGTTCAATATTTTCTAGGTTAGGCTGTCTAAATCACAGTTTGACCATGATTGATGGGTTTTTAACGAAAATTTGGAAAGAAAGCCATCTTCGAGAAATTTTCTAAAATACAGTAATATGTTTGATATAAAAATAATAAAGTGACATATTTGATAATAGAGGGCACATTATACATATAATCCAATAAAAAATAAAGTGTTGACCGCTTCAATATTTCTCAATTTGCAATTGGAAACAGTAATTAATCAAATCAAGTTAACAATTCACGGTTTACTAGAGTAAAAGAAAAAGGAAGATGCATTATACAATCACAAAAGAAAAGGGAGATTTATAATTTATTTACCAGAGAGGTCTCGAAGAGAATGGCTTTCAAGACACGAGGGAACCGTTTCAATCCTTTCTTGGGCTTCCCTCCTCCTCCTCTACTGCCGTCCGGCGACGGCATCGTCGTACTCGTCGCCGTCGTGGTGGCGGTGGCAAACGCCGTCGTCGTCGAGGAAGGCGCATAAGACGACGACGACAACAACGACCCATCTCTCTGATGATCATCTTCCATCGCCGAAGCTTTCACCGAAGACGAACGATCCCCTCCTCCTCCTCCTCCTCCGACGCCGCCGTTGACCAATTCCACCGAATAATAATCTATTAGAGATTGCTGTCTACCACATGACAGGAACCATATGTGTTTATTATGGTTCTTGTCACGTCCTTTGCCCTTTCTTTTCCACCCTAATTCCTCCCCCTTGTACTTCTTCTTCCCGATGGCGGTCGACTTCTTATTGATCTCGCCGTCGTCGTTGTGATGGCCGCCGTAGTAGTAGTTTTGGAGGATCTTCTCCGACAGAGAATGCATTTAGAGCGCGGGGATTATATGTGCGAAAGGAACCGCGGAGTGCCGGAGGCGGGGAATGCGGACGTGCGGTGGGAGGTTAAATGCAGAGGGCCGAAGATTTAGGGAGGGAGACGCTAATTTAGTGGGTAGAAATCGTGGAGAGAATTTTTGTGTTATTTATTGGAAGCAAGGTTGTAAAACCGGTTTATACGCGCGGTTTGACAAGTGGAATGGTATAACCGGTGGTATAACTAGTTTGTGCCGATTCATGCCGGTTTAAAAAAATATGAAAGCAATTAATATCCAATGTATTTAATCATATATAAAACATATTTGTGGACAATTTAGTTACAATCCAACAAATATCATCATCTTTTAATTATTGTATTCATAAAATGAATAATAAATTAATTTTTTTATTCATTAAATTGATTAAAATGATGTCATTAAACTTAGAATACGTAAGTCGATCATACCGGTTTCATGACTGGCACAGCTTGAACCAGGTTCAACCGGGTGGCATGCCACCGGCATGACAACCATGATTGGAAGAGAAGAAGAGTGGCGTTGGGTCGGTTTTCGGTGGCTTTTTCATTAATTCTATTTTGAGTGAAATACTAATTTTTTATTAAAATTACGTGCATAATATTCTGATGAATATGACTCAAACTTTAGGGTGATAATGGATCTAATATAAAGTTGACCGCTAAGTTCAAGTAACTCATTTAAAACGTTCATGTGTGAACAAATTAAAACGTTCAAGACAACAATGTTTTTCCGAGTTGATAGGAATATGAGAGGAGTTTGTCTTTGTTTATTGATTGGTGAAATCTCGTATTCAGCAATGATGGTTCAAATACGGTTATTAAAAAGTTGCAGTCACGATATCTTCCTTCATATATGAGTGAATTATGCATGTTGGATCGTTGATCAATTGACCACATCATTCAAATTTCCGGCTTCATATCAGCATGCCCATTATCGTCCCGATTATTTGGGAATTTGATTTTTATTTGTGGGTTTTGAAAGTTTCGAGCCTATATCTCCAAAATTATCAAAAGTTTGGGATATAATTTTGCGGTATTATTCTCAATATTTGGGTATATTATGTGTTCTCTTGCATGTTTATACGGCATCAATTGCTTCGGTTGTTGTTTTGCCAAAATCCATCCTTTTGTAAAAGTTGTCCACCGGCACTCGGCAGAGCCGCTACCTTGTATATTGGCAGCGTCCCATATTTTGGAGCTTTTCGTATCCGGTTCAGTTGTGTTGATGTTGAATCTCAACCAATAGCAAAAGTGCAAGTGCAACGTCGAGAATCAAACTAAACCAATTAAACCACTTGAATATTCTTACGGTTTAGTTAATTAATTAATTAATTAATCGGCCACACTTAGACGTAAATTGGTTGGACGTTACGAAAATTATAAGAAGCGGGAACCTAAATTACGGATCTTAAGCGAGTCTTATAATAATGTGAATCAGTGAATGTGGTGGGATGCTCGGGAAACTCTTGTCTTTTTACGCGTTTGATAATCAAAAGCCATATCTAATAAATTCCAAAACAGTAAAGCACCATGGGTTAATTGCTTGTCGTGATTTTCACAAGTGCATGTATATATGTTCAAAACTATACTTTCCCTTAGCTTAGGGGTCCCAACAATATTATTTTGGAGGAGTTGGGAAACATTCACGATCGGGGTCCCAACAATATTATTTTGGAGGAGTTGGGAAACATTCACGATCTGATCGAGCTTGTATTGTTTGGAGAATTCACGATAAATTAGATATCACGTATGCCAGAAGAATTACTTGGATGGAGTTAAATTTGAAAGCTCTATATTATTTTTGAAGATATAGATAATGAATTTATAAAATAAACGGATTTCCAAATTGCAAATGGATTAAAGTTTAAAATCAAACAAGAGGTTGGTCTGAGGGTAATACAACTAATTTTGAACTCGAAGGTCTTAAGTCTGAATTTTTTAATCATATATCACTCTTATAAATAAATAAAAACTTATTTCCGGTCCTTTCAAAAATAAAAAATTGTTAGTATAAAAAAAATATTCCAGCGAATTGCAGAAAGCCCTTCCTGATAAACTGATTTGGCACTACTCGGAATCCGGTTTATACACTGTCAAGTCCGGCTATCATCTCCTTTCTTCTTAGTGAGATGATATGTTTGCTAGCCTCCCCCCTCAACTTAATTCCAAGTTCTGGAAGTGCCTTTGGAGCTTGCCTCTCCCTCTGAAACTGAAATTCTTCCTGTGGAGAGTTGTTCGTGGTTTCCTCCCTCTTTGTACAATACTCCAAGATAAGTCCTTGTGCCCCTCGCGCACCTGTCCTGTATGTTCGGCAACTGATGAGACCATTACTCACTGTTTTCTTGATTGCAGGATTGCAAGGGAGGTGTGGATGCTTGCTGGCAACAGCCATTTGCGACATGAACTGAGCCTTATTCCTACTGAATTCTTGTGGCCTCGTCTCTTCTTCTCTATGCAATTATCTAGGGATCAAATTGCAGAGATGGTGTTCATTGCCTGGCGGCTACGGAAGGGGTGATGTTGGTCAATCTATGACCATATCCAATACCTCCCTCCAACTCCTTTTCGTCAATTCCAGTCCCAAGTGGCGGAATGGCAGTTGGCCACCAACTCACCCCAACAGCAACATCCGACCCAGCGTCGTACTGCTGCCACCATCCACCTCCTTCAAGTCCATTAGGTGGCTTGCTGATGCGGTTCGATGGAGCTACCAGGAAGAATGAATGTGGCAGCATTGGTTTTGTGGGTATCTCATCGGGAGCTTCATTAGTCTGTGCTTATGGTAAAAAGTATCAAGGTTTGGATGAACCCTTCCTCCTTGAATTATTAGCTCTTAGAGATGCTATGAATTGGTGTTTAACTCATGGTTTTAATGCCGTTTGCTTTTGTGGATATTCACAATTGGTTATCCTCCAAGTTTCATCAGGTTCATCTCAGCATGGCAGAGGGGTGGGGGGTGATTCTGGAAGAGATTCTCATGCTGAAGTATGCTTTCTTCTTTGTTCAATTTGTTTTTTGTTGGGGGTGCTACAATTGAGGCCCAACAAACAGTGGACTGGGCCTCCAAACAACAGCATTGGGGGGGGGGGGGGGGAAGGCCCAGGAATGGATTTGTGAAACCCTTCTAGGCCCAAGCAAGGTGAGGGGCCCATGAGGACAAAACGCTAAAAGCCAAGAAGGGGAGCCAGGCTGTCAAGTGGTCCATCGCCAGCGGGCGCCTGCCACGCGGCAGAAGCCTGACAAGGTAGTTGGAATATCTGACAAAGAGGGTACAGGGCAAAAGCCAAGGGAGGTCAGACTGTCAAGTGGTCCACTGCCTGCGGGCGCCTATCACACGGCAGAAGCCTGACAAGGTGGTTGGGATGTCTGACTAAGAAAGTACAAGCCATTAAATGAGGCAATGACGTGGAGGAGATCAGCCTCGAACTTGGTGAGTATAAATAGGGGCAGTTGGTAGCATTTACATAGGTTGGATTCTCTCACTAAAACTCTTACTCTGGCATACTTCTCTCTCTAAGAAGCTAACTTGGGCGTCGGAAGATTAACGGGCCCAGGCGCCCCCTCCGTGTTCGTGTGTGTAGGCAGACGCCGATCGAAGGGAATTTGCGGGGATTCGAGTGAGGTGTCGCGGCTCAAACAATTGGCGCGCCAGGAAGGGGAATATAACCAGGAATCATGAGTGAGGAGGCGCCAATGAATGAAGAAAGAGAGGAAATTACTGAAGAACAATCTGGGCGGATGAGAGGGCAGACGCCCGAGATGGACGAAGGTGAGGAAAGTGATGGCATGTTTCGGGGGTCGGAAGGCGCCTCAGTCACAAAAAGGAGTTGTTTAGGATCATCGAAGATCAGGACGAGGCGATCGAGGCGCTTCGGCGGGAGGTCGACACCTTGAAGAGGGGCGAGGGGATGACGCCCAGCCCAACGAAGAAGAGGGAAAGAGTGGCGGAGACGGAAAGTGAGTCTGGATGTCTGAGCGCCTGGGATGGAAGCTTTGTCTGTTTGCGACGATATTCTTAGCTGACTCGAAGGAAGTGATGACGATTGCAAAGAGGAATCTAGAGAGAAGTCAGAGCGAAATCTAGAGAGAAGTCAGAGCAAAATTTTAGAGGGAAGTCAGTTTGTAGAAAGTGACAAGGACTGAGGAGGGAAGGGATATTTAAAGGAGAGGAGAACCCAAATCAAGGCTCGCGTTGCGCGCCACGTGTCAGTGTCACGGGTGGGCTTTTGAGCTCCCCCCACTTTTCTCTTTTTGGAGTTTCTCAAATTTAAATTTCGAATTTTATAATTTCGAAATCCGAAATTTAAAAAAATTTCCAAATTCAAGCAAGGAAAATGTGGGGCCAATATCAAACCCCCGCCCATGAGGGGGGCATAAGGGCTAGGGGCACCCCTCACAGAAAGGCGCCCACAAAGAACGAGGGAAAGGTACACAAAACAGAGGGCGCCCTCAAGGGTAGGGAAGCCAAGTAAGTCAGTCCCAAAGTGAACAGTGCGGCAAAGGATGGTCGATAAAAAACTCGGGCGCCGTAAAGACTGGCGTACCCTGGAAATCGGGCGCCTATAGACAAGGAGAAGGGCGAGACCACAACAGAAGAGTCAGTTAGGCGCTCAAAAGTGAAGCCATGAGCACCTAACTAGGGGACAATTGTTGGGGGTGCTGCAATTGAGGCCCAACAAACAGTGGACTGGGCCTCCAAACAACAGCATTGGGGGGGGGGGGGGGGGGGGGGGGGGGAAGGCCCAGGAATGGATTTGTGAAACCCTTCTAGGCCCAAGCAAGGTGAGGGGCCCATGAGGACAAAACGCTAAAAGCCAAGAAGGGGAGCCAGGCTGTCAAGTGGTCCATCGCCAGCGGGCGCCTGCCACGCGGCAGAAGCCTGACAAGGTAGTTGGGATATCTGACAAAAAGGGTACAGGGCAAAAGCCAAGGGAGGTCAGACTGTCAAGTGGTCCACTGCTTGCGGGCGCCTGTCACGCGGCAGAAGCCTGACAAGGTGGTTGGGATGTCTGACTAAGAAAGTACAAGACATTAAATGAGGCAATGGCGTGGAGGAGATCAACCTCGAACTTGGTGAGTATAAATAGGGGCAGTTGGTAGCATTTACACAGGTTGGATTCTCTCACTAAAACTCTTACTCTGGCATACTTCTCTCTCTAAGAAGCTAACTTGGGCGTCGGAGGATTAGCGGGCCCAGGCGCCCCCTCCGTTTTCGTGTGTGTAGGCAAACGCCGATTGAAGGGAATTTGCGGGGATTCGAGTGAGGCGTCGCGGCTCAAACATTTTTGCTCCTCGTACTACTAACATGGCTGCCCATTGCGTAGCAAAATCGGCCCTTGCATCGGCAGATCACCACTTGGTTGACTGCCACTTTTTACTTTCAAACCTATTGTAATTAGCTATTGATTTACTATCTATGACTAAAAAAAAAAAAAAGCAGAAAGCCCACCTATGGCAAAAAAATAAAAAAAAAATTGCACAAAGCCCACAACTCTGGTTTGGACCATTAGAAAACCGACTGAGTACTGGATCGACTGGCCCACGTAGAATAAGGTGCGCTAACTATCCAGTCCGACCCGATCTGGTAGCAGTCAGGGTTGCAATTGCCTTATTCGCCGATTGAAAATGGCAGTCTACTCATATAAAGCTTGAGGATTGACGAAGAGAAGACTGAAGCACTCTGTATCAAGAAGTGGGAGAAGTGAAAAGGAAGGAAGGAATCATAAACAAAAGCAACAAATAACGGGAAAGAAGCAAGCGGAAACCCACTGCAGGCACCGGGCAATTTAGAGACGAAAGCGGAAGCCATTAAACCTTGGATTCAAGCAAAATTCCTTTCTTCCTGCTGCGGGTTTTGCTCCAGAAAGTTTGCCCTTCGACACACGCCACAGCGATGGAGACGGCCAACGCTCAGGAGCTGCTCCGATCGAACCTCTCTAGGGTGCGCATACCGGAGCCCACGAACCGCGTCTACAAATCAGAGTGCTGCGTCTCCTTTGATAATCCGGTTAGTCTTTTTTTCCGTTTCTTGTCGTTCCTCCACTCCTCCTTCATTGTTCTTGTTTGGTTCTCTCTCGAGCCGGGAAGAATTTAGGTTGAGTGGTTTGCGATCGAGGCGTGGTTTGTAGAGAAATAAGTGTTTGCTTGGTACGGGAAAAACTCAGCTCACTCCATTTGCATTGTGCTTTGAGTGGTGTCACTGTTGCCACAGCTGTACTTCCAATGGGCTCCTCCATTTTCTCTGCTTCAGTCGCTTTTGATATCTGAGTAGTTTCTAGGAACACGGAGTAGAATTCCTGACGCTCAGAACATTTTGCATGGCTTCTTGGAGCTATCTTTTCTTCCTTGGGCGAGAGTGCTGCTGGCGTACATCAATTAGTGAAATCGGAGGGGGGAATATTTGGGTCTCATTCTGCTTAGTCACATGGTTTAATGGTCGAGCATGAAGGATATTCGTTGTCTCAATTACTCTGATTTGTGTAAGTTACTGAATTTTGTCTGTGATTCTGTTCTTATGCTCTAGAGGTCAGAAGGGGGGCTGTACATTGACATGAACACGTTTCTTGCTTTCGGGAAAGATTGTGTGGGTTGGAACTATGAGAAGACGGGGAACCCTGTTTATTTGCACATAAAGCAGACGAGGAAGTTGATTCCCGAAGACAGGCCTTCAAAGAAGCCAACCCTTTTGGCTATAGGTAGCAAATATGAGCATCATTTTTCCTACTTCTATGATGCTTCTGTCTCTTGAGTTCATATTTGTCTTGTGTGGCTAGGGCTTAGTTGTTTGGCGGATGCTGATGAATTCTACTTGTATATAGGTATTGAAGGTGGTTTTGACAACAATGAAGCTGAATATGAAGTAACTTACAGCATAGTAGTACTTCCTGGACATGTGACATTTCCATTCCCTTCTGTGGAGTTACCAGAGAAGGTGGTATTTTTTGCTATGGTTCAGGGCTTTTGCCAACTGTGAATTAGAGTCATAGTTCGAAGATCTAATATGGTACTCTTCGCTTGCACTTCTGCAGGTGATACTTGCTGCTGATGCCATTTTAAGGGCCGAAGGTGCAGAGCGAAAAGAGCAACTTGCTGCTTGGACCGCAGATACAAAGAAAGTTAGTGCGCATGCAATGGATTTGAAACAGATTAACAATGGTGTTGTTATTCCTCCGTCTGGTTGGAAATGTGTCAAATGTGAGAAAAGGGATAATCTCTGGCTGAATCTTACTGATGGATTCATCCTTTGTGGCCGGAGGAATTGGGATGGAACTGGTGGTAACAACCATGCAATTGATCACTACAAGGAGACAGGCCATCCTCTTGCTGTCAAACTGGGGACAATAACTTCAGACTTGGAAGCAGCAGGTAATGGCTACTTGTGTTTTGAAAAACGCAGTATTTATCTTATATTGAACTCCTTACTTTGTCGCTGATTCTGGTTTTTGCCTTTTGGCATCCTCAAAAATTTATTCTCTTTTCACTCTTGCTTTTTCCTTCTCTGTTTTTTTTTTTTGGTGAATCGTGCCCAATAGGAACTCATCTAATAATGACCTTGTTACTAAGCTATGATTGCGAGGAGATTAAGAAATGGATGAATGCGGAGGTGGTTAAGAATATATGATATGGTTGGATAGACGGAAGAACAGCAGACTGTAATTTCAGTTTTGAGGTCAGGCAGTGGAAGTGAAAATAAGTTTGATGTTGAGTCGGCTCTGGCCTTCTGTATAACCTAATTTCATGGCTGCTTGCATCTTGGATGACGTACAGTTAAGCTGATTATACCAGTTAAGACTTCTTTGTGGTCTTCTGTTTTATTTATAAAATTTAAAATGTATTTTTCTGAGATCAAAAGTTGGTCCATGGGATGCAGCTGCCGAAAGCAGTAACTTTTTAAGTTGATTAGGATGATCCTATCAATGATCATCAGTAGTCATCATAGAAGATAACCTTGTATCATAATTGCAATGAGTTTTCATATTTGAAGGCAAGCACTTGGATTCATCAAGACAGCCGGGACTGATTTGAATGGCTAGCACTGCTTGCATTAGATATTCAATATTTGTTGTGACATTGATTGTTCTTTAAACTAATGCTGGCTAACGAATTGTGGCAGCTCAGATGTATTCTCTTACCCCGAGGATGACAGTGTTTTGGACCCACTTTTGGCGCAACATTTGTCCTTTTTTGGAATTGATTTTTCATCCTTAAAGAAGGTGAGGAGCTGCTTACTTTTTTAGTAATTAATTCTGTAAATGGCTTTTGTTTTTTCAATATTTGAATTCAGAATTTGTTTGACCAGGATAGTATGTGACCAGTAATTTCCAGGCCTAGTTGGTCAATATTATATAAAAGTCAAGTCCATACTATTCTTTGGTTATCACACTGCTTCTCATGTTGGGCTACGGTCTATGTTTCACGGTCTTCTTTGCAGACAGAAATGACAACTGCTGAAAGGGAACTTGACCAGAATATCAATTTCGATTGGAATCGAATTCAAGAAAGTGGGCAGGATTTAGAACCTATCTTTGGTCCAGGTTATACAGGACTCGTGAATCTTGGTAATAGGTAAGTTTTTATCTGTTAGTTAAGCTGTGTCCTCGGTTAACACAGTTGAAGATGATTTTCATACTAAACTGTTGTTCTGCTGGCAGCTGCTACATGGCAGCAACTATGCAAGTTGTGTTCTCTACACAGTCCTTCAGTTCACGGTTAGTCTTTAGTTGTGAAAATTTGAGAAGCACCCTCTTTATTCCCATCTCTACTGCAGTTTCTCTAATGTTTCTTCCCTATTTGATTGCTACTGTTTTCGTGACTATATTACAGATACTACAAGAATCAAGCTTTGAAACTAGCATTTGAGACTGCTCCTTCTGACCCGACGGTGGACTTGAATATGCAGCTGTAAGCAAATTGTACAATTATCCTTGCCACGTTTTCTCTGAGACATTTCTTTGTCTTGATGATTGTTAGCTATGATGTTGATGAACACATTGTCTGTTGTAACTGGGATCATAATGTGTCCGTTTGTTTGGATAAATGTACAAGGTAGGTTTGACTGTGGTCATAGAAGGTTTATCCCACATAGAAGGTTTAATCCTAGAGGTAGGATATAACTGGGATTAAACCTTCTGGTGTAACTGGGATCATAATGTGTTCGTTTGTCGATAAACACATTTTCTCTGAACGCTGTTGCCTAAACGTTTCCTTCTCTATATCCATTGTTTATGGAATCTTGTGAAATTTCCATATGTATTTTCGAAGTAATATGGTTGAAGCTGTGTTGAGGTGCCTAATTTATTGATGAAATGCATTGGGGGTGCGTGTGTATGTTAATGCATTTGTCATATTGCAGCACAAAGCTGGGACATGGTTTATTGTCTGGGAAGTATTCTGTTCCTGCACCAGAGGTATGTGAAATTGAAGCTATTTGATATTTAATATATTCCTAGTTTCTCTCTCTGAAATTTACCCTTCTCCTCTTCGTAACTCAGGTAGATGATATCGCAGATTCTGCAACCTCCGCTAGTACGGTAAGTTTCCCTTTGCATGGGATTCTTCTAGTGGTTGTGTTATTGTTTTTACCAAGCTGTATTCTTGACTTCATATTATTATCAAGATGCTTGCGTTTGTAGAAATTTTCCTAAATCAACTATGAAACCAATTGCAATATAATTTTGTTCAGTTTTGCTAATGATATATCAAAAGCATGATGTTCTCTCTTTTATTTGTCTCCTTGAGGTCTTATCATAACTTATTCCGTTCTTCCATTGCCAGAGCTGTCGTTTCTCTTCCTTGTTTCACTCTTTTTTGTTGCCATTTCAAAATATTAGAAACAAGAAGGAATACCTCCTCGCATGTTCAAAGCGGTCGTTGCTGCAAGTCATCCTGAGTTTTCTTCAATGAGGCAGCAGGTATGCTTACTGTAATACGACTCTGTATGAATATGGTTGAGTATCAATTATTCTGAAACCCCAACAGAATTCGAGAACTCTGTCTCTTGAAATTTTGGAGTCTTACTATTTTTGATGAGCTGATTGGGAAGATGGAAACTCGTATTTGGAACAATGGTCTATATGGGGGATGTTATGTGTACAGTATTAGTTTCGTGTCCATGAACTTATCTGTCAAGTGCTCACACTGATTATTATTGTAGGATGCATTGGAATTCTTCCTACATTTTCTTGACCAAGTTGAGCTTGGGAATGTTGCGAAACCTGATGCTGATCCTTCAAGGAGTTTTAAGTTTGGTATTGAAGAGCGTATCCAATGTTCTTCTGGAAAAGTTGCTTATAACCGAAGGCACGATTATATTCTTTCATTGAATATTCCCTTGCATGAAGCTACTAATAAAGGTAATATTCAATTTGTTTCTTCTTTCTCACGGGATTGCTTCTATAAACACTTTGGGTGACGAGTTTAAATTTTTTTGAGTTCAGAAGAATTAGAAGCCTTCCACAAAACTCAAAAAGATTCTGAAGGGAAAGATGTGTAAGTATACATCCTATGCTTATATCGTTTATTCTTGTATAGTTGTCAGGTTTGTACTTAGAATATCTAATTTTTTTAGATCCAGCAACGAAATAGTACGCCCACGAGTACCTTTAGAAGCATGCCTGGCTAACTTTTCAGCTCCGGAGGAGATACAGGATTTTTACAGCACTGCTTTGAGGGCTAAGACCATGGCTATAAAGTAAGCTATGCTCTGGTTCCGGACTCTTTCTGAGACATGTTAATTTTGATGACTTCTTCATGGATTTTTCATCTCAACTATATTTTTATCTCCTGTTCCAGGAAAGCTGGTTTAACTTCATTTCCTGATTACTTGGTGTTGCACATGCGTAAATTTGTTATGGAGGAGGGTTGGGTTCCCAAAAAGCTAGGTATAATTATGTCATTTTATTCCTTAAAAATGCTCACTTTTGGCAGCCATTAAATTACTGGTTCCCTTATCCATATCGCATCAAATTTGTCCATGCAGATGTCTACGTAGATGTACCCGACATTATAGATATAAGTCACATGAGAAGCAAGGGCCTTCAACCTGGGGAGGAGCTTTTGCCTGATGGTGGTATGCCTCTTCCTGGATCTTTGCTCTGTTTTCTTTTTCTTTTCCTTCTGTGGATGTAGGCTGTAAAAAGTGACATTTTATTGGAATTAAACTTAATCCACTCTTATTTCAGTTCGCTATGTTCAGATCACTATTGTTGTTCGCCATCTGTTATGAAATGGATATAAGGATAGCACATAATTTAGAAGAGTTCCCTATTACTATACAGCATGGGAACTTGAGATGATCTACTTACTTCTTATACATAACTTCCCATGATGCATAGGCCCTGAGACTGAGGTAGAATCAAATGAAGTTGCAGCCAATGATGATATTGTCGTCCAGCTTATGTCGATGGGTTTTGGCCATATTCCTTGTCAAAAGGCTGCAATAAACACACTAAATGCTGGCGTAGAAGAGGCAATGAATTGGTTGCTTTCTCATATGGATGACCCAGGTATATGTATAATTTGATTGATGGAGCAACACTTTCTTGGCGAAGAGTCATTTTTCCAGTAATGTGACATGAGTTGTGTAACAGATATTGAGGCTCCAATTCCCAAAGGTTCACAAGGAGGACCTGGAGTTGTTGATCAGTCGGCAGTTCAGACCTTGATCTCATTTGGATTTGAAGAAGAAGTGGCTAAGAAGGCACTGAAAGCTTCGGTAATATTTGGATGCTGTGACACTATTTTGTGAAGAGTGATTACATTTGACAACTTTTGTTCACAAAATAGAACTGGATCATTAAGTACTTTTTCTTATTTGTAAAATTCTCAGGGTGGTGACATTGAGAAAGCTACAGATTGGATATTCAACAATCCTGGTGGCTCTGGCTCATCTGACATGGATACTACTACTTCAAGCAGTACACCTACAACTGATACTACTGCTGGCCTACCTGATGGAGGAGGGAGTTAGTTTCTCAACCTCCTTCCTGTCATTTCTCTCTTCTCTAGCACAATTTATTGCAATGGTGGATTTGATAAAACAATCTTTCTGCAAATACACCTGACATGATAGCACGCAATTGACACAAATTATATCTAGTCAGAAATACATTTAGCCAAACACTCCCTTTTCCCCCACCTAAAGGAATATAGTGTTTTAGGATGTCTTTCTTTGCCTCATGTTCTTCTGAGTCTCGACCTTAGTAAATTTGATGCCTCATTACCATTAGGTGATTTTAAGGGGATATTTAACTCAGATTTGTTTCCGTTGTTTGCAGAATACCGACTATTTGGAATAGTTTCACACATCGGAACCTCAACACAATGCGGGCATTATGTTGCTCATGTTCTGAAGGACGGAAGATGGGTGATTTTCAATGACACCAAGGTCGGGGTTTCTGTGAACCCACCAAAGGACATGGGCTACTTGTACTTCTTCGAGAGGATCAACAACTGAAATCTGCCTGCAAGTTTTTCTGACTTTAGGGTCGTTATAATCTTTCAATATCAGATCAGGATAGAGAGGAATGCCTTTTTTAACTTGGTAAATTCTGTTGGATAGGCAAATGCGTCACGGCATCGTGTGGCTGTGAGTTCAAACTCAGCTTTGAAACTGCAAAATTTGCCCTTGTGGCTAGAGCTTTGCTGCTGCTGCACTACGCCACTACCCCTCTTGGGTTCTTTTTCTCGTCCGTACATTTTACTGGGGAGAATGTAGTTGGCGCCTGGGAACTCTTGTTTGTGCTGGAATTCTTTCGCTGTGATTTAATTTGTCAAATCGAGCTAGTGAGCGATCATTGTCGAGATCTTTGGTGAACTGTGCTGCGATGAGTGTCAATTCTGCATCTCTCACTGTTTGCTGCTAGTCATTCCATGTCTGGCGGTCAACTTTCGATCAATACTATAACAGAACACTTTTCCCTTGCTCAATTGCTTACAATTCTCCCGTAGTGGTAGGTTCATGTGACACTGTACAATCTATGGACAATGATGGTGGAAGTTGAGAAGTTGATTGCCTACTGCCTAGGCATCACGACGGCTGTATTGACCTATGATCTAGAACATGGGAGACTAGCGTCTGTTCTCCCAAGACGCCATTCGTAAGGTGAAATCTGACGGATTAGGACCTTGACATAAAGAGTGCTGGAGGGGTTGTGCAATGGATCACTGCTATGTAGTATGTGCTATCTAGTACATGAAATGGAGATCCTAATGAACGCATTGAACGGATTATATAGTGACGGAACAGAAGGTCGATAACATGAAGTGAAGAAACTGCCTGTTCCTCATGTTATTCAGTTCTCTCATTACTAAGGGTCTGAAAAAATTTACACTGGTTGGTCAGTCCGCAGAATCATACAGAACAAGACCAACCGGGTCGTCTGAAAGGAAGAAATACAGTTGCATGCCATTAGCGTCTTGTATAGACTGATTCATATGTTCAACAAATTATTCTTCCTATCTACGAGGCATTCTAGATCGTACATGAAAAGCAAGCTAGCAAAACTGAGTTTTGAGAGCAAACCGGCTGGGGAAAATTTAAGGTGCCATTAGCCCTTCAATTGTATAGGAGAGCGACTCTGCCCAGTCTACTTTGAACAGCAACGTCTGCAGAGTGCGTAAGGTGTTGTAGGTGGAATCGAGCTTCCTTTGCCACCCCTAAAGCCACAACAAGGGAGGGAGAGAGTGAGATAAGAAAGATGAGTAATCGCTATATGCCTCGTTAGCTAGCACAGTGCAGATATTGGCTCTGAAACAACGGAGTCAATTCAAGAAATCAAATACTCACAATTGCAAACTTACGCAGAAGGTTCAAAGATTAAATTATACCTCAAGTACCAAAGTAGTTACTATCACAGTGCAAACGTGGCCATCAATGTTAACCTTATGACGTCTAACAGACTCGAGCAGCTGCCGCATGCAATCAGCAGGCTGAAATGCTTTGCCATCAAGGGAGGAGTCCCAGAAGCTGAATAATTTATCAACTTCCTGGTCAACCAATAACCAACACTTCTGTGAATACAGGAAGAAGCTCATAGAATATATTTGCAGTCAGAACATAGTACTTTGGTTTGCAGGGATCGTAATGAAAATACAATTCAGTGGTTTCTGGAATACATGGGGATTCGAACACAATGTTTGCGAACAAACCCAGGCAAGATGGATGATGCATTGTTAAAAATTTCACAATCAAAGGGAACAATCTCAGATTCACATTTGGCAGTACTGCGTGAAATGATAATCAAGCATGCAAAAATCAATCAGAAGAGGCACATAACAGGCAGGAATTCAACTTTGAAGAGTGACAAATATGCTCTAGACAATTATGATGATGATCAATGTTTTCACCTCGATAAAAGTGCTGGGATCAGGGCAATGCTGCTTTTTAGATAATCTAAGAGTGCACTCTGCAGCAGTTCGCCCGTCTTGAATGGCAACTGCTTTGAAGAACTCTAGCAAATTAATTCGGTCCCTCCTGCAAAGTTCAGCAGTCATTCCCACATCTAGGAAGACAACCTGAGGCTTTGGTCCAAAAAGCGGAGGTGATGATGTCCCAGTATCCATTGGCCGAACAAGAACATTACCAGGATGCATGTCTGCATGGACAAAATTGTCCACCTAACCCAAAAAAAAAAAAAATGAAAAGCCTAATATTTTTCGATTATTCCAACTCGACCCTCGTTGACAACTACAGCCAAGGGTCTTCGTTTAAATCAGCATGCAAGCAGAATTTTTATTATGTTCAAACTGAACAGGCTAAACAGCAGAAAATGTAATCTTCACACATTAATGAGTGCATTGAAACGTCCCAATCCACCAAAATCCCTAAACCAGCAAAGAGATCAGTAACAGCTTTTCTTAGGTTATTTCACCAGAGGGAATACAAGATGCAACAAAAGACAATCACTACCAGGGCTTCCATGTAAAGATATTGCATTTAAATCAGTTGACACAAAAAATAAACCATTATACGAGAAGGATACCAGAGCAAAATTTTCATAAAAAGGGTTCCAGGAAAAAGGGGAGATCATAAAGTTGTACCAGAAGCATTTTGAGAAGGGCATGTGTCCCGATGTGAGCCAGAGCACTTTTAACTCTTTCATCCCCTTCAAGCCCTTCGACATAACGCACAATACTTTCCCCTCTTTCATATGTTTCCACAAGAACAGCTGGATGAACGAGAGGGTATAAAGGTCTTGGGAATGCGACATCCTTCCAGTTACGAAAGTTATAGTTAAAACGGCTCAAATTTGCAGCTTCTCTTGCAAGATCAACTTGAGACATCATGAAGACAGCAAACTGTTGCACACTTTCATCCAGTCTCAACCATCTCAACGTAGGGATGAAATTGGAAACTTTAGCAACAAAATTTATCAATATGAAGTCTCTTCTTATTGATTGACCAACATATGGGTGTCTAACCTTAACTGCCACCACAACAGGCTCAACCTCCTCACGACCAGGATATTGGTATTTCACAACAGCACGATGAATTTGAGCAACACTTCCAGATGCTATAGGTTCCTCCTCAAACTCTTCAAAAATATCAGAAAGCCTGCGTCCAAATGCCCCTTCAATGGTATTTTTTGTGATTGAGAAACTATGTGCTGGTGCTTTACTGTGAAGTCTTGTGAGTTTAGAACACAGGTCCTTGGGAAAAAGGTCTGGCCTTGTTGCAGCCCATTGGCCCCATTTAATGAATGCTGGACCCGCCTTTTCAAGTGTCAGACAAACAATATCAAGCCAAGCTTTCCTGAACTCGGTTCCAAGGGAATCTGCAAATGGGGCCATAGCCAAACAGGGCAAGAACAACACTCCTAAGTAAAGAGCTCTTATTAACAAGATAATGCCTTCCAAAACACTTAACACCAAAGAAGCCACAAATATATGCCCATGGTAGATGGGCGTGCACAGTGAATTCTCTGACCAAAATGCATCAGCTTCTGCAGTTTGTCGACCCCAAACTAGCTCTCTTATTATGAAGGCAATAATACTTGGAGCAACCAAATTAGATCTCACCAGAGACAGGCTTATGGCACCAGCTGCCTTAGTTAAGGGAGATAAAGCCGACGACGCATTGCTAGCACACACTTGAGAGAACCTCTTCCATGCAAACTGGGCATGGTTGGAAATATTCCCTGAAGTGCATAATGAATAGAAACGTCTACAACCACTATTCTTATCAAAGTTGTGTATTAATCTATGCCTTATCAAATGGGCATCTCCTCCAATTGAATGTTTATGCCGATAGTACAAACTCCACCGGAAGAATGGAACTTCCCCATGGGAATAAGCTCCACCGTAACTCAATCCTGTGGAGCTAATACATTTGTTCAGTAGTAAAGACTGTCGAACTTTCCTAACATATCCAACAGCAACGGATCTGCAATTACAAATACACAGAAGATTAAGACCAAAACCCCTAAAGCTAAAACCGTGAAACCACATCAAACACCCAACCGAGAGCTGCTAACGATGATTTAGTGCAAATTCCAGATATGAAATATGGACTGGGAAGATGCTCAGTTCCCAAGTTCATGGAAACGGATTGATTTCTACGTTTCCTCTACCCATAATCATGAAGAGTGAATTAAGAATATCAGCAATCAAAACCAAACAAACTGGAAAAACTCCATTGCTTGTAGCGAAAGAAGTCTTGTATGTATAATGAATTCAAAGCTCGCACCTTGACATGGCGATTGCGATTTTTGGGACGACGGCGGCCGGCGTGCGATCTCGGGGACACTAAGGAGATACGAGGCAGTATTGAGCATTTCTTACGAGAAAGCTCTACGGGAAATCGGCGATGTACTAATCACACCGTTGGTTTGAGGAACGAAGCAGAAGGCAGCTCAGCCCTTGCGGTTGGTGGAAGCGGCGGGTGCGGTGTGGTCCGGTGAGGCATATAGCCGTTGAGGTCGGCTGACGGCGGCGTGCCTCGGATCCTTTGAGTCGCAGGAGGAAGGATACGAAACGATGGATGCAAAAACTCTGCGATAATTATGTGTGAACGGATAATTGGGGATTTATGAAATCCTTCCGAGCTCCGAAACCTCTGGATTGTGAAACGGAAGATATTAGGGACTGCATTTTGACGCCATGGTTTCTTTCTAACAATGACGGCGGCACAAAACTAGGAAATGTTTTTTGTTTTGTTTTGTTGTTGTTGTTGTTGAAAAGTGAAGGAAAAGGAAAATGGTGAGAGCTAGCTGATTAGGGATTAGGGATGGCAACAAAACTCGAATCTATAGGTACCCACCCAACCCAACCTAACCCGGTCAACGTGGGTAAAACCCGTGTTGATAGGTTTTGGGCCTGGTTTGGGTTTAAACCCGCTACACTATTCACCGGATCGGGTTGGGTTTAGGTAAACCCGTCCCATGGGTACCCGCCTACACACATATAATTACTTTCCCGGTATATTTAATATTCTAAATAATATATCTTTCTTAAACAACTAATATTCTATATGTTTGTGGAGACATGTATAATTTGTTCTTTCTAATTGTTTAGAATGAAGTTGATATTATGAAGTGGAGAGTGAAGAAACCTAGTTGACGAGGAAGAAGCTTTCAATTAATCTTATTGTTTATATATGTTTATCTTTAATTTTGAATAATTTGTATTGATCATTTGCGCTTTGCTTGTATGCTCTAGATTGTTTTTTTTGTATGTTTAATTTGTATGAGAAAATTGACGTTAAACTTTTATTTTGAAAGAAACTTGTTATTGTAAATTTTTACCACAAAAACCCACGGGTACCTATGAACCCGCGGATACCCAGCGGGTTGGGTTGGGTTTGAGTTTTTCAAACCCAACGGGTTTTACCCCGGGTTTTTTTGGCGGATAAACCCATGGGTTTGGGTTTGAAAAAACCCGACCCAACCCGACCCATTGCCATCCCTATAGCTGATTCCTATATACCCGCGAAATGGTCCATGAAACCGTACCGGAGATCGTACCGAAAAGTCAGCGGTAGGGTATTTTATGACAAAATCGTGATTTTACCGTAGTTTAACCGTTAGTAAAGTTAAATACCGCATACCGGTTTAGCATTCGATACTGGTATTTTGTGGTTGAACCGCCGATACGGTACGATTTCATGGACTATGTATTTTCCTGAGACCTAATTTGATTCTTTCCCAGGTTGGAAAGACCATTGTGGTACTAAACGTCGTCTTTAGTTTTGGAGTGGGGCTGCTTGGGAGGTAGTGATGGCAATTTCAACCCGCCTCGCGGGTATTACCCGACCTGACCCGCGATGGGGCGGGGCATGGGTATCTACTTCCGACCCGCCCTGCCCCGCCCCGTTCTAGACTCATTTTATCTCAATTTCTTACAATTTCTATACATATTTCTCTTATTTTGACTTTTCTTCAACTAGTTAGAGTCGCTCTTTCAACTTGTTAGACTCAATTACCCATTCTATTATCACTATTTTTCATTCTTAAAGTGTTTTACCCTTCGTTTTATCGTAAAAAGTAAAATTTACTTGTATGTTTTCGAATAACATGTAAGAGTGATCGACCCGCCCCAGCCCCGTACCCGCGCGAGTTTTATCCGCCCCACCCCATAATAGCGTGGGCGGGACATGGGAATTGAAGTACCCGCCCCATTGCAATCGCTACTCGGAGGTGGGAAATATCAGTCACTCTAGGGCTCTTGGCTGGGGCCTGGAAATGGTGTTGTGGCCCGGCCCAACCATATTGTTTTTAAAAGGCCCGCTCAGTTGTTGTTGATTTGGTGCGAACTGGAATGTGTTTCTTCAGCTGAACAACATCTCTGCTTGGCGTCTCTACTGGATTTCTCTGCTCCGTCGCCTCGGAGAAGGAACACAACGAAGGCCTTTTCTAGTAAGTCTCTATCCACTGTTCTTCTCTAATGCCTTGCTCCGTGTACAGGATCATGAATTTCGATTTAACTTCACTTTCTGGCTCACTGAACTGCCGCTGCTTGTTTGTGAAATACGGCGCTGCCGCTGCTACTACTTCCTTTGTTTCCTTGCAATTGCTTCTTTCGTCTGTGTTTGCTTTGTTTGAGGAGTCGGTCTTCCTTGCCATTACCCTTGAATTCCTCACTGAGATAACCAGTAGAACTTCATCGAGTTATATTTAGGGCTTTGGAGAAATACAGCCGAAAATTGGAGAATTAAATTGAAAGTAGTGGCTTGTCTATAGCAGTAGCCAGTAAGTAGGGGGGAAAAGTCTTGTACTTGACTGTTGGGTTCAGTGTTTCATTCTGTTGCTTGGAAGGTATTTTATTTTTGGCAAGATGAGTACTTTCTATTGACATGTAGACTCGTGTATTTATACTTCATATGTTGATGTTGGTGCTTTGTGTTTTGATACTTCATATGTATGTATAAGCTATGTTCAAAAGAGAAATGCTAACTTTGATTTGTTTGGCATCTTTCATATTGATAGTGTAGAGTCTGTAGACTCATGCAAGCTGCAGTTTTGGGAGTTTGCACTCTGTGTACAGCCTGTTTGGTTCAATTGTTCCAGTGATTACTTATGAGAATCTAAACCTGTTCAATCTCAGAGTCTAATCTTAACAATTCTGAAACACTGCATCCGTCCTTGCCTCACCATCCACAGTATATTCCTCATGAAACTTAAGGAAGCATGAACTTCCGTCCCATGGTTTCCAAGTTCATACTTGTCCCTACTTCTCACCTTTCTCTAGCCAGTTTTCCGCCAACAAACCATTTCTGTCATTTCCCCAGACTTGCTTTCTCCAGATGCAGTCCTGCTCTCTTCTCCAGAACCAATACTGATTCCCTTCCTTATGGACCATCTCTTTTAAAGGGCAATCTCCCACCCTCTGATTGCTCACAAGAGAAGGAACAGCATCCTTGCCAGTGTAAGGGTAAGGAGGAAGAAGAAGAGGATGACGACGGTGTGATTGATAAAGAGGGCTTTACTAGGGTGTTCGACATAGCAGCAGTTCGGGTTCCTTCCAAGTACTGTTTTGTTCTTGAGAGTAGAATTCGAGGTCATTTGCTGAATTGGCCTAGAATTCGCAACATTGCTAGAGTTCCAGGTGATGAGGTGGAAGAGGAAGTTGTCCCTTTGTTAGGAGAGTCTCATAGTTGGAGCGGAGATGAAGAAGCAGGTAAGCTAACTTCTCTGCAAAGGAGAATTCATGGGAAAGCAGAGGTGGATGGCGAGGAATTGAGTCCAGTTCTGTACAGGGATAGATTGGCCAAGGAATTTAATGCGAAGGGTTTTGTTAAGTTTAGGAACTTGGCAAAGATTTCACGGCCTAAGAAGACGAAGGTGAAGCAGAAGGAAGGAGGTAGAGGTGGACAGGGAGAGGGAGAGGGAAGACATGAAAACAATGAGTTTGCAATGTTGGAGGTTGTGGAAGAAGGCATTGGAGATGAGTGGAAGGGCTTGTTAGGGGACGAGTTTAATGGAAGGAAGAGATGGATGGGCTCAACAAGGCTTTTGCTTTTGGATGAGAGATATGCCAACAAGACATTGGAAGGGTTGCCCCAAGCTGTCAAGGTTGCTTTCATTTGAAACTCAGTGAGTTATTGCTTTGATTGTACATTACTGTTATGGCAGTGGAATGCATTTGTCCCAGTTCCTCCATGAGATTTTTGAGGCATGGTCTCAAAATGATTGATCATCTTCTATCTCTTTTAATGTTTTGCATATGTTGTTCGAGTTTGACAAACTGATTGCTTGGTGCTCAGTGTTCTCTAAATTTCATCTTTGTGATGATGCCAAATTTCACATTCTGTCCATGTACATCTTTCAGGCTGCACTGGAAGAAGCTATGAGCGAGAACTTAGCACATTCATTTGAGCTTGTTAGATGCAAGCTGACTTTGTTCTATGATTACTGGCTTATGAATGAGGTACTCATTCATGTTCTTTGAAAGTTTCAATTCCTTCGTTGCTAGACTACTTCAGCTGATAAGCATGAGCTTTGTTAGTGGTTGTCCATGGATTAGTTCAGCTTTGTGTAGATATGATATGAGTAACACAAACTAGACAAGGTTGATTGACAATATTTAAGCTTCAGAAGAAATGTTAACTGAAGTAAAAACCAACATCAGTGCCTTGAGTTCGAGCTTTACTGCTGCAGAACTTTTTTATGCATGTGTATTCATTAAATGTATCCAATGCCGTGGTTGCCGATTTCTGTAAGTTAGTCCGTTGGTATCTAATGTGTCTCATCAAGCATTGCCTAAATGGCAGCTTGATGCATTGTAACTGGTAGGAGTGACGGACCCTAGGAAGCTCTAACGACCAACTTCTTGCAGATTTTAGAGGCCTTGCTCCCGAAGGATATGATTATTCCATCTGCATTTGAAACTGTCGGCCATATTGCACACCTGAACCTGAAAGAGGAACATATACCATATAAGAAGATTATAGCAAAGGTGATTAGCCTTACATGTAATTCCTTATTTAGTATATTGATGTTATTTATGAAATGAGAAAACAATTGCAGATATTTTCTCACGGTTAACTTGCTGTTCTGCAGGTTATTTTGGATAAGAACAAACCAAAGATACAAACAGTAGTGAATAAGGTTGATGCCATAAATAATGACTACAGAACTATGCAGCTTGAAGTCTTAGCGGGGAATCGCTCTCTTGTCACGACGGTAGTTGAGAATGGATTGAGATTCCATGTTGATTTAGCTACAGTGTAAGATTTCTTGCTCTCTTCAGAATTTATGTTCTTCGTAACATAATATTATTTCCCTAATGCTTTTGTGCTTTGAGACACCACATGTTATCTTCAGGTTAATTTTGCTTTCATATACTCCTTTGAGCTTCAATTGTGGTCATGTGTAGTGTGCACTTGATTTGTAAGTTATAACTTGCAGTAGCTTATGTATTCCTGTTTGTGTTGAGGGCTCAAATTCAAATTCTTGTACCTTGCCTGTCATTTTAGTTTGTGGGCATGAGTTTTCAGGAGTTTCCAAACGGGTGGGTCAATTGTATATCTCCATGTATCATTTATTCTTCAGTACTAAAATATTTTCTGATGTTCTCTAGCCATTGAATGCTGTGCACATTGTATTGCACTTTTCTGTAGACATCAGAAACCCCAGTTTCTTTAAGTCTCCACCATGGTTCTCATCTTAATAATCAAGTTAGAATCAAATCTACTAAGACAGACGACACCCTTTCATTTTCATGCAGGTATTGGAACTCCCGGCTTGCAACCGAAAGACAAAGACTTCTGCAGGGATTTACACACAAAGATGTTCTTTGTACGTCTTAATCCTTATATAAAATCCAAAGCACCTGCACAACCTGGTTTCTGTTTCTCAGTGTCAGAGATTCTAGATTAACTATGTCTTCCTTGCCCATGTTCTTGAAGGACAGTTTTATTTGTTTCTTGTACCTTGTTCTTCAATATGTCTATGGTCTCTAATTCAGTTTTACAGATTTCACTTCCATTGTACTGATGAGATTTTCATTCAAACTACATAATTTCTACTGGATAGGTGACGTCTTCTCTGGTGTTGGTCCGATAGCTATATCTGCTGCAAGGATAGTAAGACGGGTTTACGCCAATGACTTGAACCCTTATGCAGTTGATTACTTGGACAGGAATAGTGTTCTCAACAAGCTTGAGAAGAGGATTAAGGTACGGCATAACTGACCCTCATGCATCAATTAAGCTAATAATTTCACCTCTTCCGTGGTTGTTAGAAGACTCTGGCAAGTGCAGCAATTCAAAATGTTGCTTGCTGATTCTGTGTCATCTGTCATGTTTAATTTGGTTTAGGGCATACTTGCAATCTCTTGCTTTGTTTTTGTTTCTGGTTTTAATGAAGAGTGAAGGTCATGCTTTTGGAAATGTCTCCTAGAGCATTGACTGGGCGAATGGTGTTTTTGAACAGAGTCTTGTCCTGCGGAAAAAGGTAAAGGAACACCCTTTTCAATTTGGAAGGAGGTCCTCCCCAAATTTATAATGAGCTTTCTAGCAATATGTAGTTCGATCCTGTGAAAGTTCATGAAGTAGTTGAAATTATTATTACTTGTTTCTTAACGGAAGATGAATTTCTCATTCGTCTAGGTTTTCAACATGGATGGGAGAAGGTTCATTGATGCTATGTTCACGAGTGAGAAAGCTCAGTCAATCACCCAGGTGGTCATGAACTTGCCTAAAGATGCAGTCGAATATCTAGGTGTGTTAGTACACATTCCCTTCAACCTTGTTACTTGCACTATGATTGTCTTCTTCAATTCATTTATCAAGTACTTCCACCACAGCATTTATCAAGCTGAGCAAACCCAGTAACCATATAACTTTGACTGGCGTTTCAGAATGTTTATGTGGATCCATGTATTCTGGCAGATGCTTTCAGGGGTGTATTCAGTGATAAAAGATTGAAAGAAGATTATACTTTCCCGACAATCCACGTCTATGGATTCTCCAAAGCTAAAGATCCCGAATTCGACTTCCACGAGGTATGTGCATCTATTTCAGCTCTAATGAAAGGGAAACATGAACCTCGTATTAGATGTCTGTTTCATGGCTTATAAATTTGTAATTGTATGGCATTTTATTATGGACACAACAGAGGATAAGAATGGCACTGGGAGAGGTGGGAGTGAATGTCGAAATGCGGAAGGTTCGCCTTGTTGCCCCTGGGAAATGGATGCTGTGTGCTTCCTTCGTTCTTCCTGCTTCTGTAGCATTCACTGCTACTGATACACAACATTAACAGCATAACAATAACAATAGATCAGCATTAGGTTTTACTTATTTGTTGCACAAAAATTGGAAACTCTGCTTAGGGACTCAAATGCCAAATGTATGCATGCCATACTGCTTCCGTCCCCATGGATGCTGTCTTCCTTCTAAAATCGTTGCTGTTGTTTTTCGAATCTACGTCTCCTTGCAACAGGGCGTGGTGTCGTGGTTAGTCACCTCGTTCTTTAGCGATTCGACTGCTGATTGTAGCTTATGGGTATCAGGGTATGTAGCAATCTGGGGTTTGGGGTTTTTTTTTTCTGTTTGCATTTCCACTTGCCCTGCTCTGGCAAATTTCAGCCATCAGTCAGAATCAAATTAATATGAACAAGGATCCAGGGTAACCTAGGATGTCGAATGTAGAATCCAATTGTTTTGTATGGGCAAGTGGTTTTTGAGTCTATATTTTCCTCGCAGATTCCTCCGTGTGTTCCAAGAAAAGTTGGTATAAAACAGGCAATGATGAAGAAGGAAAAGAAAAGATCCTTGACCAGGGGAAAGTAACGGAAAAGAAAAATGGCTTGAACCAGAATACGCCAATACCATGGACTGCACCATTTTCCTGCCGGCCGTTGCACGCACAGTCAGCCCATTGTTTTTGGCTTTCTCCTCCTTCTCCCACCAATCCCACGGCTTTACCGAAATTCACTCCCCAAGCTACTAAACAAGTGGCCGCACTTTCCATGTATATATTACCAAATCCTCTCCCTCACCAGCCACCACCGACCTTTCACAACTCGATAAATAAACCCAGAAACAAAGCAGACCCTAAAAACACAGAAGATCGAATATGAGTTCAGCAGCGGCGGCGAGCAAAGCCTGGATGGTGGCGGCCAGCATAGGCGCGGTGGAGGCGCTCAAAGACCAAGGGGTGTGCCGGTGGAATCACGCCATGAGATCAATCCACCACCACGCCAACTCCAAACTCAGATCCCTCGTCTCTCACCCGGCTAGAAGAAACCTTTCTTCTTCATCATCATCCTCTGCTTCGGCTGGGGAGATGGCGAGCATCGGTGGAGCTGCGAGGAAAACAGAGGCCTCGTTCGACAGAGTGATGGGGTTGGGCTGTTTTGGTCCCACCACCACCCGATTCTAGATTATGTCTTTCTTTGCAAATGTGCCAAGATCCAAAACCGGTAGAATTGATGTTCGTTACGAAAAGGAACAGTAATGAACATGGTGGAGATTCGTTTTGAGTTCCGAGGATGTCGTTCTGGTATTAGGAGTAGTTTGTGAATGTTTTTGATGGAGGAATTTGAGCCCAATGTTTGCTCGAGTATCTTTGATCTCTGTAACTTGCCGGTGCTAATTTCTTCTGCCTTGGCTGTAATGTCATTGTCAATATTCTTTCATCGCACGGTTCGATCTATTAAACCGATAACCGGCCGGTTATCCACTAACCGGTAACTGAAGTAATCGAACTTCGGTCGGTTATCCGAAGCTGGCCAAAATGGTTTTTGGTCTTAAAAGTAGTTCGGTTAACCGATAACCGAGGTAACCGAAAAACCAATGCCTATTTCGGTCGGTTTTCGGTAAGGGGTGTTTATTTCGGTTAACCGATAACCAGCCAATCGGTTACCGGTTATAACCGAAATAACCGAATTGCCAGCCCTATAAAATGTTATGGCAAATGGTAGGGCAATAACAAGTGTATTTGTTTTAGGTCATGATTTTCATGTCTTGATCTAGCATCGTTCTAGCCGGAGGTCAGACCAAAACACAAGTCCGCTTGTGCAATAATGACGAACAATAATGAAGGGTATGAACTAACTAAATTTGTGAAGGTAATCAAAACTTCACTCGTAGATTCGTTCAATGTGCATTCCGACAAACAGGGGTCATACGCCATCTTCATTCAACATTTATAATTGAAAAAAAGATACATAATGATTTCAATCTGATCATATTGGTTTACAATATAGGTATGTAAGAAGTTCGAACACAAGAGACCAATAAACTTATTATCCGATATGATTCGACTCGACCTCCTACCCCCACCCATTTGATATTTTGATTTGGTTAGTAATCTTTCTGATCTCGTCCTCTGTCTATCCTGGACCTAGTTAACGCACAAAATTGGCATTACTCACCTAACTGTTCCTTCAACTAACAAACCAACCAAGCCGACAAATTGTAAATGCGCCAATCCTATTGGTTTTTTTTTTACCTAACTCTGATTTCCCACCATTAATAACATTGAATATGGTGACCTATCCCTCCTTCAACTTCCACCCAAGTATTAAACAAGCAAGAGAGCCCACATTCCCCCATCCAACATTCGCATCACAATCAATTGGCTTAGCTTCTAGTCTTCAGCAGTCTGTCCTCTTGACTCTTGGTACTATTTTTGACATATAGAATAGAAGATGCCCTCAACTTCTGGGAAATCCGATGTTCATTTGATGGTGAGATGTTCCCCGAGGTACGATATGTTAAATTTGACCTTAAGACGTTTTCGAGGGTTTTCGTTTCATCATGGCACGCGTCCTTAGATGAAAAGACATGTTTTTTCATATCAATGGACGTATTTGTCAACTATTGAATTTATATGTCGTGATCAAATTGTGTGAATATCTCCTCAATGAAGCAATTTGTTCGTCGTTGTAGAACAAAACGATTCACGCCATATGTAAGTTGAAATAACATCATGAATTTGAGTCGTATAAGTCTCTAGACTATGAGTCATTAATCTTTTTTTTTCCTAATTAAGATGATCGCGGAGACGAAAGATATTAAGATCCGCAAAATTAAGCTCCCCACACATGGTAATTTGATCCTACAAGTTGCCGTTGATTTGTAGAATCTTTTAATTACCGTTGACTCAAATAAATAGTGAAATGTATAAGAAAATTTTCGATACTCCGAAAGTTCTCGATAACATAGTGAAATGAAAATTATAAAATATAGTTACTTTATAGATGTGTTATTAAACGCATTTTTGTTAACTACACTAAAAAAACATTATCTAATAAATTTTCATTTTTCAGGCACAAAGACACGTAGGAATCCTTCCCCAATCAGTTGGTTCCACGCTTTCCAGGTGTGATATTTACGTTCTTTGTTTATTTATATATTTTTTATATTTCTCTAATATTGCCTATTAAGTATTAACTACTTGCCTCATTTTTCTCTCTTCTTTTCCTGGTGGAAAAATTCCCTTCATTTATTTAAAAGCAGCGCTTCTGGCACAAGGACAAAAAAAAAAGTAGGAGAAAAGGAAACCGTTGAGTTGGCTTTAATTTCCAAAACTCAGCGTAGTGGTGACGTTCGCCGCCGCCGACGACGATGGCAATTGCGGACCGGCCGAAGTCCTCCAGCGGAGACACGAAGCTCTTCGGTCTTTGTCCCTTCTGGCAGTCAGGGAACGGAACTTCCTCCACTTCCTCTTCCACCCAGAACTTGAATCAACCCGGTTACCACACCGCCGCCGGCTCCGCCGCGAAATCTTCCGCCTCGTCGCCGTCAGCCAAGACGGTTTCTTCCGTCGCCAGATCCCTTCTCCCTGCTCGTCGCCGTCTCCGCCTCGACCCTCACAACCATCTCTACATCCCTTGTACGTCACCGTTTTCTCCCCCTCGTTGACTTTTTTCCCCCCTTCTCGTCTCTGGGTCGTCGGCAGGTCAACTCTTCCCCGACATTCCTTTCCTGGGGAAAAGCATAAACTGGGGAAACTTCAATTTATCAATTCTTTTCTTATTGTTTGATGTAGATGAGCCGGGAAAGCAGGTGAGAAGCGCTGTGAGGTTGAAGAATACTAGCAGGTCGCATGTTGCTTTCAAGGTAAGAAAATTTAATAACAAAATCGATTCTTCCTTTGATGAATTGCTGAGTTTCTTTAGGTTTTTTTTTAATGATCTTTCCCCTCTTTGTTAAAATTTTGTTCAGTTCCAAACGACTGCTCCGAAGAGCTGCTACATGCGCCCGCCGGGCGGCGTTCTCGCTCCGGGAGAAAGCCTAATCGCAACAGTGTTCAAGTTTGTCGAGCAGCCGGAGAGCAACAGTGAGAAGCAAGCAGCAGGGGGGATGCAGAAGTGCAGGGACAAGTTCAAAATCATGAGTTTGAAGGTTAAAGGAGGGATGGAATATGTGCCTGAGCTTGTAAGTTCCAACACAAGAATACAAGATGACTTCTTTTGTTTGTAAATTACTTGGTTTGTACCTTGGTATTGACTATGAAGTGATAAAGTTGGGTTCTTGGGTTTGACAATTTGGGGAATGGATGCAGTTTGAAGAGCAGAAGGAGCAAGTGACAGTGGAGAGGATACTGAGGGTGGTGTTCTTGGATCCAGAGCGTCCTAATGCTGCGTTGGAGAAGCTGAAGAGGCAACTGGCTGAAGCAGAAGCTGATCTGGAAGCACGTAAGAATAAGCCCCCAGCGGCGGAGACAGGTCCAAAGGTCATCGGTGAAGGCCTGGTGATCGATGAATGGGTACGTTGGTTAATCTATCTCATTTAGCTGCCACAACAATGCTGCATGCTAAGTTATCTCATTAGGGTGTTTCTTATTTTGCAGAAAGAACGGAGGGAGAAATACTTGGCCAGGCAGCAAGTTGGAGCCGCAGTGGACTCATCCTGAAGAAGTTTTTATCCTCTTCTTCTTCCTCCATGGCAACCAATGGTGTTTTTTGCGAGTAGATGGTGGAAGATTTGTACTGATCAGTTGGCTGTTCTGAGTGTGGTATCCCAGCCACTGTAACAGCCCTCCAGTAGTTCTTGAGCCCATCGCAATCTGCATCTGATTGTAAATACATGTTGGTTTCTAGGGTAAGCAAGTAAAAGAGAAATAAAAAGCTTTTTAGAGACGTAATGCAATTCTGTATATGATGAGTAATTTAAAGCAGTCTGCCTAGCTTTTCATGGTTGTTTGCCAACAAATGCTTCTTTATGTTGACAAAATGTTTGATATTAGCTGAATCCTCCTGCCTTGTCGATCATGTTAGATTATCGTTTTATCCATCTTAGAACGAGAGCGATTCAACAATGTCAACACGCGCTAAACCTCCCCGATCAGTATGGTAGATGACTTGATGGTTAGAGGATAACAGGGGTATGGTGGTGTAGTTGGAACTTGGGTAGATGGATTGAAGAGTAGTTGATTGTCCCGCCTTTACCAGGATTCAATGCGGTTTCTGGTCATCCGTAATCAAACACCTCCAACTGTCTACGCCTGGCGCTGGCTGGACCCATATTGCTGGGACGTCAATCAATTTTAGTTGTTGAGCCTTTCAATACGTGCCTTTATATTGTTCCACCTACAGGATAAACAAGGAGAAGATATTTTCATATTGTTTTATAGCCTCTTTTTCCTGGGAAAATATTGTCAATATATTGGGCTCATCTCGTCCATGGGCCTCTAAGTTTAAGGGATGCATGGTTCATGGTTTGGGCGCTGGCTTTACGAAGATACGATTCACATAGTTTGCAGAATTATAAGTGCCTTTGTGCCTAACTAAACCAGAAGCATAAGCAACACAGTCTCGACAGAACGGAACTGCATATTATCAGCACTTGCAGCAGAGAAGAATATGTTCTCCAATATCTGATCTGGAAGATTTGCTATCCTTAAGGAACAACTTACTCAGCCTAATATATTCTCCACTTTCTCACCTCTCTCTGAGCCAAGAATGTGGTTCCCTGTGTTATCCCAAACTGCTGTCTCTTGGGCCTGTATAAAACGCAGTCCTACAAGCACAAGGGTCTTGCAAGCAAAGCCTTGCTTTGTACAGTACAACACTCTAGTGTTCTTCATTTCCTTCACTGCAGTGCTGTCTGCTGTGACTGTTTTAACACTCAATCTCTGTTTTCAGAACTTATGACGAGACTCACTACTCCAACAACATGCGTTGTTTTATCTCTAGGAGCATCTCTTGGTATCAAAGACTCTGCTCAGACTTCCCTCTCTCCAGCCATGCAGGCCAGACCAGAGGAGGAAAAGGCAAAGCCAGCTGAGACATCTCTGAGAAAGGTTTTCCTCTTGAGCTGCTGGGGACCTAAATGAAATTAGCCTTTGATATGTAATACTAGAGAGTGCTTTCCAAATTCCATTCAAGGAGCCGGGAACTCAGATACATGTCATCTTGTGCAATACAGCTAGATATGTACACCTCAACCATTACTGTAAAAACAATTACTTAGTACAAGCTTTCTTTTGTATATAGTTTGGTTGCACTTCCAAATGACCTTTGATACGTCTTGCTGATGGGCAATCATCAGCAAGCTGATCAAAGCTTGCACAATAGCGCGATTGTTTCCAGTTCAACAAAGTCCTTATGTAACAGATATTCAGCAAATCTCATTCAAACCAATCAGACATTGAGCGAATCTCATTTCACATGAATCAATAGCAAGAATCAGTCAAATAATGGCGCAAATCAAGATAGAGAGGATCGAGCTGGGCCACAGCCAGATGAGAATGGAAGAGAAGTTCATATCTAAAGACATCATGCTGTACATAAGAGCCTAAAATCAGATGGAGAATTACACCCTTTTCCCATACACGAAGACCATATATAACTCAACTCTGTGGTCATATGGAATCCGGCAACTGAAAGTTCTGAGACCCGAAAATCTGATGCTGCTTGTTTTGCAGAAACACGGCCACCCCACATTTACTCGCGTTGAATCCTTCCCACAGCGGGAAATGAACACTGGCAGTCACCACTTTCTTGGCCGAGACATCTTTCACAGTAGCAACCTTCTCCATCCTCCTCACCACGTAGTCATTCGCCAGTACCTTCCCTTTGTTCTCCCCACTCGGGCAGTCCATCACCAGCCCGCTCTCGTACAGTGCCACCATTACATCCATCCCTTGCCCGTCTATCTTACTCCTCAACGGCCCCGACAGAGACACCTTCAGAGTCCCCGGCGATGGCCTCTGAAACGTTGCCTGTTCCACAATAATCAACAATTCAAGATTGGAGTTTGTGTTAGGATCTCTGACTCAAATGATCGAGAAAGATTGCAAATTGAAACTACCCATCAAACAGAATTCCAATTGGCTGATCACTCTTATCTACTTGTACCAATTTAGCATTAGGGTTTGGAAAAGGAAAATTCACCTGAAAGGCAGAGGAAGGGAATCTCTGGGCGCTCATGATAGCAGAGAGCAACGCCTCTTCTTCGTTCCCAACGCAATGAGACATTCCCTGAACAACGACCTGCGGGGTGAACATGGTGTCGAGATTGAGGGACTCGATGTAAGCCTTCTGCCGGACGGTCGACTGGCTGGAACCGAAGGGATCTTTCCAACCGGCGTAGTCCCAGTAATCAACGTGGAACGCCAGCACGATCACGGGCGCTTCCAGCGCAAAATCCCCTCTCCCGAGCCTCGACAACAGCACCTCCGCCTCCGGCGAGGTCGCGCACCCCTGCGACGAGAACAGCTCCACCACGACGGGCCCGCCGCGGCGCTGCTCCTCGACCGACGCGTCGACGGTCTGGGAGGCGGAAAACTGGTCTCTTTTGACGGCGGCGGAGGGGGAGGAGGAGCTCTTGCTGCGGCCGAAGCAGGCCAGGAGACTCGGTGCCATATGTGAAGGAATTGTTAATTATCCCCGGCACCACTCTGTCTCCCCGGCCTCTTGTTTCTTGAGATTGTTTCTCCCCTGCCGCCGGCAAAGGAGGGTGGATTTTCTTTCGATTTTCTTGCGATTTTCCTTCCAGAGTTTGGGGGATTTAGCGGAGAGGGGGAATTGGTTGCTGGGAGAAAAAAAGAAAGGAATTGTAGCGTGAAATTGAGGCAGGGGAATGGAGATCGTGAACGGTGAAGAGAGAAAAATGGTGTTCTAATTTCTAAACCCTAAAAGCCAAAAAATTTGATGCTAAAATTATTGGGTAAAGGTATTGATGGAGTTGGCGGCAATGGCTTCCCGCTGGCTTTGAATATTTCTTAATTTTTTTTCCCTGTTACCTACCGACCTGTATTTGACAACTACGTGGCAGCTTCTATTCTCGAAAAGGAGAAAGATTTTTTTTTTCTTGCTCTGTTTAAATTTCGCCTTTACTATTTTCTAACCCGAAAATCCCAACAATTAAATAGGACTAATTATTGCAGCAATATAAATATAATGGGATGGAAATGCTGGCTGGCTGGCTTTGTGTATCAGCAACATTTTAATAATGCAAATGTATTGGTACGTCGGAGTCGATTCATGGGTGGCGTCGGCGGGAAGAAGGAGTGAATGGGATGGCACGTTTTTGTCAGGTGGAGACTGGCAGGATGGGATGTCATGTCAGTGAAAACAGGTGGCAACGCAGCGGATGGGACGAAGAAGAAGTGCAAAGGTTGGACAAGGAACTAATTACCTTAGTTGTAAAGCAATCGACTTTGGTCTTTAGGAAACGAGAAAAAGAGAAGAATCAAAAAAATAGAAGTAGATAGCGCAGGGCGGGTTGATTAGCTGCCAGACTATTCTTCAACTTAAAACTGAGCAATTGGGTGATGGTTGGTATCCTGCCTTACCAGGATTAGGCTGCCAGTTTGATTCGGTTAACCAAGCATAAAAAAAAAAACTAAATCAAATTAATTTTCAAAAATCAAAATTAAAATCATTAAGGTTCTTATAAGCTATTGGTTAATCGGAAATCGATAAGTCTCTTGACGGTTTTGGTTTGATTTGGATAAACCAAAAAATAAAAACCAAACTCAATAGTTTGGGAAGTAAAAAAATAGAGTTACGCAAGACAACAAGAAATATGAAGATAGGAGAGAAGTCTACTATACATAAGTTGGTGATAATCGTGTTGTTGACGTGTACTGATTTGGTTATGGTTTTATCGATTTCTTATTGGTCTGTCGATTTTAATCGAAACCAAAACCATTCAGATGCTTGTTGAAATCAGGTAGCTCCATTAGTACGATATTGTTAGCTTTGGGCTAACCCGTACGGATTTTCTTTTGTGTTCCTTCCCAAAAGGCCTCGTACTAATTGGATTTGGTGGACTATACAAATGTCTTTTTTCTTATATTTCCAATGTGGTACTTGGATTGCACCATAACAATCCACCCCTCAAGACAAAGAGCACGAACTTCGTTTCCACCTCTCAAAAAAATTTCTTGATCTGCCAGAAACCTTGTATATGGAAGACTTTGCTCGACATAAGGATTTACCAGATGCAGATCCCCTTTGACCCGCCAAACACACACATATCTTTGATCTACCAAACAAACGTGAATCCATTTTGATTCGTCAGATAGACGTGGATCTCAAATCTTGAGGTCATTGGATGATTTTCCATCGAACTAACGTCCACCGCCTTAATCCGTAACCTTCAAAATCCAAGAAAATTTTCACACAAATCTCCGATTAATTGACTTCATCGTCACTGGAGGAAAGCCCCAGTTCGCCTCAGGCCTAATCCGTACACCGTAGCCTCCAAAATCCAACGAAAATTGCCATTCAAAAAAATTGCCTAAAATCGGTGCTTAATAGACTTAATCGTCGGTGGAGGATAGCCTCACGCCAAATCCTTAATCCGTAGCCTTCAAAATCCAACGAAAATGGCCTTTCGAAAAAAGCGCTCGAAAAATTACGAAAATGCCCTTGGAAATATTTTCGCAGAAATCTCCGATTAATTGACTTCATCATCGCTGGAGGATAGCCCCAGTTCGCCTGAGGCCGAATTCGTGCTCCGTAGCCTTCAAAATCCAACCAAAATGGTCTTTCCAAAAAATCACCCGAAATCGGTGATGGTACCCCTTTGGAAACTGCCAAAAATTGACCCGGAACAAATACGCCCAAATCAGTGCCTAATAGACTTAATCCTCGGTGGAGGATACCCTCACGCCGAATCCTTGATCCGTAGCCTTCAAAATCCATGGAAAATGCCCTTCCGAAAAAAGCGCTCGGAAAATTACGAAAATGCCCCCGGAACAATTTTCGCCCAAATCTCCGATTAGTTGACTTCATCATCCCCGAATCATAGCCCCAGTTCGCCTCAGGCCGAATCCGTGCTCCGTAGCCTCCAATATCCAACCAAAATCGCCATTCCAAAAAATCGCCCGAAATCGGTGATGGTACCCCTTTGGAAACTGCCAAAAATTGACCCGGAACAAATACGCCCAAATCAGTGCCTAATAGACTTAATCCTCGGTGGAGGATACCCTCACGCCGAATCCTTGATCCGTAGCCTTCAAAATCCATGGAAAATGCCCTTCCGAAAAAAGCGCTCGGAAAATTACGAAAATGCCCCCGGAACAATTTTCGCCCAAATCTCCGATTAGTTGACTTCATCATCCCCGAATCATAGCCCCAGTTCGCCTCAGGCCGAATCCGTGCTCCGTAGCCTCCAATATCCAACCAAAATCGCCATTCCAAAAAATCGCCCGAAATCGGTGATGGTACCCCTTTGGAAACTGCCAAAAATTGACCCGGAACAAATACGCCCAAATCAGTGCCTAATAGACTTAATCCTCGGTGGAGGATACCCTCACGCCGAATCCTTGATCCGTAGCCTTCAAAATCCATGGAAAATGCCCTTCCGAAAAAAAGCGCTCGGAAAATTACGAAAATGCCCCCGGAACAATTTTCGCCCAAATCTCCGATTAGTTGACTTCATCATCCCCGAATCATAGCCCCAGTTCGCCTCAGGCCGAATCCGTGCTCCGTAGCCTCCAATATCCAACCAAAATCGCCATTCCAAAAAATCGCCCGAAATCGGTGATGGTACCCCTTTGGAAACTGCCAAAAATTGACCCGGAACAAATACGCCCAAATCAGTGCCTAATAGACTTAATCCTCGGTGGAGGATACCCTCACGCCGAATCCTTGATCCGTAGCCTTCAAAATCCATGGAAAATGCCCTTCCGAAAAAAAGCGCTCGGAAAATTACGAAAATGCCCCCGGAACAATTTTCGCCCAAATCTCCGATTAGTTGACTTCATCATCCCCGAATCATAGCCCCAGTTCGCCTCAGGCCGAATCCGTGCTCCGTAGCCTCCAATATCCAACCAAAATCGCCATTCCAAAAAATCGCCCGAAATCGGTGATGGTACCCCTTTGGAAACTGCCAAAAATTGACCCGGAACAAATACGCCCAAATCAGTGCCTAATAGACTTAATCCTCGGTGGAGGATACCCTCACGCCGAATCCTTGATCCGTAGCCTTCAAAATCCATGGAAAATGCCCTTCCGAAAAAAGCGCTCGGAAAATTACGAAAATGCCCCCGGAACAATTTTCGCCCAAATCTCCGATTAGTTGACTTCATCATCCCCGAATCATAGCCCCAGTTCGCCTCAGGCCGAATCCGTGCTCCGTAGCCTCCAATATCCAACCAAAATCGCCATTCCAAAAAATCGCCCGAAATCGGTGATGGTACCCCTTTGGAAACTGCCAAAAATTGACCCGGAACAAATACGCCCAAATCAGTGCCTAATAGACTTAATCCTCGGTGGAGGATACCCTCACGCCGAATCCTTGATCCGTAGCCTTCAAAATCCATGGAAAATGCCCTTCCGAAAAAAAGCGCTCGGAAAATTACGAAAATGCCCCCGGAACAATTTTCGCCCAAATCTCCGATTAGTTGACTTCATCATCCCCGAATCATAGCCCCAGTTCGCCTCAGGCCGAATCCGTGCTCCGTAGCCTCCAATATCCAACCAAAATCGCCATTCCAAAAAATCGCCCGAAATCGGTGATGGTACCCCTTTGGAAACTGCCAAAAATTGACCCGGAACAAATACGCCCAAATCAGTGCCTAATAGACTTAATCCTCGGTGGAGGATACCCTCACGCCGAATCCTTGATCCGTAGCCTTCAAAATCCATGGAAAATGCCCTTCCGAAAAAAAGCGCTCGGAAAATTACGAAAATGCCCCCGGAACAATTTTCGCCCAAATCTCCGATTAGTTGACTTCATCATCCCCGAATCATAGCCCCAGTTCGCCTCAGGCCGAATCCGTGCTCCGTAGCCTCCAATATCCAACCAAAATCGCCATTCCAAAAAATCGCCCGAAATCGGTGATGGTACCCCTTTGGAAACTGCCAAAAATTGACCCGGAACAAATACGCCCAAATCAGTGCCTAATAGACTTAATCCTCGGTGGAGGATACCCTCACGCCGAATCCTTGATCCGTAGCCTTCAAAATCCATGGAAAATGCCCTTCCGAAAAAAAGCGCTCGGAAAATTACGAAAATGCCCCCGGAACAATTTTCGCCCAAATCTCCGATTAGTTGACTTCATCATCCCCGAATCATAGCCCCAGTTCGCCTCAGGCCGAATCCGTGCTCCGTAGCCTCCAATATCCAACCAAAATCGCCATTCCAAAAAATCGCCCGAAATCGGTGATGGTACCCCTTTGGAAACTGCCAAAAATTGACCCGGAACAAATACGCCCAAATCAGTGCCTAATAGACTTAATCCTCGGTGGAGGATACCCTCACGCCGAATCCTTGATCCGTAGCCTTCAAAATCCATGGAAAATGCCCTTCCGAAAAAAAGCGCTCGGAAAATTACGAAAATGCCCCCGGAACAATTTTCGCCCAAATCTCCGATTAGTTGACTTCATCATCCCCGAATCATAGCCCCAGTTCGCCTCAGGCCGAATCCGTGCTCCGTAGCCTCCAATATCCAACCAAAATCGCCATTCCAAAAAATCGCCCGAAATCGGTGATGGTACCCCTTTGGAAACTGCCAAAAATTGACCCGGAACAAATACGCCCAAATCAGTGCCTAATAGACTTAATCCTCGGTGGAGGATACCCTCACGCCGAATCCTTGATCCGTAGCCTTCAAAATCCATGGAAAATGCCCTTCCGAAAAAAGCGCTCGGAAAATTACGAAAATGCCCCCGGAACAATTTTCGCCCAAATCTCCGATTAGTTGACTTCATCATCCCCGAATCATAGCCCCAGTTCGCCTCAGGCCGAATCCGTGCTCCGTAGCCTCCAATATCCAACCAAAATCGCCATTCCAAAAAATCGCCCGAAATCGGTGATGGTACCCCTTTGGAAACTGCCAAAAATTGACCCGGAACAAATACGCCCAAATCAGTGCCTAATAGACTTAATCCTCGGTGGAGGATACCCTCACGCCGAATCCTTGATCCGTAGCCTTCAAAATCCATGGAAAATGCCCTTCCGAAAAAAAGCGCTCGGAAAATTACGAAAATGCCCCCGGAACAATTTTCGCCCAAATCTCCGATTAGTTGACTTCATCATCCCCGAATCATAGCCCCAGTTCGCCTCAGGCCGAATCCGTGCTCCGTAGCCTCCAATATCCAACCAAAATCGCCATTCCAAAAAATCGCCCGAAATCGGTGATGGTACCCCTTTGGAAACTGCCAAAAATTGACCCGGAACAAATACGCCCAAATCAGTGCCTAATAGACTTAATCCTCGGTGGAGGATACCCTCACGCCGAATCCTTGATCCGTAGCCTTCAAAATCCATGGAAAATGCCCTTCCGAAAAAAAGCGGTCGGAAAATTACGAAAATGCCCCCGGAACAATTTTCGCCCAAATCTCCGATTAGTTGACTTCATCATCCCCGAATCATAGCCCCAGTTCGCCTCAGGCCGAATCCGTGCTCCGTAGCCTCCAATATCCAACCAAAATCGCCATTCCAAAAAATCGCCCGAAATCGGTGATGGTACCCCTTTGGAAACTGCCAAAAATTGACCCGGAACAAATACGCCCAAATCAGTGCCTAATAGACTTAATCCTCGGTGGAGGATACCCTCACGCCGAATCCTTGATCCGTAGCCTTCAAAATCCATGGAAAATGCCCTTCCGAAAAAAGCGCTCGGAAAATTACGAAAATGCCCCCGGAACAATTTTCGCCCAAATCTCCGATTAGTTGACTTCATCATCCCCGAATCATAGCCCCAGTTCGCCTCAGGCCGAATCCGTGCTCCGTAGCCTCCAATATCCAACCAAAATCGCCATTCCAAAAAATCGCCCGAAATCGGTGATGGTACCCCTTTGGAAACTGCCAAAAATTGACCCGGAACAAATACGCCCAAATCAGTGCCTAATAGACTTAATCCTCGGTGGAGGATACCCTCACGCCGAATCCTTGATCCGTAGCCTTCAAAATCCATGGAAAATGCCCTTCCGAAAAAAAGCGCTCGGAAAATTACGAAAATGCCCCCGGAACAATTTTCGCCCAAATCTCCGATTAGTTGACTTCATCATCCCCGAATCATAGCCCCAGTTCGCCTCAGGCCGAATCCGTGCTCCGTAGCCTCCAATATCCAACCAAAATCGCCATTCCAAAAAATCGCCCGAAATCGGTGATGGTACCCCTTTGGAAACTGCCAAAAATTGACCCGGAACAAATACGCCCAAATCAGTGCCTAATAGACTTAATCCTCGGTGGAGGATACCCTCACGCCGAATCCTTGATCCGTAGCCTTCAAAATCCATGGAAAATGCCCTTCCGAAAAAAAGCGCTCGGAAAATTACGAAAATGCCCCCGGAACAATTTTCGCCCAAATCTCCGATTAGTTGACTTCATCATCCCCGAATCATAGCCCCAGTTCGCCTCAGGCCGAATCCGTGCTCCGTAGCCTCCAATATCCAACCAAAATCGCCATTCCAAAAAATCGCCCGAAATCGGTGATGGTACCCCTTTGGAAACTGCCAAAAATTGACCCGGAACAAATACGCCCAAATCAGTGCCTAATAGACTTAATCCTCGGTGGAGGATACCCTCACGCCGAATCCTTGATCCGTAGCCTTCAAAATCCATGGAAAATGCCCTTCCGAAAAAAAGCGGTCGGAAAATTACGAAAATGCCCCCGGAACAATTTTCGCCCAAATCTCCGATTAGTTGACTTCATCATCCCCGAATCATAGCCCCAGTTCGCCTCAGGCCGAATCCGTGCTCCGTAGCCTCCAATATCCAACCAAAATCGCCATTCCAAAAAATCGCCCGAAATCGGTGATGGTACCCCTTTGGAAACTGCCAAAAATTGACCCGGAACAAATACGCCCAAATCAGTGCCTAATAGACTTAATCCTCGGTGGAGGATACCCTCACGCCGAATCCTTGATCCGTAGCCTTCAAAATCCATGGAAAATGCCCTTCCGAAAAAAAGCGCTCGGAAAATTACGAAAATGCCCCCGGAACAATTTTCGCCCAAATCTCCGATTAGTTGACTTCATCATCCCCGAATCATAGCCCCAGTTCGCCTCAGGCCGAATCCGTGCTCCGTAGCCTCCAATATCCAACCAAAATCGCCATTCCAAAAAATCGCCCGAAATCGGTGATGGTACCCCTTTGGAAACTGCCAAAAATTGACCCGGAACAAATACGCCCAAATCAGTGCCTAATAGACTTAATCCTCGGTGGAGGATACCCTCACGCCGAATCCTTGATCCGTAGCCTTCAAAATCCATGGAAAATGCCCTTCCGAAAAAAAGCGCTCGGAAAATTACGAAAATGCCCCCGGAACAATTTTCGCCCAAATCTCCGATTAGTTGACTTCATCATCCCCGAATCATAGCCCCAGTTCGCCTCAGGCCGAATCCGTGCTCCGTAGCCTCCAATATCCAACCAAAATCGCCATTCCAAAAAATCGCCCGAAATCGGTGATGGTACCCCTTTGGAAACTGCCAAAAATTGACCCGGAACAAATACGCCCAAATCAGTGCCTAATAGACTTAATCCTCGGTGGAGGATACCCTCACGCCGAATCCTTGATCCGTAGCCTTCAAAATCCATGGAAAATGCCCTTCCGAAAAAAAGCGCTCGGAAAATTACGAAAATGCCCCCGGAACAATTTTCGCCCAAATCTCCGATTAGTTGACTTCATCATCCCCGAATCATAGCCCCAGTTCGCCTCAGGCCGAATCCGTGCTCCGTAGCCTCCAATATCCAACCAAAATCGCCATTCCAAAAAATCGCCCGAAATCGGTGATGGTACCCCTTTGGAAACTGCCAAAAATTGACCCGGAACAAATACGCCCAAATCAGTGCCTAATAGACTTAATCCTCGGTGGAGGATACCCTCACGCCGAATCCTTGATCCGTAGCCTTCAAAATCCATGGAAAATGCCCTTCCGAAAAAAAGCGGTCGGAAAATTACGAAAATGCCCCCGGAACAATTTTCGCCCAAATCTCCGATTAGTTGACTTCATCATCCCCGAATCATAGCCCCAGTTCGCCTCAGGCCGAATCCGTGCTCCGTAGCCTCCAATATCCAACCAAAATCGCCATTCCAAAAAATCGCCCGAAATCGGTGATGGTACCCCTTTGGAAACTGCCAAAAATTGACCCGGAACAAATACGCCCAAATCAGTGCCTAATAGACTTAATCCTCGGTGGAGGATACCCTCACGCCGAATCCTTGATCCGTAGCCTTCAAAATCCATGGAAAATGCCCTTCCGAAAAAAGCGCTCGGAAAATTACGAAAATGCCCCCGGAACAATTTTCGCCCAAATCTCCGATTAGTTGACTTCATCATCCCCGAATCATAGCCCCAGTTCGCCTCAGGCCGAATCCGTGCTCCGTAGCCTCCAATATCCAACCAAAATCGCCATTCCAAAAAATCGCCCGAAATCGGTGATGGTACCCCTTTGGAAACTGCCAAAAATTGACCCGGAACAAATACGCCCAAATCAGTGCCTAATAGACTTAATCCTCGGTGGAGGATACCCTCACGCCGAATCCTTGATCCGTAGCCTTCAAAATCCATGGAAAATGGCCTTCCGAAAAAAAGCGCTCGGAAAATTACGAAAATGCCCCCGGAACAATTTTCGCCCAAATCTCCGATTAGTTGACTTCATCATCCCCGAATCATAGCCCCAGTTCGCCTCAGGCCGAATCCGTGCTCCGTAGCCTCCAATATCCAACCAAAATCGCCATTCCAAAAAATCGCCCGAAATCGGTGATGGTACCCCTTTGGAAACTGCCAAAAATTGACCCGGAACAAATACGCCCAAATCAGTGCCTAATAGACTTAATCCTCGGTGGAGGATACCCTCACGCCGAATCCTTGATCCGTAGCCTTCAAAATCCATGGAAAATGGCCTTCCGAAAAAAAGCGGTCGGAAAATTACGAAAATGCCCCCGGAACAATTTTCGCCCAAATCTCCGATTAGTTGACTTCATCATCCCCGAATCATAGCCCCAGTTCGCCTCAGGCCGAATCCGTGCTCCGTAGCCTCCAATATCCAACCAAAATCGCCATTCCAAAAAATCGCCCGAAATCGGTGATGGTACCCCTTTGGAAACTGCCAAAAATTGACCCGGAACAAATACGCCCAAATCAGTGCCTAATAGACTTAATCCTCGGTGGAGGATACCCTCACGCCGAATCCTTGATCCGTAGCCTTCAAAATCCATGGAAAATGCCCTTCCGAAAAAAAGCGCTCGGAAAATTACGAAAATGCCCCCGGAACAATTTTCGCCCAAATCTCCGATTAGTTGACTTCATCATCCCCGAATCATAGCCCCAGTTCGCCTCAGGCCGAATCCGTGCTCCGTAGCCTCCAATATCCAACCAAAATCGCCATTCCAAAAAATCGCCCGAAATCGGTGATGGTACCCCTTTGGAAACTGCCAAAAATTGACCCGGAACAAATACGCCCAAATCAGTGCCTAATAGACTTAATCCTCGGTGGAGGATACCCTCACGCCGAATCCTTGATCCGTAGCCTTCAAAATCCATGGAAAATGCCCTTCCGAAAAAAAGCGCTCGGAAAATTACGAAAATGCCCCCGGAACAATTTTCGCCCAAATCTCCGATTAGTTGACTTCATCATCCCCGAATCATAGCCCCAGTTCGCCTCAGGCCGAATCCGTGCTCCGTAGCCTCCAATATCCAACCAAAATCGCCATTCCAAAAAATCGCCCGAAATCGGTGATGGTACCCCTTTGGAAACTGCCAAAAATTGACCCGGAACAAATACGCCCAAATCAGTGCCTAATAGACTTAATCCTCGGTGGAGGATACCCTCACGCCGAATCCTTGATCCGTAGCCTTCAAAATCCATGGAAAATGCCCTTCCGAAAAAAAGCGGTCGGAAAATTACGAAAATGCCCCCGGAACAATTTTCGCCCAAATCTCCGATTAGTTGACTTCATCATCCCCGAATCATAGCCCCAGTTCGCCTCAGGCCGAATCCGTGCTCCGTAGCCTCCAATATCCAACCAAAATCGCCATTCCAAAAAATCGCCCGAAATCGGTGATGGTACCCCTTTGGAAACTGCCAAAAATTGACCCGGAACAAATACGCCCAAATCAGTGCCTAATAGACTTAATCCTCGGTGGAGGATACCCTCACGCCGAATCCTTGATCCGTAGCCTTCAAAATCCATGGAAAATGCCCTTCCGAAAAAAAGCGCTCGGAAAATTACGAAAATGCCCCCGGAACAATTTTCGCCCAAATCTCCGATTAGTTGACTTCATCATCCCCGAATCATAGCCCCAGTTCGCCTCAGGCCGAATCCGTGCTCCGTAGCCTCCAATATCCAACCAAAATCGCCATTCCAAAAAATCGCCCGAAATCGGTGATGGTACCCCTTTGGAAACTGCCAAAAATTGACCCGGAACAAATACGCCCAAATCAGTGCCTAATAGACTTAATCCTCGGTGGAGGATACCCTCACGCCGAATCCTTGATCCGTAGCCTTCAAAATCCATGGAAAATGCCCTTCCGAAAAAAAGCGCTCGGAAAATTACGAAAATGCCCCCGGAACAATTTTCGCCCAAATCTCCGATTAGTTGACTTCATCATCCCCGAATCATAGCCCCAGTTCGCCTCAGGCCGAATCCGTGCTCCGTAGCCTCCAATATCCAACCAAAATCGCCATTCCAAAAAATCGCCCGAAATCGGTGATGGTACCCCTTTGGAAACTGCCAAAAATTGACCCGGAACAAATACGCCCAAATCAGTGCCTAATAGACTTAATCCTCGGTGGAGGATACCCTCACGCCGAATCCTTGATCCGTAGCCTTCAAAATCCATGGAAAATGCCCTTCCGAAAAAAAGCGGTCGGAAAATTACGAAAATGCCCCCGGAACAATTTTCGCCCAAATCTCCGATTAGTTGACTTCATCATCCCCGAATCATAGCCCCAGTTCGCCTCAGGCCGAATCCGTGCTCCGTAGCCTCCAATATCCAACCAAAATCGCCATTCCAAAAAATCGCCCGAAATCGGTGATGGTACCCCTTTGGAAACTGCCAAAAATTGACCCGGAACAAATACGCCCAAATCAGTGCCTAATAGACTTAATCCTCGGTGGAGGATACCCTCACGCCGAATCCTTGATCCGTAGCCTTCAAAATCCATGGAAAATGCCCTTCCGAAAAAAAGCGCTCGGAAAATTACGAAAATGCCCCCGGAACAATTTTCGCCCAAATCTCCGATTAGTTGACTTCATCATCCCCGAATCATAGCCCCAGTTCGCCTCAGGCCGAATCCGTGCTCCGTAGCCTCCAATATCCAACCAAAATCGCCATTCCAAAAAATCGCCCGAAATCGGTGATGGTACCCCTTTGGAAACTGCCAAAAATTGACCCGGAACAAATACGCCCAAATCAGTGCCTAATAGACTTAATCCTCGGTGGAGGATACCCTCACGCCGAATCCTTGATCCGTAGCCTTCAAAATCCATGGAAAATGCCCTTCCGAAAAAAAGCGCTCGGAAAATTACGAAAATGCCCCCGGAACAATTTTCGCCCAAATCTCCGATTAGTTGACTTCATCATCCCCGAATCATAGCCCCAGTTCGCCTCAGGCCGAATCCGTGCTCCGTAGCCTCCAATATCCAACCAAAATCGCCATTCCAAAAAATCGCCCGAAATCGGTGATGGTACCCCTTTGGAAACTGCCAAAAATTGACCCGGAACAAATACGCCCAAATCAGTGCCTAATAGACTTAATCCTCGGTGGAGGATACCCTCACGCCGAATCCTTGATCCGTAGCCTTCAAAATCCATGGAAAATGCCCTTCCGAAAAAAAGCGGTCGGAAAATTACGAAAATGCCCCCGGAACAATTTTCGCCCAAATCTCCGATTAGTTGACTTCATCATCCCCGAATCATAGCCCCAGTTCGCCTCAGGCCGAATCCGTGCTCCGTAGCCTCCAATATCCAACCAAAATCGCCATTCCAAAAAATCGCCCGAAATCGGTGATGGTACCCCTTTGGAAACTGCCAAAAATTGACCCGGAACAAATACGCCCAAATCAGTGCCTAATAGACTTAATCCTCGGTGGAGGATACCCTCACGCCGAATCCTTGATCCGTAGCCTTCAAAATCCATGGAAAATGCCCTTCCGAAAAAAAGCGCTCGGAAAATTACGAAAATGCCCCCGGAACAATTTTCGCCCAAATCTCCGATTAGTTGACTTCATCATCCCCGAATCATAGCCCCAGTTCGCCTCAGGCCGAATCCGTGCTCCGTAGCCTCCAATATCCAACCAAAATCGCCATTCCAAAAAATCGCCCGAAATCGGTGATGGTACCCCTTTGGAAACTGCCAAAAATTGACCCGGAACAAATACGCCCAAATCAGTGCCTAATAGACTTAATCCTCGGTGGAGGATACCCTCACGCCGAATCCTTGATCCGTAGCCTTCAAAATCCATGGAAAATGCCCTTCCGAAAAAAAGCGCTCGGAAAATTACGAAAATGCCCCCGGAACAATTTTCGCCCAAATCTCCGATTAGTTGACTTCATCATCCCCGAATCATAGCCCCAGTTCGCCTCAGGCCGAATCCGTGCTCCGTAGCCTCCAATATCCAACCAAAATCGCCATTCCAAAAAATCGCCCGAAATCGGTGATGGTACCCCTTTGGAAACTGCCAAAAATTGACCCGGAACAAATACGCCCAAATCAGTGCCTAATAGACTTAATCCTCGGTGGAGGATACCCTCACGCCGAATCCTTGATCCGTAGCCTTCAAAATCCATGGAAAATGCCCTTCCGAAAAAAAGCGGTCGGAAAATTACGAAAATGCCCCCGGAACAATTTTCGCCCAAATCTCCGATTAGTTGACTTCATCATCCCCGAATCATAGCCCCAGTTCGCCTCAGGCCGAATCCGTGCTCCGTAGCCTCCAATATCCAACCAAAATCGCCATTCCAAAAAATCGCCCGAAATCGGTGATGGTACCCCTTTGGAAACTGCCAAAAATTGACCCGGAACAAATACGCCCAAATCAGTGCCTAATAGACTTAATCCTCGGTGGAGGATACCCTCACGCCGAATCCTTGATCCGTAGCCTTCAAAATCCATGGAAAATGCCCTTCCGAAAAAAAGCGCTCGGAAAATTACGAAAATGCCCCCGGAACAATTTTCGCCCAAATCTCCGATTAGTTGACTTCATCATCCCCGAATCATAGCCCCAGTTCGCCTCAGGCCGAATCCGTGCTCCGTAGCCTCCAATATCCAACCAAAATCGCCATTCCAAAAAATCGCCCGAAATCGGTGATGGTACCCCTTTGGAAACTGCCAAAAATTGACCCGGAACAAATACGCCCAAATCAGTGCCTAATAGACTTAATCCTCGGTGGAGGATACCCTCACGCCGAATCCTTGATCCGTAGCCTTCAAAATCCATGGAAAATGCCCTTCCGAAAAAAAGCGCTCGGAAAATTACGAAAATGCCCCCGGAACAATTTTCGCCCAAATCTCCGATTAGTTGACTTCATCATCCCCGAATCATAGCCCCAGTTCGCCTCAGGCCGAATCCGTGCTCCGTAGCCTCCAATATCCAACCAAAATCGCCATTCCAAAAAATCGCCCGAAATCGGTGATGGTACCCCTTTGGAAACTGCCAAAAATTGACCCGGAACAAATACGCCCAAATCAGTGCCTAATAGACTTAATCCTCGGTGGAGGATACCCTCACGCCGAATCCTTGATCCGTAGCCTTCAAAATCCATGGAAAATGCCCTTCCGAAAAAAAGCGCTCGGAAAATTACGAAAATGCCCCCGGAACAATTTTCGCCCAAATCTCCGATTAGTTGACTTCATCATCCCCGAATCATAGCCCCAGTTCGCCTCAGGCCGAATCCGTGCTCCGTAGCCTCCAATATCCAACCAAAATCGCCATTCCAAAAAATCGCCCGAAATCGGTGATGGTACCCCTTTGGAAACTGCCAAAAATTGACCCGGAACAAATACGCCCAAATCAGTGCCTAATAGACTTAATCCTCGGTGGAGGATACCCTCACGCCGAATCCTTGATCCGTAGCCTTCAAAATCCATGGAAAATGCCCTTCCGAAAAAAAGCGGTCGGAAAATTACGAAAATGCCCCCGGAACAATTTTCGCCCAAATCTCCGATTAGTTGACTTCATCATCCCCGAATCATAGCCCCAGTTCGCCTCAGGCCGAATCCGTGCTCCGTAGCCTCCAATATCCAACCAAAATCGCCATTCCAAAAAATCGCCCGAAATCGGTGATGGTACCCCTTTGGAAACTGCCAAAAATTGACCCGGAACAAATACGCCCAAATCAGTGCCTAATAGACTTAATCCTCGGTGGAGGATACCCTCACGCCGAATCCTTGATCCGTAGCCTTCAAAATCCATGGAAAATGCCCTTCCGAAAAAAAGCGCTCGGAAAATTACGAAAATGCCCCCGGAACAATTTTCGCCCAAATCTCCGATTAGTTGACTTCATCATCCCCGAATCATAGCCCCAGTTCGCCTCAGGCCGAATCCGTGCTCCGTAGCCTCCAATATCCAACCAAAATCGCCATTCCAAAAAATCGCCCGAAATCGGTGATGGTACCCCTTTGGAAACTGCCAAAAATTGACCCGGAACAAATACGCCCAAATCAGTGCCTAATAGACTTAATCCTCGGTGGAGGATACCCTCACGCCGAATCCTTGATCCGTAGCCTTCAAAATCCATGGAAAATGCCCTTCCGAAAAAAAGCGCTCGGAAAATTACGAAAATGCCCCCGGAACAATTTTCGCCCAAATCTCCGATTAGTTGACTTCATCATCCCCGAATCATAGCCCCAGTTCGCCTCAGGCCGAATCCGTGCTCCGTAGCCTCCAATATCCAACCAAAATCGCCATTCCAAAAAATCGCCCGAAATCGGTGATGGTACCCCTTTGGAAACTGCCAAAAATTGACCCGGAACAAATACGCCCAAATCAGTGCCTAATAGACTTAATCCTCGGTGGAGGATACCCTCACGCCGAATCCTTGATCCGTAGCCTTCAAAATCCATGGAAAATGGCCTTCCGAAAAAAAGCGCTCGGAAAATTACGAAAATGCCCCCGGAACAATTTTCGCCCAAATCTCCGATTAGTTGACTTCATCATCCCCGAATCATAGCCCCAGTTCGCCTCAGGCCGAATCCGTGCTCCGTAGCCTCCAATATCCAACCAAAATCGCCATTCCAAAAAATCGCCCGAAATCGGTGATGGTACCCCTTTGGAAACTGCCAAAAATTGACCCGGAACAAATACGCCCAAATCAGTGCCTAATAGACTTAATCCTCGGTGGAGGATACCCTCACGCCGAATCCTTGATCCGTAGCCTTCAAAATCCATGGAAAATGCCCTTCCGAAAAAAAGCGGTCGTAAAATTACGAAAATGCCCCCGGAACAATTTTCGCCCAAATCTCCGATTAGTTGACTTCATCATCCCCGAATCATAGCCCCAGTTCGCCTCAGGCCGAATCCGTGCTCCGTAGCCTCCAATATCCAACCAAAATCGCCATTCCAAAAAATCGCCCGAAATCGGTGATGGTACCCCTTTGGAAACTGCCAAAAATTGACCCGGAACAAATACGCCCAAATCAGTGCCTAATAGACTTAATCCTCGGTGGAGGATACCCTCACGCCGAATCCTTGATCCGTAGCCTTCAAAATCCATGGAAAATGCCCTTCCGAAAAAAGCGCTCGGAAAATTACGAAAATGCCCCCGGAACAATTTTCGCCCAAATCTCCGATTAGTTGACTTCTTCATCCCCGAATCATAACCCGTCATGTACCACTTAATTTGTCTAATGGGTCGTGCGTCCAACCCAAAAATATCCTTACTTTTAATTACCTTTTGGTACCTAAAACTTCTAGCAAAATCCAAAACAATATTAATTCAAATTGAACACTTCTAAGTATAAAATGAATAGAATAGCTACAGAAAAATATTATCAGAGGATGGTCTTAAAGATTCCATCGATAAGATAATAAGAGTTAAGCTATTAATTCGAATGGCTGTTATTTGCCAAGATTCCAAATCAGGGGATGGATTCCCCTGCCTCATCACTGGGGTGAGTTATTGGCCACAAAGGCAAGGAGGATGGATGACCTTAGCACGCCCTGAACCCTAGCTATAAAATCCTCCTCGCCACTCACAAACTTCCCTCCACTGCAACTTCCTCAGTCCTAATCAAAACCGATTTCTCATTGCTCAACAGTTGTTAACGCGCGACATTTACTAAACTTCAACGATGCTGGAAGGCAAGGCAGTGGTTGGCGAGATTGACATGCTCCAGAAAATGCAACAGGATGCTCTCCATCTGGCTGCGAAGGCCCTGGATTCCTTGGACGTCACCGAACCAACTGAAATTGCCCGTTTCATTAAGAAGGTACGCTACTATATCCAGACTACACACATCGATGCTCTGTTTTTGGGTTCTGGTGCAATATTCGGGCTGGACACCAATTGGTTTCTTTCTCGTTGGATTGGCAGGAATTCGACAGAGTGTATGGACCAGGGTGGCAGTGCATAGTGGGAACTGATTTTGGTTCGTTCGTGACGCATTGCTTCGGGTGTTTCATCCATTTCCAGATCGGCAGCCTCGCCATTCTGCTCTTCAGGGGATCCGCCGTCCCAAAAGAGACCACCGCCGATAAGGACCATGCTTTTGCAGTCAAGTCCTGATAGTCAGTCTCTTATTTTTCTCCTCACAGGTTTTGTGTTAGGTTAGGCTGGTACTGGTAGCTACCTTGATAAATGGAGGACTCGCCGTGAATTCTATATCGTATATATACCCTTCTTCAGTTCGGATTTCCCCTGTCCCGATCCATTAATGGGATAGTACTGAATCCCTGCCAGGAATGTGCATTTTTCATACTACGAAATGGAGAGAACCTTGTAGTAGTGTTGCCGGCGAATGCAATTCGTACGGATAAAGCACTGAAAACGAATTAATGGTTATCAAGAAATCAATACAGCAGAGAGCATTCTCATATGCACGAGACCAGAGGATTCATGAACTCGGTCTAGCTTCATGAGCCACACGTTTGTTAGCAAGTTGTCACTTCGGTTTGTATCGTTATGATAGTTTAGTAATAACTAATAACCATGATACAACTGGTTTATATTTAGGTTTTAACAAACTAAACGAAAAGTGAAAAATCATTATCACCAAATAAAATGTGCATATATATGATCTCTCTTAACACAATCTACATACAATTCCTTTCATATTTAAATAAAACTAGGTGGCGATGTCGCGTCTTATCGCGGAACGGAGATGGCCTATTGGCATGTATTATGTGGCTCGTTATGGTGTTTTGTTAGTATTATCAGTCTAAACCTAATTTTTTGTTAGCAAGGTTGTTAGAAATATTGACTTAATAATATGATTTTGACCGAGAAGAGATATATGGTTGTGAACATCCAATTGGAAATTTTGGCTAGTAAATAATATATACCTAAACCCAAGTAGACCCATTGATTATGGGTAGGGTATGGGTGACGTACATGTGGGTTTGGAAGTTTGTAGATGGGTTTGGGTAGAGTATGAATATTTACTTCCATAATCTAAAGGTGTATGAGTTGGGTATGGATATTCATGGATCCAAGTGAAATCTAAACATTTGACCAATATGTAATTTTAAAAAATTGTAGGTACGAAAATCTTATAAAATGTAGATACCAAAACATAATTGTTCAATGGATTTACATTAAAATTAAATTTGGGGTATCAAAATGAAAATGTACATTATAGTGACTAAGTTGTGATTTACTTAAATTTGGAGTATCAAAAAGTAAGTTTTTATCCAACAGTAAACTTACTTCAGCTTTATATATATATATTGATAATATTATATCACAAACACTATGGCAGATCATCGTATATCTAAATATTACAAGTTTACAACATTTGGCATCAACATCCACAAGTTCATACTTGAATCCAGTTAATAACATCAACATCTAAATATTCATATTTGAATCCGATAAATTTATTTCTCTTTATTAGTTTCCATCAAAACGATATCATTTTCGTACTATTCTTCTTGATTTTGACTTTTTATTACCGATTTTGACTAGCGCTTTATACCGACGACTTTTCAGCCATTTTTTGTTCAGTACTAGTTGAACCCATTTATACCAACCAACATATCCGTGTTTGACAACCATATTAGTGGAGTGCCCACCAGGCCACCATGTTAGGCTCAAATAACATGATTAAGAGGTATTACTGCGAAATGCTTCAAGCCCATAAGGTCTCCATGATCAATTGGAGGTCTATTATTTTCGGCCCTATCTATGAGAATGGTAGTAATCGGTTAGTTATTAACTAAATTTGACTATCAAGAACCGACCGTTTACAATTTAGTCGGTTATCGAAGTAACCGTCAAACTCCGATTTTGATTCGGTTATCGGTTACATCGTTTATCAGCCCTATCTAAACCTACTAAATCTGACTACTAACGCGGCTAATTATACAATTACAGAATGGTACACGATCTTTCTAATCACAACCCGATATAGACTACGAGGTTAGTTGAAGAAGCACTAACTATTTTCCAATGCCTCCCGTTTTGAAATTAGAAAGCACAATCCAAGTAACTAAAACACAAAACTCGTGCCCTAAATAAACTAAACTAATGGCCACATACTCCCCCAGTTGGTCTGTGACTGTGAGCAGGCAAAAAGGAAAAGACTCTCTTGCTCACAGCTCACGCGTCATGCCGACCGCGGCTAACCCAAGAACTTAGGGCTGCCATATACAGCAAAACGACGACGACGAGGGGAATTTGTCTCAAAAAATTACGAACCACAGGCTGAAAAAGCTCTTCAGTCTCCATCTTTCCCATTCCCAGTCCCAGTCGACTAGCTAGCAGTACACAAATTGACAAATGATTAGCTAGCTAGGGTGACATCTTGCCGGCCGACACATGGCAATCTCTACATGACTCTGAAGAGCCATTTCTTCCACCATCAATTTCAGGCCTCACAAAATTAGCTAGGCTGATATAATAATTAGGAGTAATACCACTGTAAATCATTACTAATGCATGATCTAAAAGAATACTGTTATAAACGCGCTGCTACGGATCGGAAAATCGCTGGAATCGATAAAGCAAGAATACGAAAGCAAGAAACGAAAAACACAGACACACGATTTACGTGATTCACTAACACGATGTGTGTTAGCTACGTCCACGGGCGAGACCCCCGACTACCAATCGTAGCGGTTGATAGTCTGATTCAAGTCACATCAACAAATACGCTATTAATTTGAATGGCTGTTATTTGCCAAGATTCCAATTTCCAAATCAGGGGATGGATTCCCTTGCCTCATCACTGGGGTGAGTTATTGGCCACAAGGCATGGGATCTGCTACGTGGATGGGAATGGATGACCTTAGCACAACCTGAACCCTATAAAATCCTCCTTACCACTCACAATCTTCTCTCCTCTGCACCTTCCTTCTTCACACTTTTTTCTGACTCGAGATATTTGCTTTCATTCCTAATCACCACCGATCTGCGCGCCAATCGTGTCCTCAGTTGTTGACGCGGCGACGTTAACTAAACTTGGACGATGCTGGAAGGCAAAGCAGTGGTTGGGGAGACCGACATGCTCCAGAAGATGCAACAGGATGCTCTCCATCTCGCCGCAGAGGCCCTGGATTCCTTCGACGTCACCGAGCCCACTGAAATCGCCCGTTTCATCAAGAAGGTACTGTATCCAGACTAAACCCAGATGCTCTGTTTTGGGTTCTGGTGCAATTTCGACCAATTGGTTTCTTTCTCGTTCGATTGGCAGGAATTCGACAGAGTATATGGACCAGGGTGGCAGTGCATAGTGGGAACCGATTTCGGGTCTTTCGTGACGCATTGCTTCGGCTGTTTCATCCATTTCCAGATCGGCAGCCTCGCCATTCTGCTCTTCAGGGGATCCGCCGGCCCTGAAAACCCCGCCGCCGATAAAGACCATGACTTTGCAGTCAAGTCCTGATTATATATATACCGTTCTTCAGTTCTGAATTCTGATTTCCCCTGTGACGATCCATTAATGGGATACTACTGAATCCGGCCAGGAATGTGCATTTGTTTTCGTACGAAATGGAGAGAACCTTGTAGTAACGTTGTCGGGCAATTCAATCAGAAAAAGCACTGGAAAAGAATTCATGGCTATGAAGAAATCAAATACAGAAGCACTTATCATATGCACGAAGGATTCATGGACTTGGTCTAGCTTCATGAGCCACACGTTTGTTAGCAAGTTGTCACTTCGGTTTGTATCGTCAAGTCAGTTTGATAATAACCAGGATACATTTGGTTTATATGCCGGTTTTAACAAATTATACTAGAAAGTGGAAAACCGTTAACACCAAATGAATGGTGCATGATATAATATGTCCTAACACAATCTACCTGCATATTTAAATAACAAATGGCAAATGTTCTTATTTAAATATTACAACATTTCACGTCAACATTTGAAAGTTCATACTTGAATACAATAAATAACATCGAAATGCTCATATTTGAAATTATATCTCTTTGTTAGTTAATTCCATCAAGATAATATCATTTTGTACTATTCTTTACTCGATTTTGACTTTTATTACCAACTTTAACAACCGCCTTATTCCGATAGTCCTTCGGTCATTTTTTGTTCAATAGTAATTGAACCCGGTTATACCGGTCAACACAACCATATAAGTGGAGTGCCCACCAGGCCACCACGTTAGGCCCAAATAACACGTTTAAGAGGTTTTACTGGGTAATACTTAAAGCCTATAAGGCTTAGAGGATCCATTGGGCCGGAATGAAGTCTCGTATCAATAAATGGAAAAGCCCACCAGCCCGCCACCATTACATAATAATTAGTTAATTACATTACCAAACAAACGTACGGCTACGGCACATCCAATCATATTGAAACGAAGGAATGAATTCAGAAGTCAAAATCATCTTGATTCGGCTTGGGCGAGGTCAACAACGCCGTGTAAAGCCGGAGCCGATCCTCCCCGAGCGAGGAACACCTGGAGAGCGGCCGCCTAGGCCGGATGAACGACAACGACGTCAGCGTGAGGCGGTGCTTGTACCGCCGCCACGCCAGCTGTATCGCCACCGCCGCCCAAGTCCGCCACCCGGGAGAATAGTACCGGGCGCTCCGCTTCACCTTTTCCTTCACGAACGTGTAGCGGAAGTGCTGCGTGACGTACTTGACGTCCTCCGCCTCCAGGCCGAAGGCCTCCGTCGTCTCCAGCGTGATGAGGCTGGAGGAGGACGGCGGCAGCCGCTCCACGAAGGGGCGGCGGAGGCACCAGGAGAGGAGCTCGTCGCCGCAGAAGTTGCCCGGACCCAACATGCAGCAGCTCTTCACGCCGTCGCGCAGGACCTGGCTGCTCTGGAGATGACCTCTCACTATGAACAGCATTCTTTGCACCGGATCCCCTTCTCTTGTTATCTGAAAAAGAACATTCAATATTTTACCTTAGAAACTTGATTTTTGGGTTTCCACCCAAAATACTAGACTTAATACTTAAAAATTTCGGCAATACAATATTTGCATAAAATTTCTCATTCTACCAAAAAAAAAATATATAATACTAAAGTTTAGATATTCACTGGAGTGTCAAGCGATGTAGATAGTGGTTCGTTGGACACCTGAGCGATATAACCATGATCCCGTCCAACCGAAGAGATCCAATTTTGGTCGCCTACAAGAGCGATCCACCAAGATCGATCGTTGATGACTCCAGCGAATCATGGCCCCAAAAAAATAGCTGAATAAACTAGAAATTTACACCTGACACACTTAAAAGTTTCAAAGGTTGTAACTTTACGCTCGATTATCCGTCTTATGCGGAAACAATTTCTACGATCAAATAATCAAGAGCACAAAGTTATGACCATTTAAATTTTTTAAGTGTGTTAGGTGTAGATCGCTGAAAACTCTAGCCATTTTAGGTGCTACATCATTGTTGTTATCATCAACACAGGTTGATCGCTCCTTTTTCTCGCGATTCATACTGGTTTAAAGAAGGTTCTCTCCATTTGGCCATAATCTATAGTAGTTCACGTTCAGTCTCCAACAAACTAGTAATTAGTTCTCTAGACACCCCAACTATACTAATCACACAAAACTTTTTGTATTTTGGAAATTTTTGTGCAACTATTCGTAAGAAAAACTTACCATTTCACCTCGGGTGAATATGAGCGACTTGACCCGGTCACAAATGTTCTCCAGCACCAGATCATCCATGTGCTGAAACAACGGCACCTGCCTGACCAAATCCAAGCAAAGATGATACTTAATATCCCGCCTTATCCCCTCCGGCAAATTCCTGATCATATCATACTCATCCACCCCTCTCATCGCCGCCCACTTCTGCCGCTCGTAGTTCCGCACCCTCTGCCGGAACCCCAGGGGGAGCTGCCGCCGCCTCATCCACCACTCCAGGTTCCTCATCCTCAGCTGCATCGCCTGCTTCTTCGACGTCGTCGCGTTCAAGAAGACCTTGATGTTCCCTATCAGCATCGTCACCAACAGCACTCCTCCGGTCAGGCTGACGATGTTGAACACGACCTCGACCCACTCGGTCGTGCTCTCGAGGTTGCCGAACGTGCTGAGGGTCATGAGCCCCCAGAAGATCGGAAGCAGGACCTTCTCGAGCCGGTTCTCGTTGGACACGAGCTGGACGGTCCACTTGTAGGCGCCGTAGCTGTAGTGGTCCGGCGAGGACAGGCAGGTGTACCTGGTGTGGTTGTTGTGGGCCCAGACGAGTCTTGGGCTCATGATGGGCCTGGTGGTGGATCCGTAGTAGATGGGCTGACTGCAGGAGAGGATCTGGGGGATGCAGTGGGTTGTGGATTTGCATTGGTCTTCAAGGCATTTGGCTGCCCTTTGGATGCCTAGTAAGTACCAGCAACCTCCGGCTGCCTGCATCCAGAATTGAAATTTGTTCATATATGATCATGGGACCCAAATAGAAGAGAATATATGGCTGAGGATGGGGTGAATTATTTGGGTCGATTGATTGATTGAGTAGTATTGCCATGTATATTGTTCGTGCATCATTGCAGGTTTGTATCATTGGAGACCAAACATATATTCGTTACAGATCATCTCTTCCCCACCATGACGCTTATCTAGTTTACATGGAATCCCATAACTAGAGAGACACATATATGAGTGAGATACCTAATTTCTTTATTCGGACCAAAAAAACATTATGGACAAAAAAAAAAAAGATTTTAAGCAAGATCAATCTTAATATGATCTTAATATCTATCAAAACGACAATTTTTAGAGGTGACAAACGATAATACAGTCACCTGATTTATTTCAGTATTTTCAAATTCATTTTGATAAAATCTCATTGGCTTTTTAAGTTTAACGGTTTGAATATATGGATTTGTATAAAATTATAATTTAATGCATAATTTTTTCATATCTTCCATTTTAATTTTTAAACTTTGATTTTTAATAAAAGTTTTTGATTTATTTTATAATGAATAGAAAATTTAACCCAAAAATTATAGGGTGTGTCTATTATGACATGCATGTCACGGTGACTTGCACTTTTCGGTCGACCTCAGTTAGGATTAGGTCAACCTCATATAGGATTAGGTCGACCTAATCGGTTGTTTCAGTGTAAAAACAGTTTCATAGTGTCTATTTTGGAGATTCATATCTTACAATTTGCTCGATGGAAATTGGAGATTAATGGCTTGTTTTGAAGCTGGAGTGTCCCTCTACACATTCAAGTGCTTGGGAGCTCGATAGGAAGTCCAAAGACCATTTTTGAACTTGATCAAAAGGCTATGCCAAAACTGGAAAACTGGCTGAAAATGGCTTAGTCTGGGAACGTGTTTGTGAAGCCTACTTTGGAGCTCAATTCGATAAGCATGGATGCGAGTCGAGTCCAGGGGCCTCTACCACGTTAAATTTGGTATGTTTTTATACAAATTCAAGTCATTGGATCAAAGATTGGATATCTGTAAGTCTTCAAACAAAAGGGTCGAAGTTGCACAAGCAAGCTGCCAGAAAACATTCAACTAACTAGTACGAGTGTAACATGCAGAAGAAGAGGGGAAAGAGTACTACGTGAATTTTCACCTGGAGGCAATAGGGCTATAGGAAAAGGAAGTTTCAACTCAACTAGCTAGGGTTACGAAAGTTCGAGGAACTTACGTGGGAAGCGACGAAGTAAGCAATCAAGTTGAGGAAAATGCCCCACCAAACGGTCCCAAAAATGTAGCCGGAGTGATCTTGCATGCGGCGGAGGACGCGGACGGAGTGGTAGATCTTCGGCAGGTACTGGACGAGGAACGTCACCAGAAATAGTGTCATTATCGCCGTGACGGAGCCGGCTTCCAGTACTGAAGGGATTGCCACCCACAATACAATCTACACACGTAAGAAAAAATAAAGGCAGGCGAAACATAAGAAACTTATTAATCAACCCCTTGTAAATAATTATAGTACAATTTTATGTAAAATTTAGAGTTATCAACATAATATGCCATATTAATGTGTGACAAAGTTCTTTATAATATGTTGTGAACTTGCGATGTTGGGTTCGAGTGGTCTTACGAATGTTATACAAATATTCCCCCATCCTAATAGTGAAGTGAGGTGGATTCCGGCACTCACCCTCTTACAAGAAGGTAACTCCGCCATTGATTATAAGAATGAGTAAATGAAATCATTTTTCACACCTACCAAAACTAAATTTTAGTTAGGGGTGGCAGTTCGGTTACCGGTTATCGATTAACCGGCCGGTTAAATCGATAACTAGTCGGGTATCCACTAACCGGTAAATGAAGTAACCGAACTTCGGTTGGTTATCGGAGGCTAGACGAAATAGTTTTTTGTCTTACAAGTGGGTCGATTAACCGATAACTGAAAAACCAAAGGATATTTCGGGCGGTTTTCGGTAGGGGGAGCGCGATAATTCACTGGAAATGAAATTTCTAAGGGAATTTCATTACCCATCCATCAGACCAGATTTGAAGAGCATATTCCTCTTGTGGTCCTTATCAATAATTAGTTTAAATCCCACCCTCTATATTTTAAGGACGATACATTTATTTTTGAAAACCGAAAAATGAATTTTCTTCTAGAAAAAAATGATAACAAAAAATCCCCTCTGAAAACTACATAGCAAGAAAGCGACGTCGTTGAAATACTACACATAGGAGAAGAGAACGTACGTAGTAGACAGTGGTGGGGAAAAAAAGAAGACCCCAACAAAACCAAACCGATTCGTACTGTACAAAACTGATCCGCCAACGAAGCAAAGCCGCAGAAACCTTTCTTCTTCTTCTGTCAATGTCCAGTGCTTTGTTCTCTAGTACGTACCGAGTTTTGTTGGGTTTTTGCAGGAATAATGAAGGAAACGACATACTTCTTTCACATGGCTCTCTCTCTCTCTCTCTCTCTATCTCTCTGCACAAACGCAAAACTCCATAGCCGAGCCTCTTACCCTACCGGAAAGCTAACTTGTGATTCCATGCATTTGTCACCACCGATCCCTTTCCGTCATCCCTTCCATAAACCGCCAAATTCCATACCCCAAATGTCCATACACGAGAGCAGTAGCCTACAACGCTACGTCGTCTCTCATTCATTACCACCACACCTCATTATTGCTTTCCTAACAAACTGTTGAGTATTTTGGATTAAAATTGTGGTTGAATCATGATGAGAAATCGGAGGGAGAGTTTAATATGATGAATCCCGGGTTTGGGAGGAAAATGAGTAAATTAGGTATATGATGATTAATTGAAAATGAAAATTGGAGTGTGTCTAATTGAGATTAGTACATCGAGAGGTTTTAAGTCTGGTTTTTAGTGATAACACATTCTGTTAAGCACATGATATTCAGATTTGTGAAAAATTCAAGTTCGTGTAAATTGATTTTCTTTTGAGCAGCAGCAGGTGTGTTAGTAAATGATATGAATTTCATTATTAAACCTTTCCAACAACTATAGTTATTGATGCTTGTTTAAAAATAACACTTTTTTTAAAAAAGTAAACAACCAACTAAATCATGAACAATTGTTTTTGTACACAGATCGATAGTGATACTTTTATACTTTCGACTACTAATGTATTTTAAATTTATCAAAATTACCCCTAATATAACGAATGATTGAAAAAATCGATAAAAACCGTTTATACCATGCGTATTTTTTCTAAATTAAACTCCGTTTATACCATGCGTATTTTTTCTAAATTAAACTCACCTTGAATAAAATTCCGGCTATGCCCCTTATTGTAGTTCAATCCTTCGTACCACTAAAACCACCTATTGTTTCAGAGGTCGAGTATTCCGTATTTTCGACCCCACCGGTTGGTACGGTAGGATTTTCTGTTGAGTGAAATTTTAAAAAGAGTTTAATTTTTACTGAACCTGTGGGATGGGGAGGATGACGAAGAGGTCGAGGAAGAACCCCTTCTTGTCCTTCAAGTAGTACCTCCGGCCGGGCGGCGAGGCAGCAGCAGTAGTAGTGGTGGTCCTCCAGCGGTGGTTGGCGGCGGCGAAGCGGAGGAAGAGGTTGAAGAGGTGGAGGAGGTCGTTCATGCAGCGGAGTGCGGTGACGGTGAGAGCGACCCATCCGTCGACGAAGAGACACATGTAGGCGTCGCTGATGGAGAGCGCGTAGAAGAAGAGCGGGTCCACGAACAGCCCCATCGCGCAGGCTAAGAGGTAGATCCTGTTCCACTCCCCCGCCGCCACCCTCCGCCGCCGGAGCTTCGTACCGCTGGTGGTGGCCGTACTCCTCGCCGGCCACCCCACGCCGCCGCAGCAGGCCATGAACAAGCTGCCGCTCCTCCTCGACCCCAACGCCGCGTCCTCCTCGGCCGCGGCGGACGCGTGGCGGTCTAGTTCGTCGGAGGAGGAGGTTTCGTCCTCGGTGTCGTCGTCGGAGGAGGTTTCGTACCGGTGGTGGTGGTGATCGTCGTCGCTGGGAGCGGCCATGTTGAGGTGAAGAAGAGTGAGATTGTGGGAAGGGTAAGGGTGTGTTTGCTAGATATTATTGGAGGGAAGGGAAATTAAAGAAGCATATGCAGAATAAGTGAAGAGAAGAATAGATATGAGCAAGCAAGCTAGCCGCAACTAGACGACTTCTCCATCCTTAGCTATCCTTCGCCCCAATCTTACCGTTTTGCCCCGCCACTTTCTTCACTTCTTTTTGTCCCTTGTTTGCGAGGATTGTAAAATCGTATAGAAAAAGTCAGTAATAGGATACTTTTAATTGTGGTTTAATTTAATCTTGATTCTATCGTTCTATATTGATAAAAAAAATCTCTTACCAAAGGATGGTAGGCGATTTTATAGGCCGGCCGGTGGGATAAGATACGGTGACAACCCCCTTGGGGTTGTCAGATTCACAACCCACTCACTAACCGTTGGATACACTCTCTCTCCTGTCTCTTTCTTCTTTTTTTAAGTTGATGGTTAGGATTAAAAGAAGGGTATTTTTGGAAAGGAAAAATGTTAACACACCCAATCATTCTCCCTCCCATATAAATAAAATAAAAACCCTAACTCCTCCCTCTCCCCCTCATCTATCTCTTTCCCTCCTCCCTCTCACTGCCGCCGGCCTCTTCCCTCTCCCCCTCATCTCTCTATTTCCCTCCTCCCTCTCACTGCCGCCGGCCTCTTCCCTCTCCCCCTCATCTCTCTCTTTCCCTCCTCCCTTTCACTGCCGCCGGCCTCCACCACCTGCCGCCGGCCTCCTCCCTCTCTCCACCCACCATCAACATCTCTCCACCCACCATCAGCATCTCTCCACCACCTACCGCCGGCCTCCACCACCTGCAGCAGCTTCCCATAAGCACCACCACGAAGACAATCAAGAGGAAGCAGCTGTCCCCCCCCCCCCCCCCCCTCCCCCCGCCGCGCCGCTGTCCTCCCCTGCCGCCACCATTTTTATGTCGCCGCCACCGCGAGGTCAAGACTCATCCCTATTTTTTTCCAGATCTGATAGTCTCTACCGGTACCAATACCACTGGTAGCACTATTTGCTACCACTACCACTGGTAGCGCTATTGGTACGCTACCACTACTCACTGGTACCAATACCAGTGGCTCCCCTATCATCTGGTACCACTATCATCTGTTTTTTTTTTTTGTGTTATTTGCTACTGGTACCGCTACCAATGCTAGTGGTAGCGCTGCTAGTGGTAGCGCTACCAGTGCTAGTAGCGTTGTACTGGTAGCGTACCACTAGTACTGGTACATTTTTTACTGGTACCGCTAGTACTGGTACATTTTTTAACTTACTGGTAGCGTACCACTAGCACTGGTATATTAATTACCAGTAGACTAATAGATTGATACACTTTTTAACGCATTGGTACATTTTTTCAGGTTGCCGGAGGGAGTCTGCCGGAGAGAATTCGCCGGAGAAAAAGTTTGTCGGTCGATGCGGAGTGGCTGCTGGAGAAAGGAAGAGAGAGAGATAGATAGAGATATTAATGTATAGGATTTAAATTTCAGAAAAAAATTGTATTTAATATGGGTTTTTAATTCCCAATATAATTAATACAAAAAGGTAATTAATATATTTATTTTTTCATACCCAAAATACCCTTGGTTGTGAATCTGACAACCCCCAAGGGGGTTGTCACCGTATTCCGTCCCCCGGCCGGTTAGTATGGTACGGTTTTACAAATACTATTTATTACATTTTTTTTATCTATGATCAAATCTATAATTGTAAAATCGTACCAAAAAATAAATGAAAATATATTTTATATTTAATAGAAGTTCAACCATTTTGTATCGTTAAACTCACCTTCAATTTGTTTTCAGTTTATGATATTTCCCACCAGCTAATAGGATTTTATAAGACATTGATCTATATATGTCCCCTAGCTTGCATCTTTCTAAGTGTTCTTCCCTCGTTTGAACTTAAAGGTATAAAAGGGTTTTTTTCTAGTTTAATGTAACAATTTAGGTGAATCTCACATCGACAAAGCACAAGAATGATCCATAGTTTATAAGTAAGAAACCTACTTTAACTCACAAGACGTGTTTTGGGGTGAAATGAAAGAATTCTCATGAGAACTCCAAAGTTAAACGTGCTCCTTGTGAAGTACAACAAGGATGAATATCCTTATGAGAAGTCACACCTTGAATTACACCCCAAATCAAAAATCGTGAGGGTCGAGACCAAAAGCGGACAATTTCTTAGTCAAAAAAATGTTCGGGATGTTACATTTATTGTCCTACAAGTTTACACTTCTTTTTACCTTTGCAATTCTTCATATTTACTTCATTTAGTTATTTCCAGTCGAAGATGCTAACCATCTCAAATTTCTCATTACACCGTTTGGCTCCATCTTGGCACCTTCCCGATCGATCGACTCTCTCTTTCTTGTCATTCCTTTCGCCCTTTCATTTTCAGCATATCTCTCTCTCTCTCTCTCTCTCTCTCTCTCGATTCTATTCTCTGTGTATATATATATTGTCCCCACATCATGTGTAGTTTGTACTACTTGTCATTCCGCTCCGTACGCATGGCTGATTGAACCTACTTAATTAATTAGCGACCGCGCAACCAAAGGTTTCGCCAATGTTTTTTTGTTAATTTTATACTGATATATTCCATTAGCTAGCTTCAATAATTTCCTGATACGGCGTCAATGTAATCGCGACACGTTTCAATAACCACCTGATTGGCATGCAATACCTCCCCATGGATGGAGATCCTTGATTGACATGCATTATTCTATCACCTTAGGCAAATCACTCGTCCACAAAGCACGAAAATAGATGTGGTTGATAATAAAAAAAATCCAACTTTAACTTACACGACACATTATTCAGTGAATTGAAAGAATTACTGTAAGAGTTCTGAAGTTAAAGTGCTCAATGTGATTGAGCAGTGCAAGGATGGGTGCATGACTCATGGGAAGGTCATTCCGATATGCACCCAAAAGCAAAATTGTGTGGGATAGACTCGAAATGGACAAATATCTTGATAAAAAAAAAAGTTGAAGATGTTACAAGCGGTATCAGGGTCTCTCTCCCGTCCCTCTTAAACGGTGATTTAACATAACGATTGTATTTGTTTGTTTTTCTTTGTTTATGAATTTTTTTTACGAGTGCGATATGTATATTTGTTTATGAAATTTGAAGATGAAATAACTTTCAAATCGTGTAAAGTCTTTCTAATTGACTGTTTTTGTCAATACACGATGGTGATGGAATAATATGAACGTAACATTTAAGTTTAAGTTTAGAGGTAATTTAACAAACAATCATTGAATAACAATCATAACAATTACAATGTTGTAAATTAACAAAATGCTAAATGTGAGTCACTGAGTTGGGTTGTGCGGATTGGGGATTCGAATCATCTGGATCGTTCTAATTTTATCGGATGTTCCGAAAGAAAATTGGAAATTCGAATAATGATGTTTGGTTTGGATGAGTTGGGATCTAGTTAGGCGTTTTAGAGATCACATGACTTGTATACTAAATGTTGGTTACATGACATGATAATTTGGCTAATTTGGATGGAAAATGGATCAAAATTAGATACAAAACTCATTAGTTAAAAAAAAAATATATACAGGTGATCGTTTTGTTACAATTTGAAATGTTTGTGATGGATTTGTTAGTTACCGAGCCAACCTTGATGGGTTCAACCGATCGGTCGGGTTAATCACATTGGTAAAGGGAGACGGGAGAAAATCCCAGACATCCTTCATTCTTTCACTGTCAGGGCTTTCAGGGTCTTTGAAATTCCCCGCCATCACAAAACCCCTCTCCCCTTCACTCTCCAAGCGCTTGCTTCCGTCGCAGCCAATCAAAGAGGTAAGCTCTACTGTACTACCTCCGCGTATGTTCGCCTTTCTTCTCTGCTAGCAAGGAACCCAATCCTTTTTTGCTGTTTGTTTGCTTAGAAAAATTGGACTGTATCTACGGAATTGAATGGGGGGTTTCTACTTCGCCAGCAATCAGAAGCTCTGAGCCTTATTCTTTACTTGTTTTCAGCTTTCTGCCCGACCTGATACCCTGATTGATTTCCAAGCAGTTTGTCTGATTCTATCAACTTGCCACTTAGCAGTAACCAGTAAGGCATGGAACGATTCCAGCGATTGAGCCTTCTTTTTACTCCATCTTTCACCCCGATTCCAGCGAATGAGTCTCTTCAGCCTTCTTCTTTGGTGATTTATTGCAGTTTGCTGCGTAGCTGCTTTTGGACAACATGGGAGACCTGCCAAGGTGAGTTATTCTCTTTGTTCCTCTTTCTACTATCCCGGCTGCACAGTGAAGCTGTTTCGGTTAAAAAATGATATTCTTATTGATAGAAAGTACTCCCCAGTTTAGGTTCATGTTTGATCAAAAGTGAGTGTGTGTCAGCTAGTGGTGATAGATGGATGTATTTTCCAGGGAGGATAATTCGAATACACTACGGGTGCTTGTCGCGACAGACTGCCATCTCGGTTACATGGAGAAGGATGAAGTAAGGAGGCACGATTCTTTCCTAGCATTTGAGGAGATATGTAAAATAGCGGACGAAAAGCAGGTTGGCACTTTGATTGCTTGGTATTCATCTTTTGCTTAACACCACAATGCCTATACATCTTTTTTGTGTTTTTTTTTATGAATGATTTTGTATTTGTATTAATGAACTGTTGGTTGCTCTTAAAAATTAAGAGCTCACCTCACGTGAGGTACAACTGGGTATAATCTGAGAGACTATTACAACAATTGACGAATGAGAATTCTCAGGTTATGTCGGAAGAAGATGGGATTACATAGCCAAACAACCTAGTTAGTAGTAGTGCCTCCTGCAGATTCATATCACCTTTGGCCACATTCCAATTTATGCAGTTGTTGAACCCGATCCCATGTGCAGCTGATATCTCTAAAATTTCTTGAATTTCGCTCTAGCCATATGCTCCAAATGATGGAGTGAGGCAGCACGCAAACTGTGAAAAATTTGTACCTTTAGTACAGTG